TAAATGCGGAATATTTGCAACTTAAAATATGCAACAAATTGACTCAGAGATCAAAGCATAAATCAAAATTCACAAATTCGTGGCAGGTCAAAAGAAACAGTCTACCAAGATCAAACAGGACAGCTATTAACTGTCCAATTCTGAGACGAGTTGAGAGCATTGGAGAACTACAAAGTTGGGAATAAAACGTGTGTAACAAGACAAGAAAGAAATTGTTTAAGTTAATGAGGAGAGGAGAATGGACAGTTTGATTTTACACTATTCAAATCAATGCTCAAGCTCTTCTCAGTGTCCTGATTTAGAATCAGGGGGAACTGGAAGGAAATGTCAGTGTTGTGATCATAATAAATGAGATGATTCCCATTCGCCAGACCAACACTGCTGAAGTCCACAGTGTGAACAAGTCAATTTCAGCCACTCCCTTTAAATCCACCAGTCACAACCCAACTCCATCTGTGCTTTTAGACACAATGCTGTATATAATGTAGGCCCGTTTACTGGTATGTACTTTTGTGCAACATGTAGAATATCTATATCGAATGTCATTTAAATGTTCTGTCAATCATGTATTGTTTGACAATGTCAGAGGTAGAGAACTTCATAAGAACTTTGAAGACTTATGGACCTTATAAAAAAACTGTTTTGAATAGTAAATGTCAGAGGAAAGCAATCTCCAGCACTTATACATTTTCCATTTTAAATAAAGCCTTTATTCAATACCACAAAATGCTATACGTATATATGTGAAAGAAGGCAAAAATACTCAAGAAAATAATCAAATGGATGAAAAATGTCACAATGTACAGTACAGTATAACACAATATGCCATTAAACTCCTATATTACTAAAAATGGACTCTAAGCTTTGAGTCATGTTAGAATGTTGTTATCTCCTCAAAAACATACCTGGAGTTGTCAGATGAAGAAAAGAGGTAGAGCGCTTCACTGGGTCATAAAAGAGTTTTAAAAAATATCAGTACAGGTGCTCTACGAGAGTTAAACTAGTGGTTTTAAACAGAAAAGTGCCCTTACTGGAAAATATAGTGGGCAAAGTACAAACCCGAAGCACTCTGACTGAATATATTAAAAGTCCTTTATTGCATGAAGGGATGCTAACGCATTTTGACCAGCAAGATGGTCTTCGTCAGGGCAAAAAAATAAAATAAAAAAAAAACTGGAGTGTGTTTGATTCGTTCACACGTTTGAGTAATCATTTATTATTAGTCTGTCTTCATTTCCAAAGCTCAAAATGCTCTGCTCCACCTTGTAATGTTTTCAAGTTAACAGCTACCTTTAACCTTTAGTTCAGAGATTCTAGTCTATGTGTGGAGTTAAAAACAGTGGAGCACTTCCTGTATTACCACCATTTCCTGTTTGAGAGAAGAACTCAGCTTAAATATGCAGGATGTTAAATGTGTGTGAATGCAACAAAACACAAGTCCAGGTATGTTTGTGATGAGGAAACAACATTATAACATCAGAAATGGCACCAAAAGAGACCTTTAAAATCCCCGCTAGAAAGGCAGTGCACCTTTAAGATGTTTCAAGACTCTGTAAGCCTGTTTTATTTGCAAAAAAAAGTGCAAAAAGTCAACTGGCACTTCTATTGCAAAATTATTTCTACCGATACAGAGCACTGATCTAGTTTTACATCTGTTCTGAAATAAGTAAAATGCAGTCGATGTGTCCCCTGCTGTGAAAGTGCTTGAATGCTGTAAAGCTATTGTGTGGGAATGTTCAAACCTGTGCCTCTCCAAAGCAATTTGTTCTCCATTCTCCTCTATGGCTGTGTGCATGGCGCTATGTGAGCCTGCCTTGTGTGCTACCACGTCTGTGATTGGTCCAAGCAGCGTCTCTCATAAAGGCAATGTCATGATGGAAATTAATGCAATACATCACAAGCACAGGCCTGAGCAAACCAAAAAGCACACTTCCACCAACGCTAACAGCACAAAACACAGACTTGGACTCGGTGCTACAGGCTACTCCGGTAAATAATACTAGAAATGGCAAAAGAAAGGAAGGGGAGTAAAGGAGGACAGGCAGGGGAATAGAGGTAAGGGTTCCTCGAATTCTTAACAAATTCAACATTGCCAGGCCAACCTTAGAAAACCAAAAACCAAACATTATGAAACTGAATATCAAAGAATTTTATACAAAAGATGAGTAGGCTAGTGCATTTCGGAAAGAGTGCAATATTCGGCTACAGGCGATGATTTTCCCTGACACAACAAACCAAGTACCAGCCATCTACAAGAAAAGAAATCTCACCAAAGAGACTATGTATATCAGCAACAAAGTGCAGTAGCATAGCCTGTATATATACAAATGGACATAAATAACCTGTTAGCCGCCTCGGTCCAAATAGGAAGTGAGCGTAGGCGCATGTCTGGCTCCATCAACGCCAACTTCAATTGACTTTACATTGAAAAATTGTCACCCGCTCTCTGTAACTGCTGCAGTGAGCCTCGTCATTTTGGTCTTTAAATACTCGTATTAACGCAATATTTCCCAAACTTCTTTTTTTTTCTGGGGACACATATTTCAAAAGTCACAAACCTTCACGACCCAAGTCAATAGACATTATTCATAAATCACAAAATAAAGGTGGATTTGACCATTATTGAAAATTAATGATGATATTTTATTGTTGAACAATTAGTATTACTCAAGTTTTAAACAATGGAAAACATTAACTGAACCAGTAATAAAAGGATCCATAAGTTGTGTATTTGGACATTAAATACAAAATTACAAAATAGTCAGTAAAATAATTATAAAAATTATGTTCCACTCCGGAATGCAGGAGGAGGGCACAGCAGCAGATCAGGCGCAGCATTCAGTCTGTTTCTGTGCTTTGTCATTTTTGTGAGCACAGATGTGTCATGTGTCAGAACTGTATATTGGACACCTACATGCAGATCATTACAAGGCAACCCCCCCAAAAATCTCTTGCGACCCAGTCTTTGGGAAACAATGCATCAACCCACTCTACATGATCCTGATGTTATTTATTTCACAAATTTGTCCATAAATAAATCTCTATTCCTAACATGGAAGTCTGCTCCAAATTCACCTCTATAACTGCTAGACTCATGAGCTTCATTTGACTGGAGCTGAACCCTATGAGTCACATCACACTCCCTTAGTCCACTTTTTTATATAAACTATGAGCATAGCACTGCTGCAAGACATGAAGCTATAATGTCCATTTGATTCTCTCCACATGAAGGCGCTTTCCACATGTTGAGAAGCAAACTCTTTTCAGTAAATTTAATGCTAATATCTCAAATTACTTAATGAACATAATTCCTGAAGACAAAATAAGAGAATAATGTTAGGAAGTGTGTCATAATCAGTACTACTTAGCAGCAAAAATAGGAAGTTACCATATTTAGACCAAAAGGGGCGGGGCTTACAAGATGACAACAAAAGCTAAGCTAAAGCTGATAAGAACACATGGAAAATGGTGATTTTTAAATTATTTTATTCATATTCCAAGTAACCTATTACCTTTTATAATGTGCTCCTTCCTTTCTTAAGAGTGTTGCCTTGATGGATGTGTTTACCATTTAGCAACATGCTAATCGGCTAAAGTTATACTAGCAAGCCAACTTTACACTTTGTTTATATGTGTGTACTTAATTTATTAGTAGTCATTTATGTCATCCAGCATTGTCACGCCTTGGTATTTATATTTACTATGTTGCTATAGCTATAAATTATGTGCTTGTGTAGGTGTGTAAAATTGTGCTTAATGACTGAGGCTAACTTAATGAACGTTCTAGACTACAATTAGTGTGTTAATTAGCATGCTTTGTGGTTGAGATATAGAGGAGCATTAGCCTAATCGCTAATAACAGAATAGGGTGACCAGACATATTTACCCGGGACAGTCCCATTTCTGAGCCCTGTGTCCCCTGTCCCAGCAGATTTATCCAAAACCAGTGATTTGTCCCAGTTTTATACAAGAAATGTCCCAGGTGTCCCTATGTTTTACCAGTTTGATCTAAACCAGGACTAAACTAAGATTAACCCAGGACTAAAACAGGACTGTCACAATTTTTGACTAATCTGATCCCTGCCAACAGTAAAGCAGAACATAAATTGTCATTTATTTTGCCAAAATACAGTAAACTGTGTTTGCGAATGACCAGAAAGCAAAAAAAAAAAAAAAAAAAAGCAGCGACAGAATCCCTTGGTTTAGATTATGACTGACATGAGAATGCACAATTTTACATGCTCTTTTCACAATTTATTTATACCAACCATCCCAGCCCGGGTGTGTCCCAGTTTAGAATTTTGAAAATCTGGTCACAATAGCAGATTCTTGTTGTTTCTGGTTTGAATGTGACAGCTGCATACATTCCAATTTTGTTTACTTTTTTGCATTACCTGGATGGAGAATCTATTAATTATGGATTTTTATGGATATTTTTTTTATCAAATGGAAAAGTATATAAACTACCAGGCAAACATTTGGACACAACCTCTCATTCAATGTTATTTTTTTTCTTTGTTTACTACATTCTACATTTTAGACACATACAGTCAGAAAACATCTAATGTTTGAAGCAAGATACAGTATATGGAATTATGTAATAAAGGTAAAAGTGACATAACTACTACATATTTTTTGACAAAGCAAAGGGTAGCTACATTGAGGATTTGAAAATAAAATGTAAAAAAAATATATATATTAAAAAAAAAAAAATGTATGTAAAATGTAGAACTTAGTAAACACTGAAAAAAAAAAACATTAAGTGAGATGGTGTGTCCAAACTTGTGACTGGACTGACCAAATTGTTGTCCACAATTTTGTTACAAGCTTTCCCTCTATCCTGAATCTTTGGACATGTTTTATTTTGTAAGTGAAAAAAACCGACCCACTCTGTAACCTTATTAGGTGAGGTCAAGATGGATGTTATGGGGGGTCATTTGTTCTGATCAGAGGGGATGACACTCAGGTTAATGTCTACTTATAAACCTTTCTCTTTACAGAAATCGACAAAGAGAGCTGCGGGGACCCTGGCACGCCCCTCTACGGCATAAGAGAGGGGGACAGCTTCTCAAATGGGGGCATCCTCAGGTTTGAATGCCAGTTTGGGTTCGAGTTAATTGGAGAGAAGACCATTTCTTGCCAGGACAACAACCAGTGGTCTGCCAATATACCTATATGCATATGTGAGTATCATAATCTTATATGACGGTAAAGGTCCTGTGTTACACATAATTGACTCTTTTGAGCTTTTAGCCATGTTAGAATGCTGTTACCTCCTCAAAAACATACCTGGAGATGTTGGAGTGTTTTGTTTCATTCATGCATTATATAACATAGCTCAAAATGCTCACTTCAACCTTGTGATATCATGAAGCGGTAGTTTTGAGGTTAACAGCTACCTTTTACTTCCTGTTGAGTAGCGATTAACAACTTCAGGGTTGAAATCATCCAAATGAATCTAGGTGAAGGTGCATGGAGTTTGAAGGCCGAGCCTAAATATGCAGGATTTATGTGTTAAACATGTGCAAATGAAACAAAATACAGGAAACAACATTATAACACCGATCAGAAAATAGTGTTAATATGGGCCTTTTAATGGATGTGATTGCACGTTGGCTGCGATGGTGAAAACATTTGGTCAGACCTGTCGCCATGGTGATGCTGACAGCTCTGAGTATTTTATGGCCTGGAGCTAACGATGACCGATGACGCTAGAGATGAATATTTAACAAGACATTTCTCTCTCACCATTATTGTATCTGTCTATCTGTCCATTTAATCATTCTTGAGATCTGTATTTTTGGAGTTTTAAAATTTCATGTTTTTTTTAGTTCCCGCAGTGATTAACAGTTTAAAACAACAATGGGAAATACCCCTTAACGGTATTTATTGACAAACCTTGATATATGCTCTACTGCTGGCATAATCCTGCATTCAAAATTGTTGGTGTAAATAATTTCTTTACTACTTTGTGTTTATATTTTTTAGCAGTGCCAAATTATCAACAAATGTGGCCTTTTTGAATCCAACTGGACCCATCTGTAGTAAAAATGAATTAACCTTCAAAAATCAATGAATCTTGAAATCCTGATTCAAATTTCTCTTCTCTGTGTTTTCAGTCCCATGCATGTCCAACTTCACTGCGCCTTCGGGAACGGTGCTCTCGCCCGATTACCCAGAAGGCTATGGGAACAACATGAACTGCGTTTGGCTCATCCAGTCCGAACCGGGCTCCAGGATCCACTTGGCTTTTAACGACTTTGATCTGGAGGCTCCTTACGATGCTTTGACGGTGAAAGATGGAGAGACCAATGATGCCAATGTGATAGGGAGGTTTTCAGGAGCGGAGAGCCCGTCCCATCTCACGTCCAACACGCACACGCTAAGGCTGGAGTTTCAGGCCGACCACTCCATGTCTGGGAGAGGGTTCAACATCACTTACACCAGTATGTGTTCTCTCAACTAATCACGTTACTTTGAAGTTTAAGCTAGGGTGACCATATTTGCATTTATCAAAACCAGGACACTGTACGGGGGGTGGGAGGTGGGGCCTCGCCATCGACATTGAGCTGCTCTCACCTGGCAAAGCTTTTTAATGTTTTTCAGTGTCCTGGTGAGCTTTGAGGTCCCTGTCACCGCCACTGGACACCAAAACATATGTGCCTGCTTTGTACACTGTGCACATGACCTCCCACTTGTCTCGATCGGGACAGAATGCGGAGAATTTCTTGTACAAGTTATCTTTAAATGCACATTTGCGCTTCAGCATGCTGCAGACTGACCAACTGTTTGGGTCTGCTTGCTCCTTCTGAGTGAACAGAGAGCTACGAGAGCCGCTCAGTTTAATGGCCTAATGAAAGGTAATGAAAACCCAGACATTTGCATCACTTTAAAAAAAAAAAAAAACCCGGACAGCCAGGACAGGACTTGAAAAACGGACATGTCCGGGGGGAAACGGATGTTTGGTCACCCTAGATTAAGCCCTTCTGCTCAGTAAATATCTGCCTGTCAACACAAAACAGACTCAGACTCAGATAAAATCATTGTCAGTATTCTTCTTGGGTAAGGATAAAATGTATTAGGTGACAGTAGCTCAGTTGGTAGAGTGTTTGTCCAATGACCCACATGTTGGCGGTGCAATTCCAGCTCCGACAGATTAATACCATTGTCTGTCTCTGGGCAAAACACTGAACCCCCTTTTCCCCAGTGTCTGTGTGCTGTTGTGGAAAGAATTATATGATAAATAATTTAATCCATTTGCGAATACTGATGAGTTTTTTTTTAATACAGACAAAGGTTTATTCTTGAAACAGAGACCCACCTCTTTACCACCAGTATGCCCTTCTAATATTAGACCCCTAATGTTACAAAGTACATTTAGTTTATATAGCCTGAGATGACCAGAGAACATACATTTCAACTTAGAAGGTGACGAATCCTACTGAGGTGTAGCCAGATGTGCTTGATCTGATTTGCATCCATATTCACATGCATTTGTTACTTCCTGACAAGATGAACAAACAAAAGGGAACAGTAGAAGAGTTTTAGTTACAAGACCAAATGTGTTTCAAAAAGATAAACGAATCACATTTTTAATGTAATCAATCATAATCAATATTTTCCTGTCGGGGTTTGATCTCGGATAGAAATCACATTCAGTTATGCAAAGACAGATTGAGAGAAATTTTTCCATAATATAAATTTCCATCACCGTACACTGGTGTATGGAGGTGTGTGTGAATGGGCGAGTGGTTCCTTGATGTAAAGTGCTTTGAGTGCCTTGAAGGTGGAAAAGGGCTGTATAAAAAGTGACCATTTACAAATTATAGGGTAGTATTGTAGACGGCATAGGATCCAGACACAAAGCTATACTACCTCACTGATGTCCACAAAAACACGGAGTGGAGAACAAAGAGACTGGAGATAAAACTCACAAATGAAACTAGGAACTTATTGTTGTATGGTGTGAATGTATTTTTTGTTAAGGTACGGAAATACAAAGGTATAGATCTAATCCAATTTGCTCAATTAAGAAGCTTGTGTAATTGAACTATGTGGCTCTCCAGGTTTTTCACACCGATTACTATAATTTATCTACAAAACCCGCATAATTGGCAATTTAGTGTTTATTCTTGTTCACTTACATAATTAGTATCAGAGTGATTTTTTCCGCGAGAAGAAAAGACTGACCACCAGGTGAGGTCATTCTCTTAGCTAAGAATAGAGGAGTAGGTTGCATAGCTACTGTGTAAAGAAAACACTTTCTAAGAGAGTCTGTCTGAAAAACATCATTTTAATATAACTTGTTTCTTCCTGTTCAATAGGGGATGAGAAAACCGCAGAAACTGTTAGCCTAGTCCAGTCAAATAAGGAGAGATAATATTTTTTTTCAAATTGCGAAAATGAATATGTGTCTGTAACCTCTGTCAAAACTGGGAACAAAGTACAATTTTTGGTGCATGTGTATCTTTTATCTGATTGAAAAGTGGAGCTTTAGATGTTTGGAAGACTAATTTAACAGACAAAAGCCAGCATCATGTTCAGCAAATAAAAAACATTTGCTTTCTTTTGAAGGCATTGATCTTATAGTCCTGCTCGCTTATGTAGGCTAAGTACACTTTTATTGTTGACAAAAACGATTATTGATGTTTCCTGCTGGGAGACGGATGAAAGACAAATCTTCTAAAGGGGTTTTGTGCAAAATAACTGGTCATTCTTTTCTTTTTATTTGATTTACGTAGCTTCATTGATATTTTGAAATAAGATGTTGAAATTTACAACAAAAAGGAAAATACAGACAGACACTGGGAAAATGTGATTCATTTCACATTTTAGCTCAGACTGGTTCTGCCATATGGGGTAAGAACCAGTTAAATGAACAGGTGAGTCAGGGAGGGCATCTGGCAAAAGGGAAAAACTATCCCAAATCATCCTAAATATTTATCCGTTCCCTAGCTAAATTTTTAAAGGTTATCAAATGTACAACTGAGTAATGAATAATATTTAGTACTTTCTCGAAGCTTTTCATCAGTCAGATTATGAAAAGAGAAAATTTTAAGAGGTGGACCCATAGTATCTAACAGATTAGGAGATTATGTCCACAAATACAATAGAGGAGTCCAAAGTTTCTTGAAAAATGATCACATTAAGTACAAATAACAGCTCTGTATTTTGAACTCTCAATCTATTTCAATATCTTGCTAATTATACATTTTCAACATTTTATCCTCAGCGTTTGGCCATAATGAGTGCCCCGATCCCGGCATTCCCATCAACGCCCGTCGCTTCGGAGACAGCTTCCAGCTCGGCAGCTCCATCTCAGTGGTGTGTGAGGACGGATTTATCAAAACGCAAGGGAGCGAGACCATCTCCTGTCAGCTGGAGAAAGGCAAAGTCATGTGGAGTGGGCCCATTCCTAAATGTGAAGGTAAATATTGACTGCATAGATTAGCTCCTTCATTTAGGATATGATATGCCAGATTAGGCATTATACAGTTTAAAAACATTAGGTGCTCATAATGAACTGCTTCGTATGCCTCAGTGCACAAATGAAAAGAGAAGAGTCCTTATTGTGGGTGACCTTTAACCTTCTACCAGCTATTAGCATAATAACAAAGCATTCGTATTCTTTTGCACTTGTCAGGCTTTTCAAAAATGCTTTTTACAGTGAACAGCTTTGACCATGCCATTTGACATAGTCTGCCATTTTTCAGTTTTTCAGTTTTTCTATTTAAATGCCACTTAAAAAATGAAATGCATTGCTTTTAACTCTAAGGTTGACACAATATCGTCCGCACTATTCTTGACTTGAGTGAGGTTTTGAAGTTCAGTGTGACATATATGAAGGAGAAACTGTGTAATATTGTATGTGTCCTCTTTCTTTCTCTCGTAGCTCCATGTGGCGGGCATTACTCGGCCCCTAATGGCGTGATCCTGTCTCCTGGTTGGCCTGGTTACTATAAAGACTCCCTCAACTGCGAGTGGGTCATTGAAACTGAACCAGGGCGTTCAATCAAAATCACGTTTGACAGGTGGGTGGCACGTCCTGTATGTTATAAAGACCTAAATGTCCCAATGTGGGTTCATGCATTAAAACAGCCATCAATTACTCAGCGGATTGACAAGTGGAAACCTAAAACTTTACGGTATTGCCAGGGAATGTAATTATGGCCGGTTTCTCTTTATTGGCGGTATTAATCATCTCAGTGGACCGGTTATTTTATCCAGAACTCTGTGATAAAACATGCATCAGTATATTAGAAAGCCTTTGGTATTACTATTATAGGTGCCTAAAATAGAATTAATGTGATATTTTTAAATGAAAAAAATGAAAAATAAAAAAACATCCCATGTACATTATTGCATGATTGGGATACATATTGTCTGTATGCCAACTGTAAACACAATTCAGATAATATAGGTAGATTGGCATTAAGATACAATTAAAGTAAGTCAGTACTTGTCTCTATAAACATGTGACTTTTTTCATGTTAAATTATATTTATGCCTATAGGTTTCAAACTGAACTCGGATATGATTTCCTGGAGATCCACGACGGGCCCAACCTGCTGTCTCCTCTGGTCGGCTCGTTCAATGGCACCCAGGTCCCTCAGTTTCTGTTCAGCAGCAGCAACTTCCTCTATCTGCTCTTCACCACTGATAACAGCCGATCAAACGCAGGCTTCAAAATACTATATGAAAGTACGTAAGATAGGAATGCTCTGTATTTGATATTCCCATGTGGACATGCATGCATATTCCATATCTACTACCATGCCATTTCTTCTAAAGATAAGTGTAAATAAGTGCGCTTTTTATTTATAGTATGTGTTATATATTGTATGATTTTGTCTTATTTTTACTGCCTAAGTGCATATATAGCTTCCAGACAGCAAGTAACTGTAACTGCATACCGCTTGACAAGCTTTGAAGATAATTTTTAAGCCATGAAAAACAAAGCATCACTTGCATATTATAGCACTTTACCTGGGGAGTATAATACTTAATCCCCTGAGTTTAGATATGCAAATATGTGGGATGAAAGTAGAGCAGTTTAATATGCATTTCATGATAGTTATTTAATTTTGTGTTGTTCTTCAGGTGTTACGGTGGACAGTTACTCCTGCTTGGACCCTGGTATCCCTGTCAATGGCATCAGATATGGACAGGACTTCTCCATTGGCTCCACTGTGTCATTTGGGTGTGATTCTGGGTACAGGCTCAGCCATGAAGAGCCGCTGGTCTGTGAGAAGAATCACTGGTGGAGCCACCCTCTGCCCACCTGTGACGGTAAGCATCTTTTATAGGCTACATGGTACTGAGTAGAATTACATGCAGCAAATTATTGAATTTTTATGAGGTGTGTGTACTTTAATAGCACTGTATAGTGTTAAATGTTTCATCTTGAACACTGGCAGCACAGTGGTTAGAGCTTAAGTCTCACAGCATGAAGGTCGTGGGAGTTAAACCCATGACCTCCTTTTTGTTAAATAGGTTCTAACACTTTATTTAAAAAAATGTAATGGTGGGTTGCAAAGCATTAATAAAACATTGGCTGAACAGTCTATAACTGCTGTGAGATTGAATGCAAATACAGTGCAATTTTAGATGGGTAAGGTCTTTTATATAAGAGAAATAAATATATGCCTGTTTATGACATGTTATGAGATGTGCTATTAGAGTCACATTTTAAAAAGTAGTTTTATTTTGATATGTCTTTTTATAAAGGCATTTGATTTCAGCTCTAACCTCCTCAACAAGCATTCAAATGGCTGTATTAGTAATGCATGGTGGTAAAGGTCGACTTGCTGGAAAATGAATTGAGCTGACTGCGTTACGATCAAAAAGCCACCAGTTGAATCAGGCGGCTGCGTGTGCACTGGGAGCACGCTGAGGCAATTTGTGGAGGAAGCGCGGCGTGGCTGATGGGGCTGATTTGAAGATTAGAGCTCCATGACCACATATATGTCTCTGTCACACGTTCCCCCTGTGTCCCTGTGCACCGCCCTTTTATCCCGTCACCTCCTCTCCCGGGTGAAGCGCAAACTCAGGTCCCTTTGACTGGGCCCTGTGTTGCCTGTCACCTCCTCTCGCCCCACTCTCAAATCAAGGAGGCAGCGGAGGTGATGTGTGTGCGGAGGTGGTAGGAGGGGGCGCGGGGATGGTAGTAGGGGGGCGCAGGGGTGTGTCTTTGTCTCAGTTGCAGTATGGGTGAGGACATAAGAAGAAGAGGGGAATAAAGCGCCGGTAAATGCTGTGCTATCGGTTAGATTCTCGCTGTGTAGGATTTGCTGGCTTCTGTGCTTGTTAACCACATTTGAATTGCACTGTTCCTGGGAACATTTCCTCGGAGGAGCCAGTTTGTGCAGATAAACATCAAACAGACTGGGATTCTTGGATGGCGTGTCATTAGGCACTGTTTATTCACCATGTAGGCTCATAAAGATAGGCACCGCTGACAGCTGCGGTTGGTAAGAAATGGTTTAGCCTCAGTAACATATTCACAAGATGACAGACTTCCAACCACATAACAGCTGTTTATTTACAATAAGCGCTGAAATGTTCTCCAATATTGATGAGAAGGTCACCTCTTTGTCAAAAGGGAGTCATTTCAGTGAAACTGCTCATAATTGCAGCAGTGAACAAAGCAACAGGGAGTCATATTGTAATGAAGTAAACCAACAGTGGCAAAGACGTAATGAGTGGGTTTCACACTTCTCAAATCCTCCACGTAAACATTAAAACATTCCTGGCAGGAAAGTATTAATAATTAAACATTTGTGCATGAGCGCACATATCTGATTATGTGAATACAGCGTGCTCTGCATCTTTATGTCTGTGTTTATTTAGAAACATTCTCCAGGTCTTTTTTGGATTCTTCTGCTGTTGTGGTTACAGTCTGCATTGTCTGTTTTATGTCATTGTAGATGTCTCCCAGTGGTTTGTGGTTTGTAGTCTGACTTAGTAATCTTAGACTTAGACTTAGACAGACTTTATTGATCCACAAGGGAAATTACTTGGACTCCACATAATATACTTTGACCTTCTCTACGAGTTGGCCATCTGATGACAAATGACAAGCAAGTCAGCTGAAAGTAAGATGAACCAAATGAAGCAGCAGATACCAAGTACCATGCGAAAAAACTGTCCATAAGTATGCACTTTGTTATATTCATCCAGTTCTGAGGATATGAGCTCAATCCCAGAGCCCACACTCAGTGTGTGGTCATATGAAAGGTCAGACAGAGTGCATAATTGACTCTAATGTCCTGTGCAGCTTTCATGTCATTCTGGGATGTTCCATTTCAAATTACAAAGTGGTAATGTCATTTCGGTTGTGTTCACATACACACAATAACAGACTGAACAACAGTCTGTGAGCAAGTTTTGCTGGTTTACACCTTTTTACCTCTGAAAATCTAACACACAAGTTTGAGTAAAACCAATCCATAGTTGATAAATGTTTATTTTGTGGATCATATTTAAAAAAACTGGGTACATCTTACATCCATCATTCATTGTATTTTATTTTATTGCTTAGCCTAGATTATTTGGCTTTTGATTGATTTGATTTCATTTTTAACTCAATTTGCCAAAAGGCATTTACTTTGATAGATGGCATGCTAAAATGTGCTTAAGGGGATTGAAAAACATATTTTTACGTTACCTTTTGATACAACTTTTTACACTGAAAGTAGTCATTTAGGTGTTTACTGTGGTATACTGTACTCATTTACACTCATTTCAGTCTTAACGTGTACATGTTAATGCTGAAAAAACACAATTATGCTTATAATTGGCCTGGCAGAATAGAGCTGACCCCACAGAGAAACTGAAACTGTTTTGGTTATCAACACTTTGATCTGACCTTTTTGGCTCTTTGTCCCCTGTCTCTGCACATGTCCATCTTCCATCTCTCTGGATCCTTCAGCTCTGTGCGGAGGAGATGTTCGTGGGCCCTGGGGAACCATTCTGAGTCCTGGATATCCCGATAGTTACCCCTCGTCTCTCAACTGCACCTGGACTGTGGAAGTCAGCCACGGCAAAGGTACGGCGCACGCACGCGCGCATGCACACGCACACGCACACTAGGGGAGTGAAAGCTACTATTGTTTACCTTTTATGGTAATATGTGCAGTTTAGATACTTGGATAACAAAATTGATCTTTAGTAAATCTCACAAAACTGAAGTCATCTACATTTTAAAATAATTGGATAGTCTTTATTTTAATGAATTTGAATTTTAATGTTTATTTTATGTTTTATATTTTAATAAACATGACTGAGACAGTGAGCTAGCTTGCATGCTGAACGTGCATGAACATGTTTAGGGCTTAGTCTTGAATAATAGCACCTCTTTCTGAATCTGTTTTTTTGCTGAAAACACATTGAATCTAATTCTGCTAGAATTCTGACCTATCTTCCAGCTCAGTTTTAAAATATAGGCTTTCTAGAATGAGGAAAAGAGGTCACACAAGGCCACCTTTTGGAATAGCCTTTACAAAATGGTCAATTAGGAAATAAATAGAACAAAAAAGAAAAATGACAATGTCCCAAATTCATAAATATTCAGGCCATCGTAACTTCCCACAAGAGCTTCATCCATCTTGTTTAATTTTGTTTTTTTCTGTCCCACCAGGAGTCCAGTTTCAGTTCAACTCCTTTCACCTGGAGGACCAACATGACTACCTGCTGCTGACGGAAAACGGGAGCTTCGTGCAGCCGCTGGCCCGTCTCACCGGAAATGAGTTACCTAGCAACATTAACGCCGGTCTCTATGGCAACTTCAAAGCCCAGCTCCGTTTCATCTCTGACTTCTCCATTTCCTATGAGGGCTTCAACATAACTTTCTCTGGTAAAACTGCATAAACTCGGACATAGTTGAGTTGAACAGTATACCTATACATAGGCTTCAAACTTTTTGGCTATTTTTAGCTATATATTTTCAGGTCAGCTTGGTGTTGTGTCTAGATACGTTCACAAGAGGGTTGGGTGGGTGAGTGTGAGGTTTGTCTCACTGAATAAATTAGGAATCCACATCCACATATTCCTACATATGAGGAAAAACAATTTTAAAATCATTGCCATAGAAGTCAGAGCACATGTTTCTTGTCTTGTGTGTATAGATCAATATTACTATTTAAAATTGTAATCGAATGATCCACAGGTGTCGAAGATTTTAACTATACAGCAGAGAAAAGCACAATATGTCTTCTTTTAGCTTTGAAAATATTTAGCTGGTGATCGATTTCTCTATTGTCCTGGCGCATAGTCCTGTTGGCTTTAGAGTTAGTGGGTCAGTGCTCTATTGAAGAGGAGGGTTGGGGCCAAAGACAGACACTGCCCTGGGCTACAAGTGTCCCTCATAAATCACGCCTCTGTCACAGCGTCTCCCCTATTGACTCCGGAGGAAAAGAGCGCAGAAATCTGAATGTACTAACGCTACATTTTTACCGCCTCCCAGATGGCGTAAAGCCGATACTCCCCATATAACACATGGAGGTGTCACTAGAAATGGGACTTGCCAACTTACAACATGCTCTACATGCTGGGCCAAACTCCAGAGCGCTCACAAAGACATACTGTATCATCATATGAGCATGATAAAAATATATTTGGGGACTCATGGTGAGCTCAAAATCAAACAAGTGCTTCTCAAACACAGTGGGATGTATTCTGACATGTTTTTAGATATTTTGGTTAATTAGTGTCAGAGTATTAGAGTGAAATTCAATTTTCATTTTTCAAACTTTTATTATTAAAGAAACACTTAATACAAATCAATGTGCACAAAAATATGATTTACTTACAAAAAAGCACTTCCAATTAAATTGTACCTTTTCTGGCAGACAGTAAAGCACCTACTTGTCTCCATGACAGTATTGCTTTACCTGGCATTTTTCACAGTATGGCATGTTTTTTATTATTGCAGCAGACTACAACTCTCCACAAAAAATGTTACATAGTGCACTTTCATAGACTGAATAGATATTGAATTCAATTTGAAGTTAACCTAAAGTACACAGTCCCTTATGCTACAAAGGACAAACACAAACTTTGTATTATATTGTATTATAAGTGTTGTATTTTTGCTTTTTCACTGTTCCAGAATACACTTTGGAGCCATGTGAAGATCCCGGGATGCCGCGGTTTGGACGGAGGAATGGCTACAGTTTTGGAGTTGGTGACACATTGACGTTTTCTTGCAATGTGGGATATCGCTTAGAGGGGGCGCCGGAGCTAGTGTGTCTGGGAGGAGGGCGGAGAATGTGGAGTGCTCCCCTGCCCAGATGTGTTGGTATGTGAAAAAGATTGATTTCAAGTGCTTATATCACACTATTTTCTGATCTCTATCAAAAACATACCTGGAGTTGTTTTGAGTGTTTTGTTTCATTCACACATATTTAGGCTGAGTTCTAAAACAGAAAACACCCTGTGCCATCTTGTGATGTCATGTAGTAATACAGGAAGTGCTCCACTGTGTTTTTAAACACCTTCACTTGAATAATTTGGATCATTTCAGCCCTGGAAGTGAAGTGAACTGAAGTGAACTGAAGGTAAAAGGTAGTTGGTAACTTGAAAACTACCACTTACTGACATCACAAGGTGGAATAGAGTATTTTGAGCTTTGGAGATGTAGACAGAGTAATAAGTAACAACATTATAACATGGCTTAAAATGCACCAGAGTCAATTTTGCTTAATATAGGACCTTTAAATATGTGTCTTAGCTATGTTAAATCTTGCACTTAACCCAATACAACTCCAATGATATCAGGTTACATACTCTCTATTCACTATGTTAAATCGCCAATTTGGAAAAGGAAACTAAATCCATTTTCATATTTAGTTTTGCATCAAACGTTTCTTGCATCAATTTTTTTTATTTATTTATTTTTTTTAAGTCTCAAGGCTTGCTGCAAATGTTGTGGCCTCTCCTTCCATTACGAGACAAAGTGATTGAGCCAGAAGTTGGAGTCCATTATGTTTTATCAGTTTTGATAGTTCACAAGCCAAGAGCGTCCTGCTTTTACCAGACACTCTAAGAGAAATCCATTTTTGATAACTGCAAAACTCATCCTAAATTTCCATCTGTTTGCAATTCTGACTTCCTTTATTTGAACACCCATACAGCTGAGCGCTTTTGCATTGCCTGGTGACCCCATCTGACACTTTTACTGTATAAAATCTGTATTCATTTGCAACTCGGTCACTCCACAAACAGTAAATGTCAGGAAATGTTAATGTGTGGCGGGACCTGAGTGGGTTGGGATTTTCAGCCAATACAAACGCAATAACACTCCCAGTAACTATTGAAGTACAAGCTATAAATGTGATAAAGAGTCCAAAAGTGCCTACTTATGGAGCAGATTACGAGGCAGTTTACATAAGGAGTTTGTTGACTCCACTACACAATTAAACATATTGTTTACAACATGCTGTTTACAATACAAGGACAAGTACATGCAGGCAAGAAGATAACTGCCATAGAAGCCCATGCATACACCACTAGTCTGACATTCCATATCAGTCAGTCAGTTTATTTTTGCAGATTTCTTGTGACTCAGGTGGCACCACAGGGTCAGATTGTGAGTGATTGGTCAGAAAAGTGTTTGGATAGTAAGTAGGCGTGGGGAATAAATACATAAAATAATACAAAAAAATCATAATATTGCATTGTTGCTTTGGATCTATGCCAAATTAGTGTATTGGGTATATCATTTTATTAAAGAGCTCATCTAATTCTATCTAACTACCACAGTCCTGTCTGATTATTTTCACCGAGATAATCCCAAAAAATTCAACTAGATTTTCATGTGTCAGTATCGCCCACCCCTATAATTGCAAGCCATACCAGTCACCCTCAGGGCAGCTGTGGGGACAGTAACTTCACCAAGTGTGGGAAGTGAATGAATAATACAACCTAAAGCAACTTTTTGTCCAAAGAAAACTACTCTATTTATAGGCGATATACAGGCAAAAATAGACAATTACGCAAAACTGACTTGTGAGCTTAAAGCGATGTTACAGTGTTGTTACCTCATCGAAAACATACCTGGAGTTGTGTTTTTTTCCATTTACATGCGTAATCCTGCGTTATTAGTTTGTCTGAATCTCCAAAGCTCTCTTCCACCTTGTGATGTCATGCAGTGGTATATTTCAATTTAACAGGTCCTTTTACCTTTTGTTTCATTAGAGATTGGAAATTCCATGGCTGAAAATATCCAAATGATTCTAGTGAAGGTGCATGGAGTTTAAAAACACAATAGAGCGCTTCCTGTATTACCACATGACATCACAAGGTGGAACAGTGTGTTTTCCGTTTGAGAGAAGAACTCAGCCTAAATGTGCAGTTTTTGTGTGTTAAACTTGTGCGTGAAACAAAACACAGCTCCAGGTATGTTTGTGATGAGGAAACAGTATTATAACATAGATCAGAAAATAATTCAATATGAATTTGTGTATCATTCGTTCATTCGTTTTTTCAAAATAAAGTGTCCTTTTTTGCTAATTCCCAGAAAAACTACACAAAGCAAGAAATGACTAAAACACTTTGAAGGGGTCCATATTAATCTGTGTATCATTCGTTCATTCGTTTTTCAAAATAAAACCAAAAATAAGAAAACGAAAAAACAACAATTTTCTTCTTTATTTGTCTCCAAAACCAAAATGGAAGAAAAAAGAAAAAAAAAAACAGATAACGATTTGTGGGATCAGTCCTGGTTCAATCCTGGTTCAGTCCCACATCACATTTTAAGTCACAGGAAACAGGAAATGTCCTTTATCAATTTTTCCATTATTCCATTCCATTCCATTATTTATCAATTTTTTGGTTTTGGAGACACATAATGAAGAAAATAGTTTTTTTTTTTATTATTTTCTTTTTGGTTTTATTTTGAAAAACGAATGAATGGTTGATACACGGGTTAATATGGACCACTTCAGCATGTTTTAGTCATTTCTTGCTTTGTGTAGTTTTTCCAGAAACTATCAAAAAAGGACGCACAAAAACATGCAGTCTGAAATAACTATGTTGGGATAAGATGTACAAAGTTCGAAATCTTGGTCTCAACTTTCAGGACTTCACTATAGTGCTTTGATGAGTAGACTTCTCATTGGACACACAAGCCTTTGACAGTAGAGAGGATTAGCTAAATGAGCATCTCGACGCCGATAATACCTTGTACCTTTAACTTGAGGGTGTTTGAGAGTGGATAAAAGTGCGTCAAATCTGATTGGATTTGGGCTGCAGATTTACAATCAATAAACAGCGATGATAAAGACGTCAGAGCAGAAAGGAGGAAAATAGGTTCAGAAAGCAGCACACAGTATATGATGATTTAATTTTAGATCACTTCAGAGAGTTTCATGTTTTATTTTTAACATAAAAGTTGTTTTACGGACAGCTTTTTCAACCTGTTATACGAGATTATGCAAAAGTATGAAAAAAACACAAAAACTTCCTCCATCAGGTATATTTACGATACTCTAATAATTAAAGGTGCGTTGTGTAACTTTTCTGGAGGGTCCGTCACCTGCCTCTGTCTATGAATATTTAATTGCTCTGCCCAGAATGTTCCGGGCAGAGCAATTAAGCATCTCTACCTTATATTTATTCAGTTTATTAAATACCTAGAAAAACAGGTATTTTTCTGTCAGCAGGGTTGCCTCTCCACAGATCTGACCTGTATCTTGATTTGGTTTGGTCTCTATGAACATAGAAAGGCTTAATGCCACACTGTGAAACATTCCGGACAACGCATTTGAAGGACCCTCCACTAGAAAAGTTACACAATGCACCTTTAAGTGAGATTAAACACAAGTCAAACTAAATCATTACTAAATTTAAACCTATGAAAATTTGCTCCACTACTTTTAATACTTTGACACATCTTTATTAGTGCTAGTCAGAGGTGGGACCAAGTCGTTGTTTTTCAAGTCTCAAGTAAGTCTCAAGTCTTTGACCTCAAGTCCAAGTCAAGTCCCAAGTCAAATACAGGCAGGTCCAAGTCGAGTCTTGAGTCACTGGCCCATAAGTCCAAGTCAAGTCCAAGTCGTCTGCTTTGAGCTTCAAGTCAAACCAAAGTACCAAATACAGCTTAGATTTTTGCAATTTATATGAATTTTAAGATAAATTGTACTTTAAAAAATCATAATATATTTATATTTGAGTATTTATAGAGTATATAAGAGTTTTAGAAATTAATTTAGTACATTTTTTGACAAGATCTGTGAATCATTACAGTCAGAATAGAAAGAGTTCAGATGTAAAAGTGCTTCTCAAGTCTTCTCAAGTCATAGGCCTCAAGTCCGAGTCAAGTCCCAAGTCACTGACTTTCAAGTCCAAGTCAAGTCGCAAGTCTTAGTCCATTTTATCAAGTCAAGTCTCAAGTCCTAAAAATAGTGACTCAAGTCTGACTCGAGTCCAAATCACAACTTGCAAGTCCCCACCGCTGGTACTGGTACATTTATGACAACTTACTAACACTATTTTACTCATATAAAGAGTTAAATTACTCATAAAACTTACTTTAAAAATATTTTTTCAAGTATAATTTGTTATCCAAGGTCTTAAATCAGGTAACTGATATTGAAATGGTTTTTTAGCCCACAAAATTCTTTTATCATTTTTCTTCCTTGCCCTTACTTGTAGGTCAGGCTTTTCACAAGTTTGCACCAGTGCCAAGTTTTCCTTTTTATAATGCTATTGCAGCTTTTAGGAAATTTACCAGAAGTTTTTTAGAGAATTTACTGTTTCAGTACCAGACAGTGAAACAGCGAGCAGAGACTATATGGAGATTTTCATGGGGAATGTTGATTGAAGTGGACGAGCACAGTACTTATAGTAGGATAGAGAGCATGGCTGTGTAGAGTGAAGGGAGTTAAAGAGGCAGAGGGTGGAGAGGTAATTTTCTAAATGGAAACTGTAGCCTTGTGATTTATTGACGATATGACAGCTGTAATATGACTATTACACCAGTGGAGACACGCGGAGGGGCGTGCGAGAGGCAGAGGGAGAGGGAATGAAAAGAGGATAAGGGACAGTGTGTAGATAGAGGGCACATGTGTGAAGTGTACAGATCTTTAGGTAAATTAGCTTTGGGCTTTTACAGCCGAAGCACACTGCTCCAGATGGACGTGCTGACAGTGCAGATGTTCAAACGCACACATACACACACACCCCCACAGACACCCGCCCCCCCACACACACACACTGGAGAGCTGTAAGGGCAGTTGGGCTTAAGACTACTTTAGAGTCAAGGGAGCGATCATTTGTGACTGAAAGTGAGACTAAAATGACTGTGTGAATTGTGGACTGAGCTGTAAGTAGAAACACATTAGCGTCAGCAGCCAAGCCACTGCAAATAGCGAACCCAAGTCATTTTAAACGAGAAGTAAAACAGAATAAAACAACCCTGAATATTCAAAGCTATTTAGAGTCACACAATAAATAAATAAGACTTTGTTCCCTCTCATTTGACGAGTTAGAAGAAAGTTTCCTCGAGTAGTGTTGTAATAATTACCTCCTTGTTTCCTAAATTCCCTACTCTGAAAATGGCAACCAAATTGTACCAGAAGTATTCCGATTTTTTCCATAATAATCTAACAAACAAATTAAAGTTTGCAGTCGCTTGGGTCTGAACCACATCCCCCAAAGCGTATAGCAATAATTACTCTTGACTGAATCATAGAACAAATCTAATCACATTTTCTTCTTGTCAAACAGCTGAGTGTGGCTCCTCTGTCATCAACAATGAAGGGATTCTTCTGTCTCCAAACTACCCTATGAACTATGACAATAACCATGAGTGCATCTACAGTATACAGGTACGTATTTTTACTTTTGCTTTTTTTACTTTTACATGGTATTTGTATTATTTTGTTATAATTTAAATGAATGAATTCACTGTGATACCCATTTTAGACAGATGTTGCCATTCCTGTATTTACAAATATGCTATGTTGAACCATGAAAAGTTATTAATAAAGTTGTTAATCTTGTTGTACCTTCCTCCTCTAAAGTGCATAACTTCTCAGAGTATTAATATTGGATTTTTATACTGAGTAATTAGAATTACACCTCTTCTGGCTGTTTACAGCACTCTCAAAAACATTTCCAATTAGCCACGGATGAAATATTGGTTTAGCTTTCAACCCGCCAGCAAGCAATCCTTATTATTATCTGATGATCCAACATTATGAAATATGACTACGTTCTGTTCCCAAAATATTACAGTGAATAATATTAGGATTATGTTAGGAATTTTCACTCTGGATGGAGATCATGACCTGAAAAATCAGTTTATCATAAAATTCTGTATTGATCTATTATGTAGAGTCAGCAATTAACACATTTTAACACAGGATAGCACTCATTTTCTGTCTCTTTAACTGCTTTTCCTTTTAGATTATTTTATTTTATTTTTTTTATACAAACGGATAAAAAAAAGCATTGTCGGCCATCTTGTCAGCTATTTGTCAGTGCTTGTTAATTTAGCTGAAATCTGTGGTATCTGATGTTTGCCTCAGGTGCAGGCTGGCAAAGGCATCAACATTTCAGCGCGCACCTTTCATCTGGCCCAGGGGGACATACTCAAGGTAAACAGACAGTTTGTGATGGCTCTTTGTCATTCTGCATGTCTCACATCTGCTGCTACTACCACTCATCAGCACCACTATACTGCAGTGACTAACAGGTGCGAAATTACATCTTATTTATTTGTATTGTGCTATTTCTCCAGGTGCATGATGGGAAAGACAACACGGCCCATGTGCTCGGAGCTTTTACCGGGACGTCCATGCTGGGGCTGACCCTCATCTCCACTTCGAATCATCTTTGGCTGGAGTTTTTTAGCGATGGGGAAAGTACAGGGGAAGGATTTAAACTGGTCTATTCAAGTGAGTGCACAAACCTAGCTATTGTTAACAGTGAATAGTGGGGAAAGTCGTGCTGTGAGGGTGACCGCAGAGCTCTTTTTACATATAAACTCTGCTCCATATTAAAAGAACCAGGTCAGGTTTTGCAAGCGACACAACAGGAGGCATCTTTCTCACTGTGTAGGCTATTATTTAAAAATCTGACAAATCTTTTTTTTTTTAAATTGAGAGAATCCAAACGTAAATAGGGCTTATTTTCATATCCTGGTTAAGAACAAATGAATTAGGCTCTGTAGGACTTCGACTTTTAATGTGTTTAAAATCAATTGCTTTCACTAAACTTTGTTATGAAAGACTTTGTGCTAATGGCAGTCTGCCGTCTTATAGGAAGAACTCCCACGCTTTAATAGAATATGTGTGTATTGGGGTCACAGATGAATTGCGCAGGAGGACTTATAATGCCTTGTGCACTTGTTGATATTACTGCTGCATGCATTTAAATTAGTGATTAGGTCTGAGCCCGTTAAAGGCAAGCACTTCACCTCAGAAGACTTTGTGGTTTATTATGGATTGACAACTTGATACATTTTCATACATTTGCATAAAGACTTTATTAGTTACAGATATAAGTAAAGATTATGTTCAGGTTCATTTGAGTTCAGATGCAGTCACAGAGTCGATAATGCACTGTAATAATATATTGTCAGTGATATATATGGTGTATGTACAGGGTGTAATCCTTATTAAACAAAGCCCTTGTGTTGTAACTGTATATTGAAGGCTACCAAATCAACTGGCACCAAGATGTTGAGCCAAATCTCTCCAAAATCATTTACATTATTATTATTATTATATATTGTGACAGCCCACAATTTTATTGTGAGACTTTTGACGATACAATATCACTATATTTTGGTTATTGTTACATCCCTATTCATAGGTTCCTCTTTCAGACCAAGAGTTTGTTTTCATACCTGACAGTTTCGACTGCTTACTAGAGGTCTTCCTCAGAGTGGTCACGTGATGTTGCTGTGTCGTGTCTGGTCACTGGACTGATGGCGCTGTCGTCTTGCCTCCACCGGTAGGAAGACAGCGCCAAAACCTATATAAATCAGCTGACCAGACACATCACAGCAACATAACATGACCACTCTGAGGAAGACCACTAGTGAACAGTCAGAACCATCAGGTATAAAAACAAACTCTTTGTCTGAAAAAAGAACCTAATAACCAATTGTCGCAAGACCAAATGAACCTCATTGGAAGATTGTCCCTTGTAAATTAATGACTGAAAAGTGATTGTTTCAGTAAATGACCCTTAAAAGTGCACTATGTAAATTTTCTGATGATGTTTTATTAAGTCTGGCCTTAAACAGTCTCTCTCAACTGAGATAAACAGGTGATGCCACAAGGCCAAGTCACAGAACAGATCTGTGGAGAGGTATAGTAAGGTATAGTAATATATAGTAAGTATAGAGGTATAGGTAAGGTAGAGGTAGAGGTAGAGGTAAGAGGTATAGTAAGTATAGAGGTATAGTAAGAAGGCATTTGTTTTAAAACATATGTAATTGAAGAAATGCAAAATTCTTATGTTTTTTGTAACACTGGCGCATTCCAGGCAGGGTAATAACATCTCCAGGGTCCAGAGAGACAAGAGAGGTGAGCCTCATCAAAAAAAGTTACACAGTGCATCATTAAAGAACTTAACCTGTTTAGTTGTTGCTATAAACTCTAAACACCAGTCATTTTAACCGTGGCAATAGTCATTTCAGAGACTCTTAAATTGCCTCTGCTTAATCACATCTCTACAGAACCAACTTGTGTTTAATTTATTGTAACCCTAAATGTTTCTCATCATCATCAGACTGATTGTACATTCCCCACTGCAGCGATCAAACAAAACATGTCACAAGTGATTAGCAAAGCCAAGTGAGAGAGCGCTCAGTTTCTATGTGGGACGGTATTTAAAAGGTGCATCGTATTCGGCGAAGCACACCCACACTCACGGTGCCCCTCAGATCAGCCTCTGAATTACAAAACCTAATTGTTTAAATGGAGACGTGTGGATCATTTGCATTCCTCTGAAGTTAGTGTCTCTCAGCTTCTGCAAGTATTACATAATTATCTCTCCATAGCCCACCTTTTTACCATTAACTTTAAGGGTGCATTGTGTAACTTTTCTGGTTGAGGGTCTGTCAAATGCTTTTCTTCACGGATATGTCATTGCTTTCTCTGGTATTTTTTTTGTATTTTTGAGCAGTAAAACCACCTGTGATTGAATAAATGTAGGGTAGAGCTGTTTAAAATCATACCGTGAAACATTCCAGGTGGAGCAATGACATATCCAAGAAGTTACATAGTGCATATTTAACTGTATTTTGTTTATTAGACTTTGTGACAATATGGTTGATAAATGATGATAAATAATGCAAGTTTGTTTTTTATGTGTGAAAGGTCTTCTAAGGCATGCTGCTTTCAAATGGGCTCAGCTTATTATGTTAATAACTGAGTTACTTAAAAACATTTATGATCCCTTTACAGTTAAAAAATACTCATGTGTTATTCATCGGCTTACTTTATACTGCTTCCTCATAAATACACAACAGTATGGCTGCTTTTGGCCGTCACTGATTTAATGCTGTTGGAGTGGCACATTAGCAAGGTCACGAGAAGGGGGGTCATTCAGTACATTTGTGTGTAAAGGTTTAGGCTGAATCAAGGTTTATCCTTTTGTAAGATGTTGCCTCGGCATGTAAAGTTTGCCAATTAGTCAATTCTGGTTCACATTGCTATTGGATGCATTATATATTTTTATCAGTTATTATGATGTATATGTATTTCATTTTTATCCTGCTTTTTTAAATTAACACTTAGAAGCACAATCGAGTAGCTGTATCGCTTTTCTATTCCAATCATAAACTGTACATCAGGGGTCTCCAGCCTTTTTCCTCAGGTGAGCTACCTATACAATATGAAAATTCCAAAGAGCTATTAATTTTTGCGTTCGCAGGAAATAAAGCATACATAAGACCTATGGCAAGACTTAGATGGGGTACAGTTTGATAGAACATAAACCATTATTAATTTGTGAGTAATAATAGGCATTTAATTCATCAAATCTGAGTCATTCAGGACAATATGTGTAATTCTGAAATCCCTTGGTGAGCTACATGAAAGGGGGTAGAGCTTCAGGTTGGAGACTCCTGTTGTATATATAACCCACGTCCCAAATAGGAAGTGAACGTGGGGTTGCTTCATCAACTTTACGTTGTCACCTCTCTCTCTGTAACTGCTGCAGATTACTGCTTCTATAAGTGCCAGCCTCATGAGCTTCATTTGACTGAGCTGAGCGCTAAGGGTGACGTCACACTCCCTTAGCCCACTTTTTCATACAGTCTATGATTCCACAGAAATTTACTCTAGTGATTTCAAGTTATTTTCTGTGAATGTAAGTTTCAGGAGGGTTTGTATCTTTGATCAAATTCTTGCAGTTGTCTCGGGATAAGTTATTTATAGCACCTGTATGCCTCTTGCCAAATATTGCACAAGAATAGATGAATGTGAGTAATGGAGCTAGCGTAAATTCAGCCTGGAAGACCTAATTTGCTTCACTTCACTGTTTCTCCAGATTTTACCTGCTCTCAGTGTTCATCACCTCACTCCAGTGACTCCTCCCCACTCTTCGCTGCAGCTCCTCCTCGTCCAATCAACACCTAGTTTAGCCCAATTTAAACCCTTATTGCAGATGCCCCACCTCCTCCCAGCACCCCCGTCACTCTGTCTCTCCTCATCCTTTCAAATTTCCCTTCACTCTCTTCATCCTCTCATCATCCCCTTCACTCTCCTCGTTGTCTCGTCATCTCCTCATTGTCTCCTTCAGTATTCTCATCCTCTCATCGTCCCCTTCATTCTCCTCATCACCTCATTCATTCTCATCATCCCCTCATCATCATCCCCTTCACTCTCCTCATCCTCTCATCTTTCCCTCACTCTCCTCATCCTCTCATCTCTCTCTCACTCTCCTTATCCTTTCATCATCCCCTTCACTTTTCTTATCATCTCATTTTCCCCTTTACTCTCCTTATCATCTCATCTTTCCCTTCACTCTCCTCATCCTCTGAATATCTCCTTCACTCTCCTCATCCTCTCATCTTCTCCTTCACTCTCCTCATCCTCTCATCATCTCCTTCACTCCCCTCATTCTCTCATTGTCCCTTTCACTCTCCTCATCCCCTTATTGTCTCTTTCACTATCCTCATCCTCTCATCTTTTCCTTTACTCTCCTCATTCTCTCATCATCCCTTTCCCTCTCCTCATCCTCACCTCTACCACCTCCAGTGTCCAGGCCCTGCGGGGAAGCCTCCTAAACGTCATCTAATCACTCACGCCCTTCATCACAAAGTCCTCTACCAAGGTCTGAGTGCCAGAGTTAACTCATTCAATAAAGCTACTAATGCTTTTCTCTTCATCTGTCTGAGTTTCTACAGGTTGAATTACTGCTATAGAAAATACGGAGCACCGCATTTATATAATTGAATAAGTGCATCAAGTGTGCACTTGATGTAGTAGTATCTCTTTTGTCTTTAGATTTAGATGGGAGAAATAAAACAGACTGTGTTATTTGTCAATTAACTCTGTACCTGGAGATAGGGACGGGAGGATGAGAAGCCGAGGGGGTGCTGTGGAGGAGTCTTTGGAGTGAGGCGATGAAAGCTGAGAAGCGGGTAAACTCTGGAAAAGCAGTGAAGTAGATGGGAGAGAAGTCAGGTCCTCCAGACTGAATTTATGCTAGCTCCATTTTAAGAGTTTAGTTGCGTATTCCAATGACCCAGATCTTGTTTTGTTGAGTGGGTGTTATATATCCCACTGCTTGTCCCCCGCTAAGCACACTCACATGAAAAGGATTTGCCTCATTTTCTCCTTATCTTTCCAGGTTTTGAGTTATCTCATTGTGAAGACCCAGGGGTGCCTCAGTTTGGCTTCAAGGTCAACGACCAAGGGCACTTCTCGGGCAGCAGCATCACATACAGATGCGAGCCCGGCTACACCCTGCACGGAGCCACCACTCTCAAGTGTATGACGGGCGAGCGCAGGGCCTGGGATAATCCTCTGCCTTCCTGTATTGGTATGTACTGTTTTTGCTATAGGACGGTACACAAGGGATACTGTGTGGGGATGTGTGAAATGACATCCCACAGTGTGTACAGCATGTTGTTGAGATTGGTTCTTGGAAAATAGACCTGATGGAAAAATCTGGGGAAAAAAAGAAAAAAATATATAGATAGGACAGTAGAATAAAACATTAAACAATACAAGCATAATAAACATGAAAACAAGACACAGGTACATAAAAGAATAATACAACCATCTTATGATATAGAACAACTTCGATAATAGTGTCCTAACCATATCTGTATGTATCAATCTTTTAATGACAGTCGGAACAACACAGATCCGATTTTTTTCTTTCAAATGCGACCCAGGCCACTTGGATATGTGGTCCTAAAACTGATACATAGCCGATCTTTTAACACGCGACTTCAGTCTGAGCAGCCAGGTCACATTCATCCGACCGAGACGTGTTTCATCCAGCGAAAGAGGTACAAGTAGGCACTCGCAAATGTACAGTAATGTTCATCTCGTCATATGAAAATTGTGTATGAACTCCGTGTCAGTGAAGCAGAGAAGCTCATAGCAATCCCACCACTCTTGGCTACAACTCCGCACCCACAGCTTGTCCAAGAAAGGGTGGAAGTGAAAGGCTGAAGATCATTTGGATGTCTTATGCAGGAGAAGTTTATTTACCATCAACAATACGGGCCCGGAGGGATTGAAAAGTCAGCATAGTATGATTTCACAAGAACATGACATGATCTTTGAGTGTTCAAGCCCCTTGACTATGCTTCCAAAGGAGGAGGTTTATAAAACAAGTGTGGTGAGACTATGAAGGTCAGTAGGCACCGGTTAGTCAGCAATATGCCACAATTTAGGTATGCCAATGGTATGCCAAGAGAAGATCATGGTGTAAATATAGCTTTTGTCAGTCAATGTTAAACTGAAATGTTCATGGAAGATAAATTACAGAAATTCTCTTACACTTTCTACGGACGTTGCTGCCACTGCCCCACAAAACACCATGGCTAAAAACCTCGTCCTTCTCCCTCTCAATCTCCTCCATAAAACAAATAAGATGTACATATTCTGGCTCCTGTACAGCAGCAACTTTAAAATCGCCAAGTGCTCAATACTAGTGTCCATGTTTAGGCTATTACGAAATGTGAACAGCTTTGCAAAAAAATTGGATTTCACAAAAAAATCTGAATTGACCAGTAACCCCTGCAGTCTGAACATAGCCAAAGGCAAACAAAAGGTCGATAGAAGTAACAATAGCGGGTTTTAAGATGTTGATGAAATATATAGTGAGCGCCCTATCAGCTATATTGATTTTCTTTGCCTTTATTTATTAAATTCTCAAGCAGCCCTTATTAACAACTAAAATCTACACAACGACCTGGTGATTCAAACATTAGTGAGACCTTTTGTATGAAACAATTAATCAAAGGTCAGGAATTTAAAGCTTTAAATTAAGCTGTGAAATACCCAAGGCTAAGGTCTGTAAAAGGACAAAGAAATTATTCGCCAGATAAACTAAAATGCTGCTATCGTACCTCATGTTTGTACAAAAGCCCAATGTTATGCACCTGCACCAATTAAATGAGAAAAGAATGGCTGCTCTTCGACCTAGAAACTTAACATTCTTTGAGAGGAGAGAAGTGACTAACTGCATTTCTTCAAAAATGAGTAGGATACATTGTCTATTGACTTTCAGCCGGCAAAAGTCAAGAACATTATAGATTTGCTTTAAAGAAAGTAGTTCAAGTTTTAACTGTCTATTTTATATTTTGACAGCGCCACAGCTAATAAAATATGAATTATGATGCGGAATATCTCAACTACAATTCTGCCCTCGCGCTTTTACACAAAATCTTACAAGAACGCTCAATATTGTGGAAGGAAAAACAGCTGGGGCGCCAATTTCCTCCGGGATCGGATTTTTGATTTTGTCTGGATATCACAGCATGGGGTTGCTCTAAAGACTGTATGAAAAGCCTGTTTATTCAGGACAGTTTACCTGGATGCAGCCCAATTGATCGGTTTCCTCCCCAGCAGTGGATGTTGTGCTGTGTAGTCCGTCTTGTTTTGCTGACAACCGCCTCCACTTTCCTCTCTCGCTACTTGCTTGCATATATAATATTTGTTCCCCTGAATTGCTGTATAATCTCATTTTAATTCACAATTTTGCTTGTCATGTTAAATTTAAAGGTGCACTGTGTAACTTTTCTAGTGGAAGGTCCGCCAAATGCTTTTCTTCATGGAGATGTTATTGCTTTCTCTGGAATTTTTCACAGTATGGCATTAAACCTTTCTATCTTGATAGAGAAAAAAACAGTCCAGTTACAGGTCAGATCTGTGGAGAGGCAACCCCGGTCACAGTCAGAATGCCTCTTTTTCTAAGCTATAAAACCACTTATAATTTAATAAATGTCAGGCAGAGATGTTTAATATCGTACTCTGGAATATTCCAGGCAGAGCAAAGCCATTTCCATAGACCCCCAATCAGTTGGACCCCAATCAAAACATAGTGTACTTTAAATTCACATTAAATTATTTTTAAGTGCAAATATTTTCAGTCAATGCAATGTTAAAGTAACCAGGCTGGCTCTACCTAGTGCCTCGGCTCAATTTTATTTCTCTCCAGCAACTAGGTCAGCAATAAAAATACACTAGACAGTTCTCAAAAACCCCGGAAGTGCAAGTTCGGGCAACAATCAGCGAAGAGCCATATATTCTGTGTTGTCAGCGATTCTCGAGATTGTGGATTTAAAGCCGGAACAAAGAGAATGTTTGGTGAATTTCATCAAGGGGAAAGACGCTATTGCCTTTCTTCCTACGGGATTTGGAAAAAGTTTAATTTACCAGTTAGCCCCCGTTAGCGGTGCAGCGTTAGCAGCAACTGGTTAAAAGATAAAAAGTACCCACCTATCGTCGAGCGAACGAATTCTAGCACTGCGAGGTCAGACGGTTTCTACGAAGTGAAACCGGCTGATGAACCAGGCTAATGTTAAAGGCCCCATATTACACAAAAAATTTTTGTTATTTCCTCAAAAACATACCTGGAGTTTTGTTTTGTTTCATTCCCACGTGCTTAAATAATTCTGTTTTATTAGTCTGTCTATATCCCCAAAGCTCAAAATGTTCTGTCCCATCTTTTGATGTCATGTAGTGGTAGTTTTTAAGTTAGCATCTACATTTTACCTTTAATTCCATAGAGTTTAGCAATTCTAGGTCTGAAATTATCCAAATTATTCTAATGAAGGTGAATGGAGTTTAAAAACACAATGGAACACGTCCTGTATTATCACATGACATCACAAGGTGGAACAGAGTGTTTGCTGTTTGAGAGAAGAACCAAAATATGGAGGGTTTGTGTATTAAAAATGTGTGAATGAAACACAACTCCAGGTATGTTTTTGATGAGGAAACAATATTATAACAGATGAGAAAATAGTTATATTGGGCCTTTCAAATATTGCATAACGATATGATGCAGTACAGCTTTTGAACATTTAATTGCTTTAATTTCTAGTTATCTTTTTCAAACATAATGTGTATTTAACAGTTTAATCATTTTTATCTGAGATCTGTTTTAATAACTATGTAACTTAATCTTGAGCATCACATCTTCTCACTTTTTACTGCTGTGTTTGCTTCCAATTTTAGTCTTGTTTCCTCCATAAATTCTTCCATCTCTCTGCTCCGATTTCTGTCCCTTCTAAGGCGCAACCCAAAAATAAATCTTAATTAAACATAGCTTAATCCAAATTCAGTAACAGCTTTCTATAACTAATTTCTACATTTGTGCATCTGTGTCTTTAAAGATGTCTGCTGTCCTTCCCAGTAGGCCCCTGCTTGACTGACTGCTTTCTCTAATTAAACTCAAACAAATGCTGGGCCTGTATACAGCGACGCCGTGGAAATGGCTCGGGCTACAGCTGCTCCACAGATGGGTGCCACAAGCGTAATGCCCGTTCAATGTTTTAACCACCTTTTCTTCTTTCGCCGCTTCCTCTGAACTTTGTGATTTCGCATTCAGCTTAATAAGTCTCGCTCCATCCCACTATCAATAATGAAACAACTCATAAAACCAGTAGCTTATATTCTGCGACTTTATATTTTAGCAACGTGACCTCAGCTAACCCCCAGTCTTAATATTATATTGCGTCTTATTATTACTCGTAAGGTTTCCAATTTTTAGTCTGCAGTTTTTCTTCCTATTTTGCCTCGTTCACTTCACTCCCTGCTCCTAATATTGCTGCTATTATTCCTGATAATGTATTCTGGTGGAAGAAAGCGAGGGGCAGCCCGAAGCAGGATGAACACGCTGAGGGTAGAGGAAGCAAAGAGAGGATGGAGATTGTGAAAATATAGAACCAAGAGAGACAAAAAGAGAGCAGGGGAATTATTTGGGGGGTTATATAATGTGCAATGATTTTCTTTTGGGAGAAATGCTGCCTCAGCTTTTCGGCTTCCTCCTTCAGAGAAACTTGGACTTTTAGCTTCTTTTTACAACTTCAATTAAAAAGATTGAAAACTAAGTGAAATGAGGAAAATTGAATGCTCCAATTTGCACAGACATGGCACCAAATATGATATTTTATTATTTCTTGTGGTTATTTGATTAAAACCATTTGATGATATTATAGGTTCACTTGGATGGAGCAGTACATGTTAATGAACACTACCAGTCAAAAGTTTTAGAACACCCTAATTTTTCCAGTTTTTATTGCAATTTAAGTCGTGCAAGTCCAATGAAGAGCTTGAAATGGTACAAAGGTAAGAACTGAACAGCCAGAGGTTTAAAAAAAAAGATAAAAGCTAACAAAACACAAGTCTAAGCTCTGCCAAAACTACCTCAGGAAAAAAGAACAAGATGGTAAACTTGAAATCATGGAGTGTCCAGTACAGTCTCCAAACTTAAACCCCATCGAGCAGGTTTAAGATGAACTGGACAGAAGAGTGAAAGCCAAGCAACCTACAAGTGCCACACATTTATGGGAACTTCTGCAACAGACTTGGGAAGAACTTTCTGAAGAATATTTGATTTCTATTGTAAAAAGAAGGTTGACACTTTCATGAATCAAAAGTTTAGAATTTGTTTTGGTCAACAGTAAAAAAAACTGGAAAAAGTGTGGTGTTCTAAAACTTTTGACCAGTGGTGTACATGCCAGCTTTAGCCATCGGGTAATTGTCCTTTCAAACACCAGTGTACATGGACATGGAGGCAAGGTGGTTGAATTCTCTTGCCCAAGGACTGAACAAGTAGTATTTCCAGCCCTAACCAGACCCAGCCCTGCTTATGTTCTTAGATTGGACGAGATGGCGTTATTGTTGTAAAAGTGTTAATTATTTTCAAATACAGTTTACAGTGTCCCAGCAATTTCATATGGATTGCTGAATCTATATGTCTGTATATCTCTGGTGATGCTTTAATCACTCCCCTCTGCCAGCTCATGTGCAACTAGCGAATCTGAGTACACTGATAAACCAGGACAAATAAGGCTTTGCTTGTCATACAGCTCCAGTGGACATACTCTTTTGATGCTCATTGGTTGAACTGGGCTAATCAAACAGATAAACATGTTTTGCGGACATGTGTAGGGGATATGTTGTATGTTAATATTGACTCAGAGGCTAATGTCCCCTTTGTGTATTGCTGTGTTGTAGCTGAGTGCGGTGGACGTTTCAAAGGCGAGTCTTCGGGCCGGATTCTGTCTCCTGGATACCCCTTTCCCTATGACAATAATCTGCGCTGCACCTGGACTATTGAAGTGGACTCTGGAAATATTGTGAGGTAAGACTGAATGGATACGTAAGCAGAGACGACGGTCATTATTTTTGTATTCCTGGCTTTTAGTAGGGCTGTAGCCTAAAAGAAATTCTTGATTTGTGCTTCTGACTAACTGCAATTACGCTAACAAGATGTAATCACAATAAAATAGCTAATAAATTCCAGGGCACATATTGCACTACTGTCTGATCTATGTTGTAATGTTGTTTCCTCATTGCAAACATACCTGGGGTTGTGTTTTCTTTAATTCACACATTTCACACACAAACCCTTCCTATTAAGACTGAGCTTTTTTCTCAAACAGTAAACACTCTGTTCCATATTTTGAGCTTTTGAGATGTAGACAGCCCAATAATGCAGCGTTTCTTGAATGAAACAAAACACAAGTCTGGATATGTTTTTGAGGAGGTAACAACAATATAACATGACTTAAAGCTCGACTCAAGAGCGAGAGTCAATTTTGTGTTATATACCTTTAAGAAATGTGCACTTTTTGAATGCTTGCTTTTGTTTCCTTTCGTTTTATATATGTATTTTCTTCTTTTATAACTTGATACCAATTTGAATCTTCTTTTCTCACCCTACAGCCTACAGTTTCTGTCTTTCGACACCGAGGCCAGTCACGACATGCTGAAGGTCTGGGATGGGCCACCAGAGAATGAGATGTCTTTGGCCGAGTTGAGTGGCTCTCTGCTACCCGAGGGAATCCACTCGACTCTCAACACGGTCACGGTTCAGTTCGAGACCGATTTCTACATCAGCAAGTCCGGATTCGCTATTCAGTTTTCGAGTACGTCCTGGACACACAGCAACAAACTATGAAAAATGACACGGAGACCTGTGTTTATCGGAGTTTTATTGGAGATGAGCTATGCAGGATCTGGTTTCTTTCTCTGTGCCAAATGTACCTAGAAGTTTTACACTTTTCTTATTTGGGCTTAGTTTTGGTAGTGTTATTATCAGTTGCCATTTGAAGATGCAGCTAAACACACATTCAAGTCACTATATAACATTAAATTACCTATTTGACAGGGTGCATCATGTAACTTTTATGACTATGGCCTACCTGCCCCTCTCCATGGAAAAGGTTGCTTTGCCTGGAATGTTCCACAGTATGGCATTAAAGCGACAGTCCGGAATTTTGGACATGGGACCTGATTTCCTACTGAGACTCCCACTCCACAAAACACCCGAAGCAAGACTGTTTTTACACCAGACTGTCAATTCGAATGTCTGTGTTGATAGAATAATGTCTGAAATAAAACTAACCTTGCATCGCATGAATCGTTGTATGTTGAGGAACTATTTTCTCAGCAGCAGCGGAATTTTACTTTGTGGGTAAGATAGGTGCTAGGTGATGAACTCGCTGCTGTTGCTCAGACATAAATTCTTCAAACGCAAGGTTGGTTTTACTTCTAAAATTATTCTATCAACACAGACATTTACATCGACAGTCTGGTCTTTTAATTGTTTTGCCTCAAGTGCTTTATGGAGTGGGTAAGACTGTTTTTTAGTGTCAGGATAACTATGGTCATTGACATGCACTAGCCTAGCACCAGCGACCTCTGCAAATACTGAAGGTATTTGCAATACTGTAGTACTGCAGAATTTGTTGCAGTATTTTTGCAGACTGGACACTTTTAGAAAGTGTCTCCAGACGTCTCCAACACTCTGGCTAACTAGAAAATGAGGTCCTTTGTCCAAAATTCCTGACTGTCCCTTTAAACTCATCCATATTGCATTTCTTCAATTACAGTTTTTTGATGTTGAAACATACTTTGAAACACATTTATACTTGCTTACTCTATGTAGACAGATAAGTTGTAGACAGATAAGACAGATGTCCTACTGTGAAACAAAGCAAGCAAAACAATTACATATCTATGGTGACAAGCAGCTGGGGGATTATCTATCATAACTTTTACATAGTGCACCTTTACCTCTTTGTTAATGCACTCATACCACTAGACTTGCCTGACCCTTGTCTCTCTCCACATCCAGGCTCGGTGGCCACAGCCTGCAGGGACCCTGGTGTCCCCATGAACGGCAGCAGGAGCGGAGATGGGCGTGAGCCGGGGGATTCTGTGTCCTTTCAGTGTGACCCAGGATACGAGCTCCAGGGGGACGACAAAATCACCTGCATACAAGTGGATAATAGATACTACTGGCAGCCGAGTCCTCCGGTCTGCATAGGTGAGGCCACTGCTACTATGAATTTATGTACCGTGGATACAGTATTTTGTACTTTGCTCAAGGACATTACCGACCTGCAAATGTTTTCTAAGCTGGGAAATCTCATAATCTAAATTTACAATGCACAGTATCAGTGAGGACAGTTTTATTTGATTGCTTCAGAGAATTTTCAGTGTTTTATTGTTACCGTTATTGTTTTTATGGCATTGTTTCTGGTCACATGACAGCTCCCTGTGGAGGAAACCTAACGGGCTCCAATGGATTTATCCTGTCTCCGAACTACCCACACCCATATCCCCATTCCAAGGACTGCGACTGGCTCATAGCTGTCAACTCCGACTACGTCCTTTCTCTTGCTTTCATTAGGTAAACCACATTTACTTCAGCACTAAGCAAAAGACTGATGTGGCATTAAGACAATAGTGGCACTAAATGGAAAACAAGGGCGTGACAACGGTGAAGATTCACTCTAAATGACACTGTTAAAATGTCATTGTAATCCATCAACACCAAACACTGAGTGAATTACTGAGTAGCTAACGAAATCAGGCCATGTTCATACTGTATTAAAACAACATATATATATATATTTTTTTACATTTAAAGGTGCACAGTGTTTTCAGTTTTCAGCTGGGGGTCTGCCATTTGCTTGTTTCTATGGATATATCATTGCTCTGCCTGGAATGTTTCACAATATGACATTTCTAACTTACATTTATTCAATCACAGGTTTTATAGCTCAAAAATACCAAGATACAGGCATTTTGACCTTGAGGGGGTTGCCTCTCCATAGATCTGACGTGTAACTTGGTTTGGTTTGGTCTCTGTGAAGATAGACAGGTTTAATGGCATACTGTGAAATATTCCAGACAAAGCTACAACATCTCCATGGAGAAAAGCATTTGATGGACGTTCTAACAAAAAAGTTGCACAATTCACCTTTAAGCTGCATGCTTAAAAAAAGAATATATAAATCACTTTATAGTATAATACCTACACCACTTGAAAGTACTTGATGCCCTAACCATAACTCCTAACCTTTAATTAAGTTGCTGCTAAGCCTAAATCATTCTATTTCTGTATAATCAATTTAGTCTGTTATACTTTATTGTGGGCAATCAGGTGTAGTTGTTATAAAAGTAGTACCAAAAAATAAACCTCGTATTAACCACTTGTGAACCCAGTTGTCAGTGTATGTTAACCAGGTTCCACCACATAATAGAGCAATGTTTAAGTTATGCTATAGACATGTGTATATAATTATATAGTAGGGATCTAACAATAACCAAAATATCATGATATTGTATCGTCAAACATCTCATAGTGGTATTGTGGGCTATCACAACATATGAAGTCTCAAGTCTCATCTCTCAGTCTTATGTAAATTCATTGTTATGGTGCAGCAATCGCTAAAAGAAACATGGGGAACTACATAGACAATGATCCTTTGCTTTCAGTCCAATTTACACAATGAAAGCACTTTTAAATGTTAACTCATTGGTTTATGATAGAATTAAGGGCTTGTCAAGGCATTTTTAAAGGACAAAGTAGTATATTCACAATTTTGTAAGCCTCTACAAAATATCGCAATAAATACCATACCATGAGATGCATATCCTGAAAAGATCATACAGAGAAATTTGGATATCGTTGCATCCCTATTAGATAATAATATTGCTTCTGTTTATCTATGGCAGTTTCAACATTGAGCCAAACTATGACTTCCTGTACATCTACGACGGCCCGGACAGCAACAGCCCTCTGATCGGGAGCTTTCAGGACAGCAAACTCCCCGAGCGCATCGAGAGCAGCTCCAACACGATGCACTTAGCGTTCCGAAGTGATGGGTCTGTGTCCTACACCGGCTTCCACCTGGAATACAAGGGTACTTTAACTTCAGAAAATATATATGAGTTTAAAATATGGCTTATTAATTCTGCAAACACTGAACACCCTTTGTTTTTATGAGTCAATAAAACTGTATAAATAAAACCTTGTTGATTAGACCTCTTCAACGTGAAATACTTGGGCTTCTTGTGTTAGTATACTACTTCATATTCTCTTCTCATTAAATAAGTAGTAAATAGTAATGCTCCTGGATTTGTTTAAATTATGATTGGCCATCTGATCCTGATTTGAAAACATAAATTGAAGTAATGGAATTGATTAGCTCTCCTGAAAGTATGCCATCCTTATTACATACATACACTGCTGGTCAAAATTTTAGGACACCATACTTTTTTCTTCTTTTTTTTTTTGCTGTTTACTGTTTACTGAAAGTGTCCACCTTTGGCAGCTATAACAGCTGAACACACTTGTGGCTCATTCTTTTTAAAATAGAAATCAAATATTATTCAGAAAGTTTTTCCCAAGTCTGTTGCAGAAGTTCCCATAAATGTGTGGCATTTGTAGGTTGCTTGGCTTTCACTCTTCTGTCCAGTTCATCCCAAAACCAGCTCGATGGGGTTTAAGTCTGGAGACTGTGCTGCACACTTCATGTTGTCAAGTTTACCATCTTGTTATTTTTTCCTGAGGTAGTTTTGGCAGAGCTTGGAGTTGTGTTTTGTTATCTTTTATCTTTTTTTTTTTTTTTTTTTTTAAACCTCTAGCTTACCTCTACTTACTTTTGTACCATTTCAAGCTCTTTATTGGACTTGCACGACTTGAATTGCAATAAATAACTGGAAAAATCTGAGTGTCCTAAAAATTTTGACCAGTAGTGTACATACATACATACATACATAAACTGAAAATAGCAAAATTTGATTCTCTAGATTTTTTATGTGACAAACTTATTGTAAATCTGTAAATCTTGTATTGCAACTTAGTCCCTTGTCTTTTGCAGTCTTATTTTTTCCAGTTGTTCAGTTTGCTTCTGCACAGCATTGTTATGTCTATCCACATAAGCAGCACGGGATGTTTCATGTATATGGAAGAGCTACACACAAGTTTAAGTTGATGCAGTGTGGCCTGTAATCTGTTGGGAAGGGAGCCAAATCCATAATTCACAAGGTTCATGTGGCATACTTAAAGCCATGGGATAAGGCCCTCTTTGTGCTCAGTCCTTGAGAAAGTCTACTAAGTCAAAGCGACTGTTACAAAGGCCAATGAATCGCCCGCCTTGTTTGATTATATCCAGGGACGTACTTATTATTAATACCTCTTTATTATGCATGTGTATCTGTAGCCCCATGTTAGCCTCAGTATTCTTTTAAATCTAACTAGTTTTATTTTTGTCTCTCTGCAGCCAAACTGAGGGAGTCTTGCTTTGACCCTGGTGTTGTTTTGAACGGGACGAGACTCGGATCTGATTATAAACTCGGATCCACTGTGACCTTCTATTGTGAAGCTGGATATGTATTACAGGTAAAAATGAATGAGCCAAATTGGTTTCATTACATGTCATCATCATTATTTCTGTTTATGAGATGATTAAATTGATAGTAATATCACGTAAGTTAATTGCATTATAACTAGTGTTTGATTAATTAAATTTGAAAGGTTTGTTGTTTTTTTATAATAGTAATCCCCAGTAGATCCAATTTGCTTCATGATTTTAATTTACTTATTGTTTTTTTAATTTTCTGCCTTCCTGGTACTTTCAAGGCAATGTTTTTCTTAGCTAAATAGTCTTTCACGGTTACTGTTTTGTCACTAAGGTAGTTTACCAGTGTGTTCATAATTCTTCACTTTAGGGCTACTCGACTCTCACATGCAGCATGGGAGATGACGGCAGACCAGGGTGGAACAGGGCCTTGCCGAGTTGTCAAGGTAATGGTGCTGATTTAGACTTAGATTTAGACAAATTTTATTGATGCACAAGGGAAATTACCTGAACACAGTAGCTCACATATCACAATATATTATAATAACAAAGAGCAAATAATGTAAATGGTAATAACAAATTCTAAATAACTAGCAAAAAATAGAGACTGATGTCTAGGAAAACAGTGCAAAGATGATATTAGGACAAAAGGGCTACTTCAGCCTGAAGTGACCCAAATATGATTTTTTCACCCCCATGCGATCTGTATGTGATCTTTTAATGACACGACCCAGGCCACTTGGATATGTACTCCTAAAAACGATACATATCAGATCTTTTGACATGCGGCAGTCCGAACAGCCACATTGCATTCATTAGACCCGCACGTCAGGCTCCAGTCAATGGAGGGAACGCGAGATTAGTGAGTTAATAAATATTTGGGGGGATTGCTGTATTCAGGTCAGATTGGAGGGGTCTTATCTGAACCAGGTAATTTTTGAAATGATTGCCAAAGAAATGGTCGAACACGGCTACAGAGCCTGCGAGCCAAATACAAGGAGGCTCAGAACAAAAACTCAAACAAACAAAGTGGTCATGGACATGTAAGCTGTCCATTTTACAAAAAAACTAGACTGTATTTTGGGGGACAAGCCTAGGCTACTTCCATAAACACTGAGCTTGCTCTCTGCATGTGATGTCGTCGTGTCCTCCAATGCACACAATGCACACTTTTTGGGCATTTAAAGTTCACACTGGAGATCGTATACAGGTCACATTTAATTGGAAATGTGAACGACCTTGCAAAAAAATTGAGCATTAAGCCCTGCAGTCTGAACATAGCCAAGGTGAGTTGTTGTACAGCTGTATGGAGTATGGCATGAATGTAGTCCTGTATCTCTCACTGTTTGAGCAGAGCTGTAGGAGCCTATTGGAGAACGAGCTCCTCTGTCCCTCTATAGTCTGGTGCAGTGGGTGAGAAGGAATGTGCATGATGAAGGGCAGTTTGTCCAGTGCTGACGAAAACATTGTAATCTGTATTTAATGTCAAACTTCAATATTGTGTGTAGCTTTGTGTGTGTGTGTGGCATGTGTGTTCTTCCTCTTGATAATGTTTTTTTTTTTTTTGTTGCGCAGCGCCCTGTGGAAGCCGATCAACAGGGACTGAGGGGACGGTTTTATCTCCAAACTTTCCCAGAAACTACACCTCTGGACAGACCTGTGTTTACTCCATATCTGTGCCCAGAGAGTTTGGTGAGTCCAGCCTCTGCTACAAACAGAAGAATGTAGTTGTATTTAATTCAAAACACAACCTCAACTGAGCATCTAGCTAACAGGGATGTAAAAATAACTGTCCTTCATCAAAACTCTCACAATAATATTTAATCCTGGATCATCAAGTCTCTTTGCTTTAATTCATTGTTATGGAGCAGCAATAGCTATAAAACATAATGAACTATGTAGAAAATGACTCTTGATTCAGTTCAGACTAGATGAAAAAATTATTCATTAATTATTAATTTTATTTTAAATATTAATTATTTGGATTGTGACAGAACCAGATACTTGTCAAGGAATTTTAAAAGGTAAAAATCAAAAAACAAAAAAAAACCCCAAAAAACAAAAAACAAACATATAATAAAATAAATATATAAATACATAAATAAAATGTGTCAACCATTTGATTATGTAAAACAATTGGGGTAGGACATTATATGTTTTTTAAACTTCATCCTACTCCTTTTTAGCCCCAGATTCCAAATATGTACATATAGATATCCTTGTTTTGTTTTTTGTTTTTTTTTGTTAGTGTTGTTGATTTTATTTTACCTTGCTCAAACAAATAAATAAAATGAAATGAAATGTGAAATAAAAAACTGCATATTCACAGTTTATTATCCTCCTCAAAATATTGCAGTCAAAATTATACTGTGAGATGGCTATTGTGAAAATATCTGTTTGAGAGACTTGATTATAGTTTCATCCCTACTAGCTGAAGCCAAATACTAAAAACTGTTGATTTATATTCGCACATAGTGTTTACTCAGATATTGACATATCTCAAACAGATGCCACATTGACGAGTGTGAAGTCGATACTGGTAAAACCACTCAAGACATCATTACATTTATAAATAACTGTGCCTTTTGTGATCTCCAGCCAATTAAAAGTAGTGTGCTTAATAAGATAACTTCCTTGTAATTAGTCAAGAGCATAACCTCTCTGTTATATAACATCCACGTAGCAAATCCCTGTAGCTGCTGTTGTGTTTGATGAAGCTGAGGGTAGATCAATGCACAAATTGTGATTCATAAAGACACATTGCAAAACATTTCTACTCATCAATAATGCGTGTTGTAAATTGATTCACCAGGCCGAGTTGCATCATTGAGCATGTGATTGAGGTCCACACAGAGATATAATTTTGTTAAAAAAGAACAGACTGTCTCAGATCGTTTGGTGTTATCATCACATTTTATTCATCAAGCAATATCCAATTTAAATCCATCTGACAAAGAACAATAAAAACAAGCAGTGACAACATGCTAATAGACACACTTCTAAGACTACGCTGGAGTAGAATAAATAAAATAAAATTAGACGTTAACACAACAAGCTCTTTATTTCTGGAGTAATAAAAATAGAAATAAGATTCTTGCTAGTGGAAATGTAGAGTTGTTTGTGTTCAGAGTCAGGACCACATGGTTACAGGTTTTGATCAACAAGAACAATTCTGTTTATTCAAGCTTTGCAGTGCTTTTGATAAGTTAAGCTTTTGTGTGACATTTTGTCTGATAAAGGATTTTGTTAAAAGCTACAGCAATTTATTTCCAGGTATTCCAAGCTTACATTCAGTTGATATTAGGTACAGTATGGCTAAAGGCTCTGATTTGGGTTATACTTCTTATAGTTTATATGAGTCACAATATTCTAACCTTTATTTGGTTAAAAAACAAAAATGCACAATACAAATAATAACTGTTTGACATTACATTACAGGTCATATCTGTGGAGAGGCAGCACTATTCACAGAGAGAATGATTGCATTTTTGAGCAATAGAAACACCCTTAATGGATAAATGCTCGATGGGTGTGATTAATGTCATATCATGCAACATTCCAGGCAAAGCAATAACATCTCCATGGAGACAAGCAGGTGACAGACATCAGGGAATTTGCGCAATGCACCTTAAAGACTTGAAAATGGATAGAAGGTTGTGCCTCAAGTTTTGGAATTCATCCCAAATTTTCGACTTTTAGTGTCAAAGCAATTGAAAAAAAATGTAAAAAACTGCAAGTACACTCTCAGTCCCTTTCCAAGTGGCCTGGTTGTAAGAACAAATATCTGTTAGGCCTAATGAAAGTCATTTAACTAGCTGACTTTTCAATAAAATAATTGCTGACAGTGACTAGTTGTTAACTAAAATAATCGTTAGTTGCAGCTAGGTGGCTTGCTTGTTCCATCTGTAGTGTATTTACAGTTTCCTTCCTGTAAACTCTGAGTTCCTGGCCCACAGCAGTCATCTCTTGTGTCTCTGTGTGACTCTAAATAATGACTGTGATGCCATATCTCCATGTTATAAATCTAATGAGTTTTGTGAAGGCTTACACTGTGAGCCACACCACCTGCTCTGCACCGCGTCAATGTACCAGTAGGGGATGATGGAAACTCTAATCACTCACATTTCCTTAAAAATCTATATGCCGTGGGAGCTTTTAACCATTTTCTGCTGACGAAGACATTTTCTTTATGTCCATTCAATATCCTGCCCCCTCACCTCTGTGCATGACTATGACAAATCTGCAACTTATGACAAGAAACTCTGACTCCACTCTTTTCAATGACTCCTTGAAGGGCTGTGTTTCAATATAAGAAGACGTTAGAACCAAATATACAGTACATAAAAGAAGTACTCTGCATACATTTTAACCTCTGAAATGTGAGGTTAAATAATATATAGCAATAAGTTCATATTTAGTCAATTATGCTGTAATAATACATTTAAAATTGTCACTGATAAAATAACCTGAGTAATTTTTATTATTATATATATATATATTTTTTTTTTTATAGAACTGTACAATATATTTAAAGGTGCGGTATATAACCATAGAGATGTATTTGATGATTATACAATACAATGAAATGCCGTATAAATAATAGTCCAATGAGGTTCTTCTGATATTTTATGTTATTAGGTTCTATTTTCAGACCAAGAGTTTGTTTTCATACTTGACAGTTTCGACTGCTGACTAGCGGTCTTCCTCAGAGTCATGTGATGTTGCTGTGGTGTGTCCGGTCAGCTGATTTAAACAGGTTTTGGTGCTGTCTTCCTACCAGTGGAGGCAGGATGACAGCGCCATCTGCAGTCCGACTTCCTCAGGACAGTATCCCAGGTGTAAAAGAGAACCACATTATGGACTGTGACTGAGCAAACATGATTGGGGCAATCGAAATACAGAAACTTGCCCCACAGGACTATAAACCGGGACAAAAGGGCTTTTTTACTTCTCACACACCTGGGATACTGTCCTGAGGAAGTCAGACTGCAGATGACGTTGTCGTCCTGCCTCCACCGGTAGGAAGACAGTGCCAAAACCCATATAAATCAGCTGACCAAACACGTCACAGCAACATCACCTGACCACTCTGAGGAAGACCATAACTGTCAGATATGAAAACAAACTCTTGGTCTGAAAAAAGAATTTAAAAACATAGTATAAATAATAGCTTATAGTATAAAATATTAATGTTGCTAATAATGAGTCAGATAAAACCATACAGGACATGGTAAGAAACAACAAAAAAAGTTCTCCTCTTGTGCATATAAGAAAAAAAATTATATGCATATACTATTATTATGTTACTATATTGTGCATCTGTCATTCATTGTATTGTATAGTAGTCAACATTACAGTTAGACTAAGTTAGAGACAGAAGTGCCATTGGGCAGGTGGTTATATTGTTGTGCTTTGACGGTGGAAGAAAGTGAAGTTGGTTCAAACTGAAGTCAACAGAGAGTCTGACCAGTGACCTTCTTATAACTCCAAATCCTCAGCCATGTTCACGTTTAATCCTTTACACCTCTCCCCCTGGGACAAAGGGCAGAGTGTAGCCACAGAGAGAAAGAGCAACGGAGAGAGATCTATCCTGACTGTGTGGCGTATTCTTTGAGGCAGAATGAAATATAATTCATTTCATGTTTTTCAGGTTTTCTTTTTCAATTGCTTAGACACATTTTCTGAAACCTTTATTAAATCTGGCAGATCTTTTACGCACTTTACAAAACTATTCATACAAGACACAAAACAAATTAGAATGTTTGAAAAGTAAAGTTTGTGAACAAAATTTAACACAGTATTGTAAAAAGGACTCTAACCATCATACAAACACTGGCCAGAAAATGCTACAGCACTTGTAAACGTGTAGTGTGAGGGAGCAGGAAATCTGTAGGACCTGTATCACACCATTATGAGGTGGTGTGAGGTATATGCTCTAAATATGTGTAAGATTTTACACAAGGTCACAGAAAAAGCACCATTTTCAAATTTGCGCTTTTTTAGTAGTTGATATCTAAACTGTCAGACCTGGTTCATACAGGTTTGCACTACAGACGTTGTTTACAATGTGTTCCGACCGCCTTCCAAGTAGCTCTCCAAGGAATTTCTGAATTATGTGTATTGTGCTGAATAACAAAAATTTAGAAGATTATAATTTTGATCCCTAACTTTGTGTACTAATACATGGATAAAGTATATTTTGTAGGCACCTAACTGTCCCACCATCTAAGGCTTACTATATCTCTTCTGCATACAAATTTTTCTTGTATTTTAATTTTGTAACGATAGGTAGCTCACTGGCAGAAAAATGCTGGAGACCCCTGCTCTAGAGCTTCTGTGTCTATAAAATATTGTATGTATGTTCAGTTTTGTCCTTTGTGTCTTTACTCTTTAGCCTTTGGTAAGAATATGCAGTATTTAGACACACAGACTATAGTACACACAAAGAAAGTGGTACAGTTGCAGTCTGTGTTCAAATCTTTGATAGTTTGACGTGAGAGTCAAAGGTGCGTTGCGCAACTTCTCTGGTGGGGGGTCAGTCACCTGCTCGGTTCTGTGGAGATGTTATTGCATTGCTTCGAACAGGGGTGTCAAACTCAAATTCACAGAAGACTAAAATTAAAAACTGGGACCAAGTCCTGGGCCAAACTAAATATTTATTGAAAAATTTTAACAACAACTGCATGTTTTCTCTTCTTTTGATATATGTAATGTTAAACCTTTTCTTATTAAAATTAATATTTAATAATAGTTTTGCTTAAACATGGAATCCAGAACCAACATAATATAAAATAATAACAAAAGTTTAAATAAATAATGTCTCTATAGTATCTGTAGCCGGCGGGCCAGCTCTAATACATATTTGATATGTTCTTGTGGGCCAAATATAATTATATCACAGGCCAAATTTGGCCCCCAGGCCAGAATCTGACATGTCTGGCTTAGAATGTTCCACAGTAGAGATTAAACCTATCTATCTCAAGAAAGACAACTATAGGCTCCATTAGAGGTCAGATCTGTGGAGAGGCAACCCTACTCACAGAGAGAATTATTGTACAGTATTTTTGAATAATAGAAACACCCTTAATGGGTAAATGCTAGATAGGTGTGTTTAATGTCATATCATGGAACATTCAAAGGCAAACCAATAACATCTCCATGGAGACAAGCAGTATGGAAACAGGAAAGTTGCGTAATGCATCTTTAATGCTTGAAAATGGGCAGAAGGTTGTGCCTATATATATATATATATATATATATATATATATATATATATAGTATTTTAAGTATTTGCTTTATGAGTAGCAAGTTTTGTAATTTGAGCCTGGTTCAAAAGAAACTGTACACTTTGATGCAAGTTTTCTTTTGACTACTGAAAATCAAATGAAATTATCTGACATGATACACACACTATCAGCATGCTTGTCTCTTCCGTTAAGTTTGCGGCCTTAACTCTGCCTTAACACTACAACTTCATCAGCTGCATTTTTGAAAAGCCTCTTCATCACCTCTCATCTCATTAGTGCTATCAACATTACTTGAAGAAATAGGTCATTTAAATTAACTTTATAGAGAATCTTCAGATGCCTATATATTCCACATATAGCGTTGACACCACAGGGACTTTTCATGAGCTACGATGGCCTCTGTAAACAGTGTGTTAGGATGCAAAATTAATTATTGAGAAGTAGTTTTTTTATGTCCAGCTAACTTAATCCTAATAATAACAACTTAAAGGTGACAGATGACAGGGGCATCACTCTGAGCAGAGATATCAAGACTTATTTCCTCATACTTTTGCTGGGTTCAAAAATACTTGTCTGCAATAGCTGTAGGCAAAAGATTTTGATTTTCACAAAATAAAATTCCCAACTTGAATAGTTACGAACCACATAATCATGTTCATATTTCTCTTGAAATTGGTTTTCATGGGTTAGTAATAATGATGGCTATAGTAACTGCATAAAGCGGAGTGAATTATCTGTAAAAAGCACACACTGGTACTTTTAATAGGACTGACACAGACATCTCATCCACTGAAGGCTATTTCTGCTATAGCTTATCACACATTGGCAGATATTACATTCTAATATCATGCAGAGCAGATTTAACTTTGTATGTTATCACAGTCCTATAGAGACATGCAGATGGCCAGAATAAAGTCAATCCATTTAGCTCTGTAGATTGTTGGAGTAGATTTTGGTTAAGCTGAAGACAAGGTGATGTTTTGATTATTAACTGCTCTAATGTGTAATTTTGTGACTTCAAATAGAAGTTGACACTGGAGCTTAATACAATTTAAATGAGGTATTGCAGGTTAATTTTATCATTTCAAGGTCAGGTTCCCACAGTGGCACAGAATGGTAATTTGCCCCAACTCAGCCACAGTTAACGTATTCTTCTATGTTCTTTATTTCAGTGTTGTTTGGACAATTTGTGCTTTTCCAAACATCTCTCAATGATGTGGTGGAGATCTATGATGGCCCCACGCAGCAGAACACCCTCCTGTCGTCTTTGTCTGGCTCTCACTCTGGTAAAATGAATAAAAAGGGATACAAAATTTGTAAAATATGTGAAAAGACAGTCTAGTTGCATTGAATTGTGCTTTCTGTTGTACAGGTGAGTCACTCCCTCTGAGTACAGGCAACCAAGTCACTGTCAAATTTACCACAGTCGGACCAGAAACTGCAAAGGGATTTCACTTTGTCTATCAAGGTTAGTCTGTAAACTGAATGGCTTTGCAAACACATAAAGCTAAAGCATTATTTTCCCATCCAAACCATAGACTGTATAAAGAGATACACTAAGGCAGTGTTACGATAGAGAAGCGAATTTGAAGCCAGGTCCATATTAAGAATAGGATTTTATTTACATAGAAAATAGCTAAATAAAAACACCAGGATCATGTAGAGCAGGTTAAAAGAGCAAAATGACAAGGCTCACTGCAGCTCAATCCTCACTCAAACCCATGTATGGAATCAGTGTAAGTCTGTTGTTTACCATGAATGACAGCTACTCTTTTTTTTCTCCTCACAGCTGTACCTAGAACAAGTTCAACTCAATGCAGTTCGGTTCCAGAGCCACGGTTTGGGAAACGTCTGGGGAATGATTTTGCGGTAGGCTCTTTGGTTCAGTTTGAGTGTAACCCAGGATATGTCCTACATGGGTCAACTGCCATTCGCTGTGAAAGTGTCCCGGATAACCTGGCCCAGTGGAATGACACACTGCCGACGTGTATAGGTAAAATGTACATTTATACTGCGTGCACATGGGCGGATTTTGTGGGCACAGCTTCTATTTAATATTTCTCTCCTCAGAACTGATGTAGTTTAGTCATTTACAAAACATTCACTTAGTTTGTAGTGATTTGCGTTTCTTGTCAAAAGAAGAATTATGACAAGGAGAGTTAGTTCATGGATCTATTGTAATAGAATACACAATGTATCACAGTTTGGTTCAAATCAGCAGTTAAAGCTGGGGTAAGTCACACCACAGAACAAGGAAGCAGATTTTTAAATCTGACCAACTCATCCCTATAGCTCTCACAAACCCTTTGGTGCATCATTAGTATCCACATGCATTCATTTTTCAGATGGTGAAGTGAAACTGCAGTGGACCGCCCAAGCGTAGCTAGTCAGAGTTTCAGCTATTACTTCTGGGTTGATGAGAAATAAAAAATACTATTATTAGCTACGGACAGTTCACAGCAGTCTTATTTTATCACAAAATGCTGCTTTTACGATATAGTCAAAACTCAAAATGTACTCATTTACAAAAAGTTAGGTACCTCAGCTTTAACGTAACATAACACACATAATGACTAAGAATATCAGCTAGATATTCCAAATATATAGTACCAAATATATAATACCCACTATAGAGTTGATGGATTACTGTAATAAAGCTATTATTAGAAAATGTCCTCTATAAAAAGTGCAGGTCATATCCTACACAGCATATACCATGTTTCACTTAAAATACTTTGACCTCTCCCTCCTGTCCCCTTCCTCCTCTCTCTGTCCCATGTCAGTTCCCTGTGGGGGTGTCCTGACCGCTCGGCGTGGGACGATCCTGTCGCCCGGATACCCCGAGCCTTACGACAATAACCAGAACTGTGTGTGGAAGGTCTCTGTTCCCGAGGGGGCCGGAATACAGGTAACACCATCAGGCGCTTCCTGCTTGACCTTTGTATCATTGGCTTAAAAGCTGAGCAGGCAGGATGTCAGTGGAGATAAGATATTATTGGAGAGGGTGAATGGATGGATGGTGTGTGTGAGAGAGGGCCATCCACAGATAAGGAGATAGGATCTAATCGAGACAGATAATGAATGATTGTGTGTAAGCTAAACTGCTTTCATGGACAAACACAAAGGGAAGTGCACAAAACGACAACAGGACAGAGGTTATATCAAAAATATTGAACTTGTCTTGCACAGGTCACATCACTTAAACATCTGTGAGAGTGACTTCACATTTTTAGATTTGAGACTTCAAGAATTCGTTAACAAAAACAGATCCGTTGCATAGTAAATATGTGTAATTAGTAAATTGTGTTTTGTACAATATCATCCTCATGACTAGCCAAACTAACACTGATATGCATTTTTCTTTACGGTGTCACATTGTTTCTCTTCTCCATACTATTCTGTATCTTCAGATTCAAGTTGTGAGCTTCGCTACAGAACATAACTGGGACTCCCTGGATTTCTATGATGGTGCTGACAACCATGCACCACGACTCGGCAGCTACTCTGGTAAATACACAGCTGAATCCTTCAACTTCTACTCTATAACAGTGGTAGTAACAGTAATAGTCATGCAAATTCCAGCAGTATTAGTAAGATTTTGGCTTCAAGACCCTCCTCAGCATTCAGTTTTCCATATCAAATATATACAGTGTAATTTCCCAAATTATAAAAATAAAAGGTTTGAACTGTCTTGTTTTCCAGCACTCTAATAACAGAGCGGAGCGTATTGGCTCAATGTTTTGAAGCATGAAATATGTTAGAGTTTGGCCCCCTGCTATGAGCTGAGCTGGTCCCATTCTGCACAGCTCTGTGGGGAGACACCCACTGACACCTGCTTGTTTGTCTGCTGTGCCTTCAAAATACTCACCAGAAATGCCTGGCACACTGCTAATTGATCCTCGCCCTCCTTCATATTGGCTAGGAATAGAAACTGTACTAGAAACACACGGCAAGATGTGTACAAATCAAGGAATACAGCTACACAGTGCTCACTTGAAATTGGTTCAAGGTTCAATTTTAGATGTAAATAAAACAAATGGAAGCTATTAATTGTACACTGTGTAAGTTTCAGAGTGGTGGGTCGACCACCAGGATGTCTCGATGTTACTTATTTGCCTCGAATGCTCCACACTTTGCCATTTCTCCATGTAGACAAGCAAGTGACTCCACCAAGCCAAGTTACAGGTCAGGACTGTGGAGAGGTTGACCTGTTTCTAGATATTGTTTTAACACCTGTAATTGAATTAATCCAAGATAAATGAGAAGAACGCTGTACTGTGGTACTTTCCAGGCAATGCAATAACCTCACTATGATTAGACCAATAGAACAACTCCATAGTACATCATTGCTACTATAAACAAACAGTAGATTCTATAATGTAATAGTTGTTTAATCATTATTTTATACAGATGGGAGTGAAAATATGCCAGATTTTATCAAAGGTGCCAATTTAGTCAGACCCCATAAATAGTGCACCTTCAGGATGGCATCTGCAGTTGTTCACTCATGTGATTAAAGCATTCAGAACAAGGTCAACATGTTCTAGACTTTCTAATACAGCTTTCATTATCTGATGCATTGTCTAGTTTTTCAAAGCCCAGTGATGTAATACATAATCTATGGGTGACATCTTTACGACGCAAAGATTACATTCTGCTTCCATAGCTTTTAATAAATAAATAGAGCAAGAGCGATAACTTTTTAACATCAAATCTAATCTAGCTAATTAAGACTGTCATATATCTCAAAATAACAGTTACGGCTGAATCCATGCAGTTAATTTTTCATCATCATTTATTATTAAGAGGAAATCATTTTTTACTTTGCCGTCTTGGTAATGAATGGGCTTTTCTTTCGAATGTGAACAAAGCAGCAGGGGAGCTGTTCAGAAACCTGATAATGAGTGTCACTTATTAGCTTGCGATGTTCGTTCAGAAGTTTACTAACTCACCTGCCGCACAAACACAAGCTAACTGTCCTATAGCTAAGCAGTCAGGGTTTGGCTGTAGCCTCTATCTTGTTCCTATTTCCTTTCATGTCTTGTCATTGTCAACCAAGTCAAATTGTTACATGCAGCTAGGCCTGTCATAATTTTGAAGTCTGATATGTTGCTGAAGTAAATATAATCAGTACTGTCCCGCTCCCCATTACGAACATTATGGTCTGGTCCTCACGTTTGCCGGCATGGAATCCACCACCTGGTCTTTGATTTCCACTGCCCAGGGTGGGGCACATCAAAGCATCTGTGCGTAGGGCACCCGGGTGGCAAGCTACTAATATACATCAGTGTTTCCCAGATTTTCCCAGGACCCATATTTTAAAAGTCAGAAACCTTTGCGACCCAAGTCAATAAATATTATTCGTAAATCACTAAATAAAGGTGGATTTGAACATTATTGAACATTAATGAGGATATTTTATTTTTGAGTGATCATGTCTCTCTGAACAATTAGTATTACTCAAGTTTTAAACAATGAAACACAGTCAATGAACCAGCAATAAAAGACATCCATAAGTTGCCTATTTGGACATTAAATGTAGTCTTGTATATTGCAGACCTACATGCAGATCGTGACAAGGCGACTCAAAAAAATTAACCAACCTTGCGACCCACCTGTTGGTCACGACCGAGTCTTTCAGAAACACTGATATATATATATATATATATATAAGATACACAGAAATACTGAAACAAATTTATGCCACTGACACAATAAGAGCAGATTTCTAACATAAAATCTACTAACTACTATAAATGTAGAGTAAAACAACATGTTTTTCCATCTGTAATGAAAGTCATGGAAGGAAGTTGTTGATTTTACAGTTTAAATCAAACAACACCCCCCCTTTCCTCAATAAAAAAAAGACCTGTAACTCTGTACCTAGAGTTATAGGTCAGATGTGGTGATATGTGGAGAGGCAACCCCACTCACAGTAAAAATGCATGTTTTATACAGGATAGACATGTTTAATACCCTACTGTGGAACATTATGATCTAGGCAATTACTTTTCTGTGCGAGTGGACCCTCTACTAGAACAGATCCGTAGTGCACCTTTAACGAATGTATCAGTATGTAAATGTTGTTGTGGTTAAAGTAGTAGTAAATCATTTGTAGTTGTAATCAGTCCCGTTGACAGAAATTTGGTGGCCCAGTGCAAGAAACCGCACATGGCCCCCCCTCTAATGTAAATGAATTTAATGGGAAGAGGGTCTAATTCTTGACTTCACTGGTTGTAATAGTAGCAGCAATCACTATAATAGTTAGTTTGATAATGTCATAATTAGCAGTGTAGCGATGACATTGCAGTATTTTAAATACACAGTTTGTTTTTTACAAACTTATTTTGGAATAACTAAGGCTCAAGGTTCTCCCTTCACCTCAGCAGGCCTATATAATGACATTTCCTCTAATAAGGAGATCAGAGCTGCTTTCTGTGCCCTGCGTGTTGTTTGTGTCTACAGAGGCCCCTGACACAGTATTGCGCCACTTTGCATGAGTAACTCTCTGTACCACTTTTCACTTTGTTCTCCCCTCTCCGTTAAGTAGGTCAAGCAACATTTGAAAGGTAGATTCAAATAAACCTGCTGTCTACAATGTGAAAAATAACTCTGGCTTTCTCTTTAACTTAAAAAGAGTCAAAATGTAGGTGCGGGACTTTGTTGTTGCAGTTGCTGTCAGATTACTAATGTCATTCACTTTCAAGCCCAAGTTAAAGCACAGCATATGTATATACTGTTCACGATGTTGTTTTTTCTTCCCACAGGAACCACCATCCCTCAGCTCCTCAATAGTACATCTAACAACCTCTATTTGAGCTTCAGTTCAGATATCAGCGTCTCGGCAGCTGGATTTCACCTTGAGTACACAGGTATTATACATTGTGTGTGTGTGTTTTTTCTCAAAACTATCAAAGTTTGTTCTTAAAGTTGTTAAATGTAACTTTATACTTTTTCAACAGCTATTGGCTTAGAGTCGTGCCCGGAGCCGCAGACGCCGAATTACGGGGTCAGAACCGGAGATCGGTTCATGGTGGGGGATGTGGTACAGTTCTCATGTGAACAAGGATACTCACTTCAGGTAATCAAAATTATGATAGAAAGATTCAAGATAACTTTTATTTGTCCTGAAGGAACTCACAGAAACTCCACATAAGACATAGAACCTGACATATAAACTAGACTAATACATGTACCTCTGTAAACCATCTTTGCTCTGCCCTGTGACCTGAATTTTGGAGTGTATGAAGTGGCCGATTGTGACACCACTTGGGTCAAGAGGAGTAGAACTGTAAAAGATCTATATGAAGGGATTGCAAACTGATCATGCAATATAGTAATATAGTTCGAAGCAAGTCCGTTGACAGAAATTTGGCGGCCCGGGCCAAGAAGACTAACATTGGGTCCCCCCTAATATACATTAATTGGCAGAGGGTCCAATTCTGGGCCCCTAAGATCCTAGGGCGTGGTACAACAGACCCCTTTGTCTCCCTGTTGACTCCCCTGGTTTAAAATGCATATACTTTTTTGTGTGGGAAAAGTACTTGCTCTCTTAAAAATGTAAAAAACAGAATGAGTTCATTTTAAATCCAGCGATCTAAACCGATTTTCCATTTTCTTAATGCATTCCTCGCATTCTAAATATTACCACAATTATTTTCCTAGCAGCCAAGGTCAGACTGGAGTTTTACTGTCACAATAAAGCAGTGGTACAGCACACATCGTCTGGTTCTCTGAGGATAAAAATGCTCTATAATTGGATGCAGACAGCAGACAGCACAAAGCAGTCTCTTTCTGAGAACTTAAGAGCAGATTTTTACAATTTATACATTATTACTAGAAAAATATCAGTACAGCCCATGAAATTAAAGGGGAAAAAACAGCATCCCACAATCAGTCACTACAGGTTTGTTATTTGGAGCACTTACAAGAAACACCTCCTACACAAAGTTACTTGTGTCTAACTCTGGCCAACAACGCGGTATATGCATCCTTAAAGCAAGACTCATTTCTCTGATCTCAATCCATTCACTTCTTTCATCCTCCACAGAGCCAGAATTATTTAAGGCAAGAATGTGAGGAAACCCCACTCTAGGGTGTTACTCTGCAGTTGGAATAAAAGAGCGCAAAGTCGTGGTGTAGTTTTCACTAACTTCTGAATAATGAATGTCTCTGAGCCTGGGCTGCTCCCAAAATCTGTGCAGAACAAGACTCTAATGGAGGTTCCTTCAGCCTCATATACAACTTACATGATTGTAGTGCACGCCAAGCTTTTTTATGCATGATTCAACACTGGACTGGCAGAGGAAGTGTATGAGCACTACACCACCACAGCAACACATAATACAACTTTAATGCAGTAGTTTTCTTTGACTGGATTTTATTTATACGTGGTTATATTTTTCATCACAAATAACAGATAAAATGCATTCATATACTCTCTAACAATGTTATAAAAGTCATTAAATGGCTATAAAAGTTTACTCCTACCGTATATTGGGTTGTAAATTGAAATGTGATTATATCTTCATTAAATTCTTTGCTTGCTGTTCTCTTGAGAGTTGTGTCACATTTAGCAGTAGCTTAGAAAACAGGCAAGAAGAAATAGCTGTAATTTCCTTTTAGTCCCTCTTTGAAACTCCCAAACCATTTTTTACATATAACAATTAGATGCTGGAATGCAATATATATCACAATTTCTTTTGCCATGCAAGAAAAAGCAAAAATTAAACTGTCAGATCCATTTAAATTCCGTTTTAGGTATTTAATATCAATGCGTACGTCCGACCAGTAAAGTCAGCCATTTCTGCTCAAACTCAATTTATATATTCTGCTGCTCTAATCAGATCACATATGAATACTGAACACTAGAAGTCAGTTCTCGTTTGTGTGATGTGATGACTCAATGTATTTTCTCCATGTACAGGGTAATGCCCACATCACATGCATGCCGGGACCTGTGCGCAGATGGAACTACCCGGTGCCTCTATGTCTCGGTTAGTATTCAACAGCGTACATCATGCACACACACACACACACACACACACACACACACACGCATATATACTCATACACACAGACACACCTGCATGCATATACACATCTACATGCACACATACACACACACAGACACACACCTACACTCACATCCATGCACACACACACGCACATGCACACATCTACATGCTTATACACACAGACACACACACACACCTACATGCACACACGCACACGCACATACCTACATGCATATACATACAGACACACACACACCTACATGCACATACACACATACACACACTCCTACATGCACATATATGCACTTACACACACATTTACACACACATATCGACACACGCACGCACATGGCATGTATACACATACACACAGACACACGCACCCCCAGACACACATGCACACATACACATACACACATACACACATACACTACATGCACATACACACTCATTTACACACACTCGCAAGCATAGACACAGACACACATGCATATATACAAGCATATATACACACATATATACATATACGCACATGCGCGCATGCATGCATGCACATACACACACATTTACACACGTATGTAGGCACAGACACACATGCATATATACAAGCATATATACACACATATATACATATACGCACATGCGCGCATGCATGCACTTACACACACATTTACACACACACACTGACATACGTACGCTCAGACACATACACACACATTTACACACGTATGTAGGCACAGACACACATGCATATATGCACGCATATATATACACACATATGCACATACACACATATACACTCGCGCACACATGCATATACACACACAGACACACCAACATGCACATACTCACATATTTACGCACACACTGACACATGTGCATATATACACGCATATGTACCCACATATATACACATACACACACATACACGTGCGCACTCATGCACATACACACATACGCAGACACGTATGCTGACACACACACAGAGACACACACACACAGAGACACACACACACAATATGCACGCTCCATGCGCTCTACACAGTCCATTACTGCTGCAGAGATGATGCAAGTCTTCTATTCCCTGACTCAGAGGAAAATGAGCTGTTTGATCAACTTACTGTTCGTGCTTTCAGATGATTATTTAGTATTCTGGGCTGGAATTTGAGTACGCTTTTCAATTGGTGCAGAGGCGGAGGCAGCCACAGACATGCACAGTGTGTGGAGGCATCAGCATGCACCAGGCTGCACAGGAGGAGGCCCGGTCTGGACACTAATCAGCGTGCACAATGCTGATTTATTCACCACGGGCGCCTATTAATGAATTAGAATATGTATAGGGACAAAGATAATGCAGAGTGTCAGCTTTAAGATCCTCAAATTTTATGTTTCAATTTTTAGCTTGAATCTTTTTTATACAGCTGATGAAATTTATATATTTAGGTATTAGCCTTATGATACCTCTCAAAGTGTAATTAGCAGCACTTTATTAAAGCTAGTGTTTTCTTATGCTTGGCTTACAATTTACATAAGAGGTGCTGAAATGGAAAATATACTATGCAGTCAAAAAGGTAATAATTATGAAGATACCTTTATTGCATTGTTTTAGGTCTCTGTTCACAAGCTTTAATCAGTGCTCACTTAACAGGGCTAACTGTTCCCGATTTTACAATTTTGACGCACATCCCTGAGCAGAACGTTTAATCAAATCTTTTTACATCTTTCAAAATACACACCAACTATACTGAGTTCAGCCACCTGGTGTCAGTAAAGAGGGATCCTTACTGTCTAAGCCCAACTCAGTTTTTTGTTCCTAAACTTTAAAGGTGCACTGTGTAACTTTTTCGATGGAGGTTCCATCAAATGTCATTGCATTCTCTGGAAAGTTTCACACTATTGTTTTTAACCTTTCTATCTTCATGGATACCAAGCTAAACCAAGTTACAGGTCAGCTCTGTGGAGAGGCTTCACCACTCACAGTCAGAGTGCCTGTTTTTTTTTTTTTTTGGTTGGTTTTTTTGTTGTTGTTTTTTTTAAGGTATTTTTGAGCCATAAAAACCACCTGTAATTGAGTAAATGGAAGGTAGAGCTGTTTAATGTCACTGTGGAACATTCCAGGCAGAGCAATGACATATAGAAACAAGCATCTGATGGACTACCAACCAAAAAGTTACATGGTGCACCTTTAATATAATCTCAACCATTACTCAATAGATAAATCACATTAAGGCAAATTGGACACTGTTTGAGATTTTCTTTGGAGAACGATATTGGGAAAGAAATGAAAGACACGTGTCCTATTTACTATTTGCTTACAAAACAAAAGTGCCTACAGTATTTTAGCCCAGCTGGTTTCTGTGCTGGCCCTGATCCTGTGTCTCTCTCCAGCCCAGTGCGGCGGGTCCATGACAGATGTGAGCGGAGTGATCCTAAGTCCTGGTTACCCTGGCAACTATCCCAGTGGATTAGACTGCACATGGACAGTCAACCTACCTGTCGGCTTTGGTAAAGAAATAACAACTTTCTTACTATGGGAATCTACTGTCTGCGGGCTAAAATATATTCTCTGTGAATTCACTGCTATTTATCAGTTTCTTTTGTCAACTAGAAAATTGCTCATCTAATTATACTGTTACATGCTGGCATCCCTTTGCACATCCTATTGCATGTATTTTTTTATCTATGTATGTTTTGTAGCGTGGCTGGATCTAGTATAAATAGGCCGCCTATCAGTGCTCGCTGCTCGCCGCCTTGCACGATCCTTTGATTGGGCTTCTCGGTGCAGGCCGCACCATGCCTGTTAGCTGCAGTTAGCCTTTTGTGTTTAACCTGGTGGGACCGGCTGTCCTGTTTTTGCCTTTTTGTTTCGTAAGGTTAGTTTGGGGACGTTTTTTCCTTCAGGTTAGTGATGTTGGTACCAGCTTCTACAGCCCCTTATGGGGTTGGCCTGGTGCTGCATAATTTTGTTCTGTTTGGCCAACTAACTAGGTCCACCTTTCAGTTGTTACTTTATTTTGGGCACAGCAGAGGTTTTAGCATTTTTAAAGTAAATTAAAATGAACTTAAAAATAAAAAAAAACAACTTTTACTTTTGTAACCCTTTGGCCTCCTCCTTAATATGTTTGATCCACCCGGGTTGTAACATATACTTAACATTTATATACTTACTATAGACTGTATATATAAATGGACATATCTAAAATGCTAGCCACCACTTTCCAAAGAGGAAGTGAGCACGGGGGGTGCTTCCGGCTCCATCGACGCTGGTTCCAAATGACTTTACATTGAAATATTGTCACCCCTCCCTCTGTAATTTTGGCTCACAGGCTCACAGCAGCCTTGTCATTTTGGTCTTTAAAATGTTCGTATTAACCCACTCCACGTGATCCTTGTGTTTTTGTTTCACTATTTTGTCTGCAGATCGATTCCTTACTCATAATATGGAACTCTGCTCCAAATTCACCCCTAGAACTGCTAGCCTCAAAGTTCATTTGACTGGACACTATGGCATTGTGATGTCCCTTAGTACATTTCTTTATGCAGTGTTTTTATATATAAAATATATATTTGAAGTATTTTTACTACTACCTAAATAAAACAGATCTTCTGCAGTTCCTTCACTTCTGCACAGGATCATCCAGTGTGTTTTTTGTGGGGTGGAATGTGAAAATCCAATCTTTGACGTGCTATTCTCCATTACAGTAAATGTCACACACTGTGTTGTTTTTCAGGCATCCACCTCCAGTTCCTGAACTTCTCCACTGAGGCCATCCATGATTACCTGGAGATCCGCAGTGGCTCTCTGGAGACGGGCTCTGTGATAGACCGCTTTAGTGGGCCCCTCCTCCCCAAACCTCTGTTCAGCACCACCCACCAGACCAGCTTCTTTTTCCACAGCGACTACTCCCAGAACAAACCAGGCTTCCACATCACATACCAAGGTACCACCACAGCCATAACAGACTAGTTTAAATTCAGTATTGTCTGATCAACCGGCTTCAATGTACTTCCCTGTGTCATTTAAAGGAGACACATTCGGCTTTTGTTTGCTGTATAGTTATGATCTATGACACCCATGGACATTTTAAATCGCAGTATTAACCTAAAACAATTGTCCAAAAATATATATAATGTTACTTAATCCTACATACATCACCAATTTAGGAAAAAGGTCCATAAAGTAAATACAGAGCACTTTAACTTGCCAGCGTAACCTTTTGCTTTGAATATGAGCAGCGCCTTAGAATAAGGAAAGGTCAGCAATGCTTATTTATAAATTCAGCCTATAATTGTAATTTTTATTCTGACCTGCTGCTTCAGAGGCATTACAATTAAATATTAAAACAATAGAGTCAGTATTAAAATATTTAGTACTTTATTTGGATAAAAATTGGTTATATTCAGATTTAGCGTTAATTTTTCAGTTACTTAGAAAGGTTTCTATCATTTATTATGGGAAATCTTTTTGCTGGCCTAAATTTGTTATGGCTAATTCGATTAATGTGCAAATTACACAGGCTGGTGAATAATGCATTTCCTATTCTGTTATCTAATGGAAGAAGCACAGAAGAGAATTTTGGTGCAAAAATTTAACATTTTTAACATTCCAAAAAAATTAATTAGGCAGAACATTGGAGATTAAGTGCTTAACAGTTTTAATACATTTCCAAATTGATATCTTTATTTTGTATTTTTCAGCCTACCAGCTCCAGAGTTGCCCAGATCCTCGTCCATTTCGAAATGGTAATGTGATAGGGACAGACTTCAGTGTGGGGATGACAGTGTCTTTTGAGTGCCAGCCCGGATACTCCCTCATCGGTGAAACTTCTCTGACCTGTTTACACGGGATCAGCCGCAACTGGAATCACCCACTACCAAGATGTGAAGGTAACACCTGTGAATCCACTACACTCAAGAGTTTTTGAAATATGATATGATAAATTCCAATAGACATCAAGCAAAATGTACACTGCAAAAAGCAACATTAGAGGTACACTATGTAACTTTTCGGTAAGGGGTCCGTTACCTTCTTGTTTCTGTGGAGGTGTCGTTGCTCTGCCTGGAATGTTTCACAGTATGACATTAAACAATTCTACCTTACACTTATCCAATTACAGGTGGTTTTATAAATCAAAAATACCTAGAAAATTGGCATTCTGACTGTGAGTGAGGTTGCCTCTCCACAGATCTGACCTGTAACTTGGCCTGGTTTGGTCTCCATGAAGGTAGAATTTAGGTTTAATACCATCAGTGTTGGGAGTGACATGTTATAAATGTAATGAATTACTGTAATTCGTAATAATGCTTTTTTTCTGCTGTAATGCAGTAATGTAAGGCATTACAGGGAAAAAATGGTAATATTTTACTTGGTACAAATGTCACTAATGCTTTTCAATGCATTTTTAACCTGGATTTTAGTGGTGGGTTTTTTGTTTTTCTTCATAAAAAATTGCTAAAATCACAGCGATATCAGCAGCGGTTAAACAGCATCGTTATGGTTCTGAATGTTGGGACGGGCCCGGAGGTGCGCCCAAGTAGACCGTTGGGTAATAGCAGGCAAAAGGACCGGTGCAGAGCTCCACGCTCCACGGGCTAATTGCAACTGACGCCCGATCACGCTTTGCGGACACATTGCTCCATGGGTTCGGGGTTCTCTCAGGGGCGGTCCTAGATTCCACATCTTAGTCCAAGATTAGTCCTAGTTTAGACCTGGTTTAGACCTGGTTTAGACCTGGTTTAGACCTGGTTCAGTTCTGGTTTAGACCTGGTTTAGTCCTGGTTTAGTCCTGGTTCAGTCCTGGTTTAGTCCATATACTGTGCAAAAGTTCTGCATCTTCGCAGTTATTTTGGTGAGAGTAACTTAAAGTAATGCAATAGTAGAGTAATGCCTTACATTTTAAATGCAGAAATTTTGTAATGTAACAAATTACTTTGAAATGACAGTAACAAGTAATAAATAACGCAATACAGTATTGAAGTAACTTGCCCAACAGTGAATACCATACTGTGAAACATTACAGGCAAAGCAATAACATCTCCATGAAGAAAAGCATTTGATGGACCAGAAAAGTTACACGATGCACCTTCAAGTTAAAATGGCCTCAATAACAGGAACGATTTGCTTTATTCAAGTAGATTCAACTTGACAAGTAAATTTATCTACTAATGTAATAAGTCAGTTTTCTTAATTCAAGCAACATTAGATTTTGTTTCTTATTTTAAGTTCGAAGAGTTGTTTTTCTTCTCTAAAGTGTAGCAAGATGTTCGTATTTTAAGTACAAAAAGTCTTATTCTATTAGTAGATAATTTTACCTGTCAAGTGAAGTTTACTTAAATCACGATAAAACTGTCTTAATTCAGGTAAACTTAATTTGGCTAGATAAATTTTTGCAGTGTAGCATCACGTTACACAGTGCTATTTAAACACACCAGATATTGTCAAAACGTACCACTCAAAGAAATATTGAAGAACTTTATTGATTTATTTATTTAATTCAATCATTACCTCATATCTGAACATTGTACTAAATATGAACATTATGATAACATATCATAGGAAAGATGCACTGTTTTCCAGGTTATAGCATGAATAATAATTTATAAATCCCTGTCCCTGAGCAGACACGTAACTGTAGAACCACATCACGACTGGGGATTTGTTGCATACATTTGTAATTAATTAACAACATAGCAATTGTAATATGATGTTCTTGTAAGGATAAGGATCTGGATTAAAATCACATTCCAATCAACTTCTTATTTACGGTAACAAAATGAAGCTGTGTACTATTTTGTAGCATAAATGAAAAAGAAAATATCCACTCCTGAAGACTCACCTGAGCTACACAGCAGAAATAAAAACGTAATGACAATTTATTAAAGTTATTAGCCTAATATTGGGTGGTCATTACACGACTAATGAAGACCGGTTCTCTTTCACTCTTCGGGACAATTACCAGAGCCTCATACTGCTAATGCTCATTTGCTGGAGATGCATCAAGGCCTCATTCTGTTAAATATTCTGTGTTGGATCTAGCTCTCTGTGGTGGGAACATTACATCTCTGAACGGGACCATCTACTCCCCCGGACACCCCGAGGAATACCCAAACTTCCAGGATTGTGTGTGGAGCGTCCGGGTACCACCTGGACACGGCATCTACATCAACTTCACTGTTCTGAACACCGAGCCCATCTACGACTACATTACTGTGTGGTAGGTGCAATGATTTTAGTACAGTTTGTTCTTTATGATTATGACAGCACTTGGGTCTATTAGAATATAAACTTGGGCTGCTTGATTATAGAAATGAAATAGTTGTACTGTCAAAACTGTAGATTAGATGAGTGGAGCAGAGTGGGGCAGAATCCTATACCTTTACAGAATTAATCAAACATATTAGAATTTGAAGCAACACTTGGGCCCTCTCCATGCATGATCCAATGGAGATAGAAAGTTAACGCCCAAGTTTGGGCCATTCATACATTCAATGCTATTCTATGGAACATTCCAGGAAAACTAAGTGGCTTGATCTTAAGTTATAAGTGAGGTGTGTGGACATTTTTCAAGTGTGATAGTGCAATAAAAACACAAATTAAAATTCATATATTACGCGAAATTGACTCTTGTGAGCTTTACCCATGTTATAATGTTGTTACCTCATCAAACAGATACCTGGAGTTGTGTTTTGTTTCATTGACACATGCTTGAATAACCCTTTATTATCTGTCTAATCTGTCAAGTCAGTCTACATCTCCAAGCTCAAAATGCTCTGTTCTACCTTGAGATGTCATGAAGCTGTAGTTTTCAAGTCAGCAGCTCCTTTTACTTTTTTCCAGTAGAGCTGGCCAATAGAGGTGTGCGCGGGACAGAATTTTCAGTCCCGCTCCCGCCCTTGCCCGCAAAGAATTGTAATTTTTATTCCTTTATTTTTACTCCTGCCTGCGTCTGTGATATTTTGTCCTGCTTCCACCCCCAAATCCCGCAAGATGGGGACGTTCGCTTTCTTAAGCTTTATCAAACACGGAGAAGCGGAAAAGGAATTGTCTAAAATGTGCGCAACATTAGACCACATCCGCAAATTTAGCCTGCTTAAAATGTTTTTATTAATGCCAAATAAAATATCCAGCACAAATGTTGTATGATAGGCATACATTGATCATTTGTATACTTTACTTTACACTCATATTTAGTTTGCGGGACTGCAGTTTATCATCCTACCTGCCCGCTCCCGCATTGTGCAGTCCCACTCCTGCCCGCAACTGCAATGAGCTTTCCCGCGCTGCAGTGTTTTGTGTCGGGGTCCTGCAGGGCTCTGGTGGGCAATTCCATCACTGACATTATCCAAATGATTCTTCTGAAGCTGTACGGAGTTTGAAAACACAGTGTAGCACGTCCAGTATTACTACATGACATCACAAGGTGGAGAAGAGTGTTTTCTGTTTGAGAGAGGAACATCAATCTAAATGTGCAAGGTTTGTGTGTTACAAATGTGAGGATGAAACAAAGCAATACTCCTAATGTGCTTGTAATGAAAAAACAAAATTATAACATCAGTTAGAAAATAAAATAACAATATGGGCCCTTTAAGTTATGGGTATGGTCTGTGGAGAGGCAAGCCTGTTCATATAAGCACATTTTTCAAGTGTTACAGTGCAATAAAAACACTCATAATTATTATTATTTTTTGGCTGAAATGTTGTGTAGTGGGACTCTTAATTGCACATCCCTAACATGAAAATGAACTTTAAAATGATGCAAGAAATGTACAATGAAAACAAAAACAAAAGCTACTATTTCATGGTAAGTACTGTTTTATTCAGACATTAATCCCAATTGAGCAGGCAGTTTTGTGTTTTTGCCCCTGCTATTAAAGTATTATTGCTTGTGCTTTTAGTTTATTTTTAATAGCCAACCTTTAAACCTTCTGATACTTTCTTTTTCCCAGCTTTGATTTGAAAAGTGGCCCAGTGGGTGGAATAAACAGATTAATTAACATATTCAGAGCATATATTGTTTATAATAAGATACAGAAAACACTATAATATTACCACTTTATATAATTGTCCTTATAGCTGGAGGAGGGTTAAATGTGCTCTCTTCTAATAGGTATTTAATTTGTGTGACATTTTCTTTCTTTTCCTCCTCGGATGTCATGCTCTTTAACATCTTTTCAGAGCTACCTACTAATTGGCTAAATTTCTCCAAGAGGTTACTATGACTACAGACATCTCCTTGAAACATTAGCTACTGTGACATAATTACATAATAGCCGTCTTGCCATCTTTTCCACCACTTTTTTTTTTTTTTTTTTACTTTAACATAAGATACTTTCTATTTTCTCATTCTTATTTAAGACTTTTTTGGCAGCAGTTCTTATTCTTATATAACTGTGTATTTTTCTAACCTTGACTTGAACTCATTATTTCACCTGACAACGACACCTTATGGAAAACCACATTTTGTCAATAGATGGCTAAATGATGGGCAGATACTGTACCAAGGAGCAAGAAGCACAAACTCTACTATACTATAAATACTTTGCACAATTTCCTCCTATGAGTGGCACCTCAACTGTTCCTATATTTGTAAACCTTTCTAGGTGAGGGAAAGATGATTTGTGCATGTCATACCTACTGACGCAAAATGACTCAATATGGTTTTTGACTATTTTATCTCTCAACAAAAAGGACTGACTGTGTGCCAGTTCCCTTTTATCTGAAGTTGAGCTCTCTGAATCATCTGCCTCCTACCACTGACTTATTTGACTTTCTGCCAAATCCACAGTAAATATAACAAAATGAAATTGAAATAGTGACCCAAATGTCGAGATAGAAAACAGATTGGGTGTAAACAGCTTTGTTGAATCCCTGCACTGTGCTATTCTACACAGGAAGCAGGTGAAACAGGTTTAGATAATGTAATGGATAGGTTTTGAATGAAAACAGAGTTTCAGGGTAAAAAGGAGGTTGTGAGGTAAAATAAATATATGGTTGGTCTCTCTTCCCCTCACCCAGCTCTGTATTTCTACCAGAGGCCTGGGAGCTTGAGAGTTCTGCTACTGCACTTTTCTGGACTGAGATGTCTGTTGTTTCTCCTGGTATCTGCTGTAGCAACTCTTCCAGTTTGTGAGGGTTACAGCCTCGAGTGCTCCGATCACCATGGGCACCACTGATGCCTTCACCTTCCAGGCCTTCTCCAGCTCCTCCTTTAGCCCCTGGTATTTCTCTGGTTTCTCGTGTTCCTTTTTCCTGATATTACTTTTGCCAGTGTCCGGTTGGTTTGCCATCACCATCCTGTCAGTCTGTATCTGGCACAGGATCTTAGCTCGGTCATTCTCCGCAACCTTTGGAGGTGTTTCCCACCTTGACCTTGAGGATAAGAAGTCCATATATAGTACTTGTAACAACAACTAGTTTGTTGTCTAGTTTGAAGTAAGCCTGTCACGATAATAAGTTTTGAAGGATATACTGTGATAAATCATAATATTGAAACTATTTTATGCCACTGACACAATAACAGTAATGCAGGATTTATCAGTAGGCAGTATAATAAAAAAAGACATAAGCTGTAACAAATAAATAGCAAAACTACTTTAACACTTTTCAGCTCAAATCTTATGTATTACAACAAAAATAACATATGTCTCCTATATTGCAAAAATGATACCCACGATAAATACATTGTTCCAGCTTTGACATATTGAATGATAAGTCAATATAGTAATTATTGTGACAGGCTTAAATATAACAATTAGAAATGTAACTCTGTAATTATTTATACTTTGATCACCAAAAAATTTAAGCAAGCTGCTAAATCCATTGACTTTCTCAATTCAGGAAATAAATAAATAATAAATCAATAAATAGAGGATTAGAAGTCCATATACTTATAACAAAAAATTGCTTAATATCTGGTTTGAAGTACTGTAACTTTTTTGGAACCAGTAAGCGTGGTCTTTCCTTGCCTTTTCTCTGTATTGAAGCAGCACACTGGCGCTGATCAAACCACAAGCACACACTATGATTTCCTCCAACTGGCTTCTCCGTACGTCCCTACACCTGCAGTGAGCTCGAGGAGAGTCTGCAAAGAGAAGATGGCCTCCAGTCTCATGCCCACACGCAGCAGCCATGGTCAAACTCCCGCTCTTAGTCACAACCGCAAAGTCTCCCCCCGCAGAGAGCTCTAGCGCCAGTGGCAAAGGTGTGATTTTCTCAGCAGTCTCCTCCAGTCCAGAGCCAGTTGACCTAGTCGTTTAGATCACTAATTGGTCTCACACTGTGGCGTACAACTGGATTTTATTGTATCACTTATATAATAGTCACATATGTGGGATATATGGGCTATTTCTGACAAAGAACAGCCCGTTTCACATATTGTATTTTCACACTATATCTTCAGGTTCATGATACAGAGATAAGTTAGTAAACAAAAGACAAGATCTACGCTGAATCATTTCTAATATAAAGAATTCATTATTAATTTAAAACTGATAATCACATGCTAATTTGTTGATGCGAGTGGAAAGCGCTGGGCAACTGATACAATTTTTGCTTAATTTTTGCCCTTTTCATGAAATCGGTTGTTGCGGTTACATGCAAATTAGAGTTTTATCAAATTATTTAAATGACATGTAAAAAGCCAAATCATCTCATTCCTTTCTGATAATGGCCACTTTGGTTACTCACATCAGATTTAGCTATTTACCTGTCATTTAAAGGTGCATTGTGTATCCTTTTGGTACCTGCTTTTTTCTGTGGATGTGAAATAAACAGCTCTATGTTACATTTATTCAAATACAGGTGGTTTTATAGCGCAAAAATACAAATATTTATAATACAATGTAATACAAGTAATACAAACATTACACAAAGCACCTCTAAGTCATCATAAAAGTCAAAAAATCTGATTATAATTAGATTTTGGTGTAAGGCTAGTTATAAAAAGGTTCCTGGTTAGCGTTATTTTCACATATTTGTACAGAATTGCATATCAATTCTGCACTTGATGGATCACTTCGTGTCTACCTACTATCCTAATCATGAAACTTCTCACCACCTCCACTGGCAAACTGTATTCAACTCTTCACCCACAATAGCATTTGTTACTCTCATAATATGACAACATTGTAATCAATATTTATGAACGTCCCATCACAGATCGGATAAGCGGGCTGCTGCTTTGGGCGGTGCTGTGATCCTTAGACAAAGGGGAGTTTGTGAAGGTTTTACATCAAAATGAGCTTTGCAACATTGTAGTTAGGACTATTTGGAAAGGCAAGATGGAGCAATATCCCGGCACAATCACTCTTGGAGCTGGTATTTTGTCACACAATGTCCATCTCTATTTGCAGTCAATAGAGCAGCTGCGGGCTTTGTCTCATAAATATCATTAACACACTTCGATCTTTGTTCCTAGCCTCCAAGCGAGCATTTCCTGTACGCAAATAGCATTTAACTGCCTCAAATGATGGGACTAAGATTTGAATTATGTTTTAGGTTGACTTGTATTGGCCCATAAAAACAGCTGTTTCGTTGCTAAGGATTTTTATGTTTCTGCCTGCATTTGTTGGTTGGTTTGCTGGTAACAGTAAGCAAACAAAAGAGTAAGAAATGGGTGAGGTCTGTCAAGGGCAAAATTATGTTTTTGAGACATAAAACGTGACTAGAAATGTTTTTGGAGCAGTGTCACATTCTGACCACCAGGTATAGGTGGAAGGAGCAGTGTCATTATATCATGAAGGGTCTTGGGCTGTTTGATATAACATTTTCCCATGAACAAGAAAGTCAGGATTTTTAGCATCACTATTATAATATAAATACAATGACATATCAACATATGTGCTTATATTATATAATATCCATGGTTATTTACCCCTCAATTACAACTTTTCTGGTCCATCACCTGCTTGTCTCCATGGAGATGTTATGGCTTTGCCTGGAATGTTCCATGGTATAACATTAAACACTCCTATCTAGCATTTATTCATTATGGGCGTTTCTATTGCTAAAAAATTATTCTCTCTGTGAACAGAGTTGTCTCTCTGTAGCTCTGACTTGTAATGTAGCCTATAGTTGTCTCTTTCGTGATAGATCAGTTTAATCTCCACTGTGGAACATTCTAGACAAAGCAATATCTTCATGGAGACGAGCATGTGATAGACCCTCCACTAAAAAATGCACAGTGCATCTTTAAATAAAATACAGTACTTTACTACTTTTACTTTGTTACATTTAACCACTGGAAGCAGATAAGGTAGAGCGAACTTTTCCCCGCTTGTCCGTTGGGTTGTCCAGTGCTGATGGGCAACAGTGAGTGGTGTGTATCCTTGTTGGCTGTTGCGATGGTTGGGTTCAGGTGTGGTGTTTTGATGCAAACAGAATGTTTTCTGTTTCACATTGTAGAAATACAGGAAGCGCTGCACTGTGTTTTTAAACTCCATACACCTCCACTAGAGTCATATGGATATTTTCAGCCCTGGAACTTCCAATCTGTACTGAACAAAAGACAAATGGCAGGTGAAAACTACCACTAAATGACACCACACAGTGGAACAGAGCATTTTGAGCTTTGGAAATGCAGAGAGACGTGTGTGAATGTTAACATTTTTCAGTATAAAAATACAGACAAAATGTAGATGTTATTTGAAAATTAAAAGGTTGAAGGATGATCAAATTAACCAATATGCATTTCTGAAACTGCTCTTGTCTCCTTCCTTAAAGGTGAACTTTTTGGTTGACGCCCCGGCACCTGCTTGTTTCTATAGAAATGTTATTGCCTTGTCGGAAATGCTCCACAGTATGACATTAAGCAGTTCTACCTTACATTTATTTAATCACAGGTGGTTTTATAGCTCAAAAATACGTAGGAAAACAGACATTCTGATCGTGAACTAGGCTGCCTGTCCACATATCTGACTTGTTATGTGGTCTGGTTTGATCTCTGTGATGATCAAAAGGTTTAATGTCATAGTTTCTATTGCTCAAAAATACAATCATTCCTTCTGTCAACAGGGGCGACTCTCCACAGATCTGAACTGTATTGTAGCGTAGTGCTGTATTCTGCGTGTGTCCCTTGTGATGGATCGGTTTAGTCTGTACTGTGGAGCATTCTAGACAAAGCAATAACATTTCCATGGAGATAAGCAGGTGGCGGACCTTCCACTGGAAATGTTATATAAAACAACTTTACATTCATATTTGGAGCCAGTGATTGTGCTCTCCAGATGGCTTTCTGCGAGTCTTTTCTTGATCAATAAAAAGTTAAAGGTGTGTCTGGAGTCTAGTGATTCTAACCTGAATTGTTTCACATTGTTTGTTTTCAGGGATGGCCCTGACCAGTCTTCTCCTCAGATTGGGCAGTTTAGTGGGAACACTGCACTGGAGTCCGTCTACTCAACCTCTAACATCATCCTCATCAAGTTTCACTCTGACTTCTCCGGGGCTGGATTCTTCGTCCTGAGTTACCATGGTGAGAACACTTTTCTGTACAACGGACACATTTTGTACAATTCTTGTAAACGTTAAAAAAATCAATAGAGCTCTTTTCACAAGGAATTATTGTTTTATTGAACCATGTCTTAGCATCTTGGTTTTACTTCTGATGATAGTCTGTGTTTGTCACATACTTTTTGCATTTGTGTTGATATTGATATGATATTTGTTGTTGATATTATTTATTTTTGTACATTTTTTACCACTACTTCTCTTGACTGACCAGTGTGACTTGGACTGGCCAATAACTTATCCCGACCATGCTTGATAGATAGTGCCAATGCTTTGCTGATTCCTTCATTTTCAAGCCGATGTTTCAACTCAATGTATAATTTTTTATCCACTCAACTTCCAACACAAGTTTTGCTTGGACTTGATGATTTGTGCACTGCCTCATTCTTCAGTCTTAAGTTTCCACAGTGAGGCGGATACAAAACAGTTATTGGATGGTGTGAACTCACTTCTAAATACATTTTTAGTGAAGTGTGGAGGCAGCTGCCAGCCTCAGGTTGTGGGGAACCAATAATGGCATCATTAGTTGTAGCCACGGTGACGCCATCGATCTGTTTGGTGTTGTGTAGCGCTGTCTTCTACAGTACTGAATCCTCATTAAGTTTAGCTCTCCCCAGCTCTCTCTGACACATGCACACGCCAAGACTGTTCTCCAGGTCCTTTTTCTATTTATTTGCATTGTCCCAGAGAAACGTACAAGATCCACAGCAGTTATTATTTATTGAGTTTGTTGGTCTCCAAATGAACATGTTGAGACGTATATGGCACCTATGTTTGGGACATTTTGGCTGAAAACTTGTCACAAAAGTCAGTTTGAAACCAAGATACCCTATAGATACATAGGTACATTTCTTTCAGTGAACAATAGTAAGCTCCTTTTGTATTGCACTGTATCCAAGTGTTTCAAAATTATGAATAATTAGGACAGTAACCATAGGAATTAACAAACAAAACAGTTAAAAGAAAATCATCCTCAAAATGTTGCAGATAACACAGATAAATAATTAAGCTACCAGTAAGTTGCTTAAAGTAAAGATACATAATTTAAATAAATCTCTCTTTTCCACAACACAATAAGGTTTTGAAAGTTTTAATTCGTAACAATGAACTATTCTGAGTTTGAGTTTAATAATATGCTCCCTGCCCTAATACTGGATGTTGACCTATTAATTTCCAACTTAAGGAAACTCACATTAAAACTAAATCATGTCTGATTTATCTGCTGGACATTTCACCTTCCTCTGAACCTCCACTGGACTTTGAAATGCTTGAAGCAACAGCTGCTCTACACAGTCAGGGCATTATATTTGTGCAAGTCTGCCCATGCCATAAAGTTCACTTTTTCATTTCCGCTCCATCTTTCACTGTGGTCCTTCAGAGAGCTTAGATTTGTCTTCTGTCTGTATTTAAGACGAAAGCCTTCAGTATGGGCCTGCTTTTTGTTTTAGCACAAAAACATCAATCTTAACATTTCTGGGCATCCATCTTGAATCGTTTTAAGAGTTTTCTTTGGAGTAAGAACGAGTGGTTTTTCAAAGCCATCAAAATGCATCGTTGTTTTAATGTTTTTGGGACACTTTCAATGTTGCGGTGAAACTTTTCTCTCTCCTCTTTCACTTGACAATTTGCAGCTTTTTTTGGATAACACTTTCTACATGGATGGTCCCTAATGAGTTTCATAACAGGAGATTTATGGATTTTAACCAGTTTTTGCACAGTGTGACATTTTTTCCCATCTTCTCCACATACATGTAGATCATCTACTATCCCTTTTGTGAATAACATATTTTTCTTTGCCAAAAACTTTTACTTTTGGAGCTTTTCACATCAAGTTTCCATTCTTTTTTTTTTTTGTTTTAGATGGGGCTTTACTTTTTTCGACGACTGACATGTTGTTAATGAATTTCTCTGGCAGTCTTAACTGTCAGCTGTCACACTTGCACAGGCACAGTACATCACAGTACTCAAGTTTATTTTCAATTCTGCTTGTATTGAGACATTTGAGTTTAAACTGGCAAGGGAGATGTGTAAGAAGAACAGGCAGTGATATGAATAGTAGCACGAGTTATATTCACTAAGAGAGGGATCCAGTGGCAGAGTGGTTAGCATAAGTTTCTAATATAAAGTATATGGCTACAACTGTACACCTTAAAACAGTCTCATAGTTGTTGATAATAGTTCCAGCTCAACAAAACACCTACCTTAAAGGTGCATTGTGTAACTTTTCTGGTGGAGGATCTGTTGTCTGCTTGTTTCTATGGAGTTGTTGTTGCTCTGCCTGGAATGTTCCTCAGTATGACATTAAACAGCCCTGGCATTTATTCAATGGCAGTGCTTTTATTGCTAAAAAAAAAAACAGGCATTCTTGCTGTGAGAGGGGTCACCTCTCCACAGATCTGACCTGTAACTTGGCCTGGTTTGGTCTCTATAAAGATAGAATAATATTTCCTCGGAGAAAAGCATTTGACGGACCTGCCACCACACAGCACTTTTAGATCAAAACAGGAACATTTTAATTAACTCATCTTTTCTGTTTTTTTTTTTTCAGTGTTAAAAATGATTACACACTGATAGCGAATGAACAACTGGTATTAAAGTGAAGACCACCAAATAAAGTATCACAATAGATGTGTGTGTCTGTGTAAAAGGCTTCAAGAGGAATTGTGTTTTAATGGACATCTGTGAGCCCATTTTTGAAAGAGGAACATTAGAGAGAGAAATTTAAAATAACATTTCTCTAAAATGGCCTTCTGCCGGTACAAACTGTCTTGACAGCTCTGGGCGAAGCACAACACAATCCATTGTGCAGTTACATTTACCAGGGACACACGTCAGAGGCACCGCAGCAGAGTGCGGATTGTACGAGCATTTTCATGTCATTGTCTAAAACACTACATCAAACGTGGACTTTTCCAAGTAAATCAAAGTTTGAAAGTTGCTCACAAGTTCATATGAGAGGTCAGACTACTAATTTCACCAAAACGTAGTGCATCATTATATTTAAGATTTTATTAAGAATTTTGCAAAGTCGTTTTTAGATTTGTAATTACTGATGTTATAATGTTACTTCTTGGTTGGACAGCAGAAGGGCCTAAAGTTGTCTAAATTACTTTATAGTTATAATGTGACACATAAAAATAAATGTATTGTATATAATGTTGAGAATGTATTATTGAATGTATTATTGTTGTTTTGTATCAATAAATTCATGTTTTATTGATACAAAGCAATTTATTGATACAACATTTAGTTGAAAAACTATAATTGCAACTACTGCATTAGTACAACAGATATTACTACTTTTCATGACCACTATTGATCCTACACCTTTATTGTTACTACTGCATCTACCACTAGTACAACTTCCATAATCCTATATATACTACTGATACTGTGTCGTGACATCACGCTCGGGGGTGCTCTACATGTATGTCAATGGTGGGATGTTTAGCATTTACCATGGTGACACAATGCACTTATTGGCAAACACGTGATAGTTTGGAAACTCAAGAAAAAATACAAATTGAGTAAATCAACACATTTTTGTTAGCCTGCGATCAATGAGCATCCATGGAACTTTTTTTTTTTTTTTTCTTTCTAAAATTAGGCCCTATGTTCCCACATTTCCTTTATCATCAATTTGCATCAGAATTTATCCCCATTTCTCCCAATTTGGTCGTCAATTACACCCAAACTATTATCCAGCAGCAGTTGACTACAGATGTAATGTAGAGGTCATGGTGCAAAGGATCCTTGGGTGAAATAACTCTGAATCAACCCTTTAAATGTATTAAACAAAAGGTATAACAATAAAAATTACTTGAATTAGAGTTTCATTTTGAGAAAAAATCTTAGAAATTAGAAAAATCTTAGAAATAAGGGAACATAGGGCTGAGGGAACATAGGGCTAAGGAAACATAGAACTGTGGAAACATTGAGGTGAGGGAACATAGAGCTAAGGGAACATAGGGCTGAGGAAACATAGAGCTAAGGGAACATAGAGCTGAGGGAACATAGAGCTAAGGGAACATAGAGCTGAGGGAACATAGAGCTAAGGGAACATAGGGCTGAGGGAACATAGGCTGAGGGAACATAGGGCTGACCCCAGAGCGTTGGCTAATGCTAGATAGCTTTTTTTCTATAATTTTATATGTTAACCTTTAGTAACAGAGCTTCAACCAGTGCAGTGCCCACAGTTAGCACCACACCCCAAGGGAATATTGATGACATTAGTTTCAAAGTATCAATATTTTCTATACTATGCTATATTCACACCATTTTGTACGTCACCACATCCAATATTAGTCATTGAGATTGATATTCTTCTGTATTATACAAGTGAAATAACTGTCCTTGATATTGTCAGAGTTTAGAAATACCAGATCAATTCCTCTCTACTTGTCAATTCTCATTTTATCTATGCACTTTCTCTATGTCACTGTGGGTCTATTTTGATTGTCATTGCCTTCCCACTACAATCCCTCACACTGTGGCCTGAGAACGAGGTCTGAAAATAAACGTCTGGCCCAGATCAATGATTATGATGTTTTACCGTTTCTCATATATACAGTAAATACAATGGAGAGGAGACATGGGTCTGTTTACATGCGCCCACACACACCCCAGGGCTTTGATATGCATGAGAGCAACAGATACTATTGGCAGGTCTCATTTTCATAGTCAATTTCATCTTGAGTCATAGCCGACGGCGCTCCCTACCTCTCCTCCCTCTCTTCTCCCTCTCTTTCTCTCCTTTATCCGTTTTCTCTCTATCTTTCTACTGACTGATCTATGGTCATGCGGTTATATTGATTACAATCCTCAGCTCAGGGGCTGTGAACTTGCTTCGTTTTTATGATTCAAGGCAAAAACCGTCAAATGGAGGGAGATTGTTTTAAAGTTAGTGGGTCGAATATGAGTCTAGAAATCAAAACAAATCTGAAAAAGTAACTGTAAAATGCATAAATGACAGAAAGTGGGTTGCAAATAGCTCCAAGTATTACTGTGAAAAGTTTTAATTGTAATGAAATTGTGTACTGGAAAGCACTTATAGACCAGCAAGAACCACACACTTTGACAAAGTTTTACAAAGACGAGTGAATCTGGAGCTGTATCGTGTCTCTTTGATTTCAGAGGGCGTGATTGACAGGTGGATGAACCAATCAGAAGGACTTATTTTACGTATATTAAAAAAAAAAAAAAAAAAAAAAAAAGGAGAAAAACAACATAAAGAACTGAACCAGAGCTGATTTTTAAAGAATCGACAGTCTAATTATGAAATTATGAATTATCTCAGGTATAAGAAGTCATATATTTTGTTCTGAATGTTACGAGAATTTTGTAGAGGAGATGTCTTCCACCTTTGAGAGACACGTGATTCAAATTAGCAGCTGTGGTTGGATCATCTCAAGTTTGGTCAGAGAAATTTCACATGCCATTGTCCGGTTCTAGTCCCTTCTGGGTTTGAACAGAATGTAGAAAGAACTGGGTGGTCAGGTGAGGAAAGCAACACATTCCAAAAAGACCAAAACATAGGAAACGCATTGGTCAGAAGAAATCTAACATATGAACTGTTGTGCTAATAATTGCCATGACCTTTGCTATTTTAACTTTTGAATTTATGATCAGCTAATGTCAATGGCTATATAGGTCATGGCATTAAAAGAAAAGGTTGAAAACTGCAGTGCATCACGTTTGAAAAAGTTCCTGAATAATCCGTATAATGAAGTCCAGTCGATTTTTTCTTATTTAATGCCTTAATATCAAAAGCAGTTCAATCACCAACTGTTAGTAGACACTGTTACTTCTGTAGACGGTAAAAGTATATAATATATACAAATAATGGGTGATGGTAGCTCAAGTGGTAAAGTGTTTGTTCACTGATCTGAAGGTTGGCGGTTCGAATGCAGCTCCCACAGATGAATTCAGTCCGTGTATCATTCGTTCATTCATTTTTCAAAATAAAACCAAAAATAAGAAAAAAAACAAAAAAAAACAATTTTCTTCATTATTTGTCTCCAAAACAATCAAACAAACAAACAAAAAAAACAGATAATGTTTCATTTTTACAGTTTTCGATTTTGTGTTTAAATGAATAATGGAAAAACTGATAACGGCCGTTTCCCGTTTCCATGACTTAAACTGCGATGTCAGATTTTTGCGCCGCATACAAACTGAACCAGGAGTTCAGTCCTGGTTTATTTCTGATTTAGACCTAGTTTAGTCCTGGTTTAGACCTGGTTTAGTCATATTTTAGTCCTAGTTCAGTTTTGGTTTAATCCTGGTTCAGTCCTGGGATCAGGCCTGGTTCAGTCCGTATGCGGCGCAAAAGTCCGGCATCGCAGTTTAAGTCACGGAAACGGCAGTTATCCGTTTTTCCATTATTCATTTAAACAGAAAATCGAAAACTGAAAAAACGAATCGTTTTCCGTTTTTTCATTTTGGTTTTGGAGACAAATAATGAAGAAAATAGGTGTTTTTTTGTTATCTTATTTTTGGTTTTATTTTGAATGAATAATACACAGATTGGATGCTGTCATTGTGCCCTTGAGGAAAACACTTAACCCATGTCACCTCTACTGTCTGCACACACTGGTATATGATTTCCTGATGTGAAGTGCCTTGAAGGTGGAAAAGAGCTATTTAAAATTTTCTATAACCATTTATCATCCCATCTTTCTTCAGAACTTATGTTATGTTCCAGACTTTACTTTTCTACGAGCTCTCCAAAAACAGCATTTGTTTTTGTTGTTTTTGTGTTTAAATTATACATGGTTGTTAAAATAATCATATACCTAGACCTGAATCAGTGTCACTTTTGGGTCATGTAAGGATCGTTAGGGCAGTTGTTTGTTACTTCCACACATTTGTTATTTTTAAACCACATTTTTCTCCCTTCCCTATGTGTCCTAGCGTACCAATTACGGGTGTGCCAGCCTCCTCCTGAAGTGCCCAACGCTGACACCCTGATGGAGGACGGGGAGCTGGAGATAGGTGAGTTGTCCTTCTATTTGACACGTCGCTCTCAATTTGTGTCAGTTTGATGGAGCATGAAAACTAGCCCACTTGTTACTTTCCTATGGCCTAAGTTTATCAAACACCACCCCAAGAGATGCACCACTGACAGTAATGGTATTCAAGTGTTTAAAAATTAATGGCATATTTTGGCTTTGTTTGGATAAGCAGAGTTGCATAAGGCTGTATGTCTGTGGATGGGATAATGATGTTTCAGCCTCTTCTGTGTTTATCAAACTGAAATGTTATGCAACAGGCGACATCATCAGGTACAGATGCCATCCTGGATTTTCATTGGTGGGAAGTGAGATTCTTACCTGTCGTCTTGGAGAGAGGCTACAGATGGATGCCCCACCTCCAACATGTCAAGGTTAGTAGCTGTTAATACAAATCAGTTTAGTTACATTGGGACTGTTAAGTGTGACTTCAACTGTTAAATTTTTGAGCATGTTTTTAAAAAAAAGCCATTATATTGAAAGTTAGAGCTGCATTCGACCAACATCATCTCTTTACAGTGCCATAGTCGGTGTATTTTTGTTTATTCGTGAATTATTGTTTTCATTTGTAGTACAATGCCCTGCCCATGATGTGAGATACGACTCTTCCGGGGTGATCCTGAGTCCTGGTTGGCCGGAGAGTTATCCGAATCTGCAGATGTGCTCATGGAGTGTCACAGTGGAGAAGGGCTACAATGTCACCATCACCTTTGAGAGCTTCCACACAGAGAGGGAGTTTGACGTGTTGGAGATCTTTGATGGTAAAACCTGTACTATATTCTGCATGAGCTGGGGGCTATAGAAACGGAGGGCTAAGGACTGTGGTTCTTCCAAAGTTTAAATGGGCCGAATCTGCAGTGGTCAGCAGTGAGACTCTTTAGACAGGACACAATGTTACAGCCAAAGTTGCTGGTCAGGCTGAAGTCCAGCATAACTATTATACCACTTTTGGCCTTGGCAATATATGCTTGACAATGATTTCATGGTTGATAGAATATCACAACTTTGTTATGTTTTTCAATTTTAAAAATTTAACTTCCTGGCTTCTGGAAATCACAGAGTGAAAGTTGTAACAAGTGATATTGAACTTGAAAGCACAATGGTACTAGTCATTTACCAGCTATTGAGCATCCAAAAATTTAAATGGTGTGTCCCATTAAAGTCATTTAAGTGACAATAAAACAAAAATCAATCGACTGTAAACAACTACCATCCAAATTTAAATCTGCAGTGGTCTGTAAGGGAAGAAAAATATAGTAGCCAGACTAACAGTGTCATGGGAAACTGTATATTGATTTTTATATTAACATCCTGTCTATTGTCTCCACTTATGACATGCACTGACGTGACACAAATCTATAATACCGTCTCATGTTGTGTCCCATTCCCACAGGCTCCACCGCCAACAGCCCCACATTAGCCACCCTGAGCGGAGACTTGCCCACGCCCTTTAACCTGACCACCTCTGGTCACCAGTTTTTGGTCCGCTGGTCCTCTGACCATGGCACCAACAAGAAAGGCTTCAAAATTCGCTATGTTGGTGAGTACCAAAGTATGTATCCAATCTTATCTTACTACTTTACTATATTGCATGGAATAAACACAGAGACAGACAGAAGGTAGTTTTAGATTGTAAATGATAGCACTCAATTTGAATCATGCTGAAAAATGCATTACAGTGAAAGTGGCCAGATGATTGGAGTAACCCGCTTCTGTCTGTCTCCTGTTAAATGAAAATTGCATTGTAGCTATATATTCATCTACACAGGCACAGATGTTGTTTTGCAGCTAGCATTGCACTTCCATAGTGCTGCACCTGGACCAGCTGAGCATAACGCTAAACGGCTGGGCATTAAGCACCTTCTCTTTATGTAATGGCGTCTGAGTGCTTTAGTCAAGGGCATTCCCTGACAGGCGCAGGGTGCAGTGCCATTTTACATGTAGCGTTTTGCTCATTCTCTCCATACTTGTAACCTTCCAGTCTGAAGGCTGCTTCTTTAACCTTTAATTCACCACTGGACTGTGTGATGAATTATATACTCAATAATAACAGAAATGCCTCCCTGGCTGCTCCTTCTTTAACCTTTTTTGATAGCTATGATTAATGTGGGCATCTGCACGGATTGCAAAACATATGTTGCAAGCTGGTTCAACTTCTTTACACTCAGCCAGATTCAGTTTAAAAAGAAAAGAAAGCAACTCAATTTCCAAATACAAAGCAACTATTTAATTGCGTGTGTTACTCTTATTAGGAATGAATGAAGTTTGTTGTCGTGGAAATAATCCCCTTAATCCTTAAATACGGTGGAGGAGAGAAAACTGGACTAGACCTAAAGAGTTTTTTCTTGGCTGCCTTCCAACATGCTGGTTCAGGGATAGTGGCGCTTTCCCTGGTAATCATTTGTGTTTGGCTCCAACAGGCTCCACTTTAGAAATATGCGCTGTCAGAGATCCTTAATTGGGAAGAAGTGGCTAAACCTTATTGACTGGCAAACGTCTGCAATTCTCCATCTAGGAAAAAAAAAAATCTGTTAACTGTTAAACAATATTCCTTAATATTATTGAGGCTCTTATAGACTGAATTATTGTGCAATGCAGTATAGGATGAGAGTGTGAGCCCTTCTCAAACAACTTCACATATAATTTTACATATTGCTATGAAAATTAAAGGCCAAGTTCCTGGTCAGATCTGTGGAGGGATGGATTTTTCAGAAAAGTGGTGTAGTGCACCTTTTAATATTAGCTTTATTCTTCAAGATCTTCAAGTTTTGGCCAACCTCTGCAAAGAGCCAGTCAACAGAGGACATAGGAACAACTTTCTTTTCCTTTGCCAGCTGAGTCATAATCAACTTATGTTGTACCTTGTTGCCAATATTGTCTTTAGTCTTTTTAATGAAGTAATGTTTCATAAAGTAATTCCTCATGTCATCTTGGCAGTCGCCATATACAGAAATTATTGATTACTTAAAAAGTTCTTTTACTTTATTTATGCCTCTTAAATATGTTCTACTAAATTAAAAATTACTTTCAGTTGTTTGATAAAGCTAAGCCAAACACATACATTTTCTTTTACATTTCATATTATGCAATATAAAATTTGAATTCTGTTGTTCCTTTCTTTATTTTGTATTTGTCACTACATTTAAAGATTCTATTATTAAATCTTCCTTGTCTTCAGCCCTTTACTGCTCCACCCCGGATTCGCCATTGCACGGGTCCATCTCCTCTCAGAGCGGCGGCCATGTTAACAGCGTCGTGCGGTGGGCCTGTGACCGTGGTTACCGTCTCATCGGCAATGCCACCGCAACCTGTAGAAGAACAGTACTGGGCTACCACGCCTGGGACTCACCTGTACCTGCGTGTCAAGGTACACTATTTTCAATAAGCTCATGATGCTGGGAAAGTAATTTACAAAGTTCAATTAATATAGACTTTAAGGTTATGATTTTTGACAACATTTGAGAGGATTTGAGTAGGATCAGAATGCAACATAGCCTACACATAATGACCATTCAATACAAAAATATAATCTTACAGATGGGTCAATTCACCACAAAAAAATGCTATTTGAACCTTGACATTGTCCAATTGCAAAGAAAATTGGTGTATGGGTAAGTCATAGCCAAGAAAGCCAAAATTTCAAATTTTAGCATGATTGGAGTAATGGTTTCCGAGATATCACCATTTCATTTTTTTCACTTTTTTTCGTGGTTGCTGAATTTCAGATTGCATTTACTCAGCAACTTCTGGTCCGATATCAAAAACCAAGATATCTCTGGAAAGGGGAAATCATACAGAATCCAAATCTGGCATTTGAGTACTTTTGAAATGAATTACCTTTTGACTTATATTTTGACTGTGAAATTGACAAAAAAGGACACTCCCAACTCAATGACACCAATAGAAAAAATTTAGCCGTATATGTCTACTACAACATATAAAAAAATCTGGAGGGGTTTTCTTTTTTTTATTTTCACACAAATTTACCTAGAAGTTGACTTACCTCCATTTTAAGACATGCCAAGTCTCCATTCACTGTATACAGCTATACATTTATACACACAGAGTTCAAGTTTATATACTCTAAGAAAAATTGTCAATTACACAGTACCAAAAGTCAGTGAAAATTTCACAACTGTCTTCGTTTCATGAAATGGATTCTTTAGGATTTCCCCTTTCCAGAGATACCTTGGTTTTTGATATCGGACCAGTAGTTGAGTAAATGCAATTAGAAATTCAGCGACCATGGGAAAAAGTCAAAAACCTAGTGAAAAAAAAAAGTGAAAAAATCTTGGGAAACCGTCGGTCCGACCAAACTAAAAATGGAAATTTTGGCTTTTCTGGCTATGATTTACATATATGCCAAGTTTCATCCAAATTTAACAAAGTATGGTTTAACTCATTGGGTGAACTGAGGTGGAATGACCCAATTACAAAATTGGCCACTATGAACACACACACAAGAAGTAAGTTTTAGTGGAATATTAACTATAAGGGTATACTGTGAGTACAGAACAATTACCTTTAGAACTTGTCAAGCTCCATGTACAGGCATCTTTGACATTTCTTGATATAGGGCCAAGGTGTTGTACTTACTAACAATTAAACTTTTAAATCAGTTGCCATATGAACTCTCTAAAGTTGTGTCTGACCAGTGGAAGTTTATTATAAATTCTTAGCACATTTGACCATTGCTTATGGTTCAGCATCTGTTCTTTAATTAAAATAACACAAAGAGAGAATCAAACGCATGGGAATAAACAATGCATTTATTTGGCTCACGTAAACTCTTCCCTCTGTCCGCCTCTGTACTTGACTGCTTTTAAAACCACTGCCATACATCAAGGAGTAGATACATATTAAATATTTGATGTGCTGCTGTCTAATCGCACACATCAAATAACCGCCAGGCACATCCACGCAGTTACTGATAGAAAGTCAAATGAAGGATGTACAGCAGATTGTCGACACTGTGTAATATCACGCTGGTGAGCTTTACAAACGAGACTATTTAAAACCCTGTGGAGCAGCTTTTAGCAAAATGTGTATATTTTACTAATGCCGGATGGTGCTGGCTTCCTCTGATTGGGTGTTTTTAGTCCATAATAGAAAGAACTTAATCCAGGCTTCTGCTAATTGTGCACAAAATGTTCAGTAATATAACATCCCCTTGGAGGCTAACAAAGCTAACAAACATTGGTCTTGTGTGTTGATCATTTTTGGCTAACCCTGGGCTGTACGTTTCCCTGTAGCGGTGTCATGTGGCGCACCTAAGGCTCCCATAAACGGTGGGGTTTTAACAGCTGACTACTCGGTGGGAACAAGTCTCTTACTTCTGTAACGACGGCTACAGACTCTCCAGTAAAGAGCTCACATCTGCCATCTGCCAGCCGGACGGAACATGGAGCAACCACAATAAGATCCCACGCTGCTCAGGTTAGACACACACAACACTTAAACTTAGATTTATACAAACTTTATTGATCCACAAGGGAAATTATCTGGACACAGCAGCTAACACATCACAGTTTATTATAATAACACAGAGCACAAATACAAACCGTAAATAAATAAAAGTAGCAAAATAGCAAGAGACTCATGTCAATAAAGCATAACTATATAGATGTATATGTACAAGTAAAAACAAAATGTATAGGAATATAGTAAAACAAACAGTTCTCAGCTATTTACAAGAGGTTGCAAAGAAAAACACTGCAAAGATGACATAATGATGACAGAACATAGGGTTATCTGTTACATAAGTGTGAGTTGTTGTACAGTTGTAGGGAGTATTATCTATTACATAAGGGTGAGTTGTTTGGAGAATAGGAATGAATGTCATCCTGTATTTCTCACACATAATGAAACATAATAGCACATAGGTTTGTTCTTTTATCTATGGTTGTACATCATTTTACAGACAAAATTACTTGTGCGTTTTATTGGTATTGTATGGTCACAGCCTCACAGGAAAGAATGGATATTTTGCTACCCAGGCTGGCGCCACTTAGTGCCTCTACTCAATTTCATTTCTCTCCAGCGACTAGGTCAGGAATTGGAATACAGTACACTGTTTGCAAGAACCCTGGGATTTCTAGATTGTGCACCGGCCAATCAGCAAAGAGCTGTGACGCCATGACGTCAAACTCATGTGCCCTTTTTACCGCACAACAGTAAACACGAAGTCGAGATGAATGATTCTGTGTTTGCAACGATTCCCAAGATTGAGGATTTAAAGCCGGAACAAAGAGAATGTTTGGTGAATTTTATCAAGGAGAAAGACTTTTATTGCCCCTTGTCTTGTCTTTATAAACCACAAACACATAGCTAATTAAGAATGATTCAGGCTTAGAAACTACTTAGTATTAGAAGTTAGGTTTAGGGCATTAATTAAGTACTGAATAAGCCTAAATAATTTTTAATACACTGTTTGTTCACTGTCTTTCTTCATTCTTTATTCATAGTTCACTTATTATATAGTGGTATAGATACAGAATAGTTGTACTAAAATACCAAGCTCTCAATTAACAATTTTATCTATCTCTCTTATTTTTGTTTTGATTATAACGCATTATTGTCTATGCTTTACCTTTTACAGTTGTAGTGTGTCCAAGCATTGGTTCTTTCTCACTGGAGCATGGCCGCTGGAGGATTGTAAATGGCTCTCACTATGAATATGGAACCCGAATCGTGTTTACATGTGACCCTGGCTACTACAGACTAGGCCCCGCCCACATCCAGTGCCTGCCCAATGGGGTTTGGAGTTGGAGGAATGAGAGACCACATTGCCAAAGTAAGCAGCAACTATGGGCCTTGGGTAAAATACATCTAGTACATGTATCAGTGAATTGTAGGGATAAAGGATTAACTCAGTATAGCTAAAATACAATATATACTTTAAGGGGTATTATGCAATTTTTCTGGTGGAGGGCCTGTCACCTCTGTGCTTTGAATTGAACACATATTGCTTGCGCTTATTCAGTTTCGGGCATGCCTTACTTCAGGCTATTTTCAGGCAAAGCAGCAGCATCTACATCCATCTCCAGAGAGGCCTAATCCTCCACCAAAAAAGTTACCGTATTTTTTGGACTATAAGTCGCACCAGCCAAAAAATGCGTAATGAAGAAGAAATAAACAAATATAAGGCACACTGGACTATAAGTCTTACTTTTGGGGGGAAATTTATTTTTATAAAATCAGAGACCAGGAACTGACATTTCATCTTGAAAGGCAAGTTATAGTAATAATAATAGAACAGAGAACATCAGGCTGTTAATGTTACATATGAACAGTTATTCAGATAACTGTAGCACAAACAAAAGAACACAATAAGTTTAGCAAACTGTCCATCTCACTCCAAATCACTATATCCATTGAATTCTTCATCCTTGGTTTCACTTCTGAGCAACTCCGCGACCTCCGGAGGTAAACAGAGCGCAGCTTCCTCTTCAGTTCCAGTTAGAATTATTACGGCCTTTCTGAATCCCGACAGGATGGTTTTAGTTGTCACTGAAGTCCAGGCTTTGTCTGTACATCCAATAGCTTCCAGGAAAGTTGCATGGCGCACCCGTTTGGTTACTATGAAGCTGTGTTTCATCATCCCTGCTTTTTACCAGTCCCTCACAAATTTCTCACTCACTCCAAACTTTCTTTTTGCTGCTTGATTATTGTTTTCGCCTGCATATTTCATTACTTGTAGCAAGACAGTGGCTCTTTCTGCAGGAGATATGCGCTGTAGAGCAGGAAGTCACACCGGTACAGGAGTAATAGGAGTAGCAGATACTGACACGCAAGCCTAGAGCCTAGAGCCGCTTTTAGTCTGAAAATTTTAATATATAAGTTGCACCAGAGTATAAATCGGAGGACCACCCAAACCATGAACAAAAGTGTGATTTATAGTCCGAAAAATATGGTACTTATTGCACCTTTAAAATATCTCATCACATGATGAGGGAGGGGTACACGTAGCCTGTAGCATTTCATTATGACTAATAAAAAAGCTACTATTTGAGTTTATTAATTTTCAGATTTGCAATGTTGAGTTGCTAAATACCAAAACACTATTCAAAAATAAAAACACCCCATTTTTGGATTTGTCTGTTTGGTATTAAGTGGGTTTAGTGACGGCAGAGTATTAAAAATAATGAAAGAGCATTCAAGAATGACTTTGATCTGCTTAAAGGCTGCTATTAGTAATATTGGATGGTAGAAAACTGGCAGAACTAAAACAGTGAAATCAGTAGCTCTGTATTAGACACAAGTTAGTTATGAGTAATTTGGTGGCTGCTGAGTTAACCTTCCCCAATTACCCCTTAAGCCATTTCAGTAACAATTTAACTGGTTTTAAATTACTGTGTCTGGCTGTGCGTTGCAGTTATCATGTGGTGACCTTCCTTCTCCGCCCAATGGAAAGAAAATCGGCACACAAACCACATTCGGTGCTACTGCCATCTTTACCTGCGATCTTGGGTTCATGCTGGTGGGCTCTGCTGTGAGGGAGTGCTTGTCATCGGGTCTGTGGAGTGGAACCGAAACACGCTGTTTGGGTACGAGCACACTGTTAATGTATGCACTGATGTATAGTCTAGGTTTATTGTCATTTGAAAAGTGCAGATAGAGTGCAGCTATGAAAAGGTCACAAAGAGAAGAAGTAGCCGCTAAGGTTGGACTGCAGAAGCTGGGATTTTTTTTCACATCAGTTCTAATGAGGGCCAGAATCAGAGGAAGTTTGAACCTCTAAACCTTTCGTCTGGAACCGCAGCTGCTTCATCCTGGCCTTGTCCACCTCCTGAACACAACTCACCACCAAATTCCTGCAGTGAATGTACTATATTCTGAAGTGTAGAGGTGGGATATCACTTTAAAGGCGTACATTATGCTAATTTCTATTTTATACTGTTGGATCCTCATCAAAAACATACCTGGAGTTGTGTTTTGTTTCATTTAAGGCTGCTTAATTATGGAAAAAAAAATCATTATCACGATTATTTTGGTCAATATTGAAATCACGATTATTCAAACCATTCTTTTTTTAGTTACACGATGCATTTATTCAGCATTTCTCTCTCTAAAAAACACTTTGCCACTGATAATTTACCCAAAACTTTCAAATAAAAAATAAATACAAATATGTACCTTAGAGCTGTTTTGCAATGTATAAAACATAATATGAATAAAATATACTTTGAACGTGAAATAAGGCATAGAAAAACATAAATGTATCCAAAATAAACTATATATCCAGCTGTTCTACACTCTGTATATTTAAAAAAAAATATATATATATACTTATTTATATAAAAATATCCCAAAATAAATTTTGTTAAGCTTTGTTTGTTAAACTCGATTATATGAGTTTCACGAAATCACGATCAAAATTCAATTAATTGCACAGCTTTAGTTTCATTCACACATATTTACCACACAAATCCTGCTTATTTAGAGTTCTTCTCTCAAACAGAAAACACTCTGTTCCACCTTGTTATGTCACGTGATTATACAGGAAGTGCCCCAATGTGTTTTTAAACTCCATACACCTTCACTTGAATCACTTGGATAATTCCAGCCTTGGAATTTGCGATCTCTACTGAACAAAAGGTATCTTAAAAAGTACTACTACATGAGATCTCAAGGTGGAACTGAACATTTTGAGCTTTGGAGATGTAGACAGACTAATAATAAAGATGTAGTCAGACTAAAAAAATTACTCAACAAAACATAATTCCAGGTATGTTTTTGAGGAGGTAACATCATTCTAACATGCACACAAGAGTCAATTTTGTGTCATTATTGCACTTATTTCTTGTATATTTTGAGAGAAGTATTCATTTTGGAGTGTTTGTTGAGTAGAAGAAAGTAAAATAGTTGTTGTATGTGTTCACACTTGTACATAAACCACATATAAATTGGAACTAAACTGAAAAACTGGTTTAGAGCAGGACTAAACTAGGACTAGAACAAGACCTAATCATGTCAACATCTGGACTAAACTGGGCTCAAACCAGGACCAAACCTGGACATATGTGAACCCTTAGAGTAGCAGTACAGTACTAGAATTGATATTAGAGTACACTGTATATGTAGAAGTATATAGAAGTTTAGTTTAGTTTAGTCTTTATTTGAAGGGACAATGTACACAGACATTAAGCTCAGAAAAAAACAGATGTTCAGCACCAGATTATAGTTAAATAGATTATAGCTAAAGTTGCCTTGGACTTGTTAAGAAGTTTCTGATCTTAATATTTGCAGTATTTCTAACAGTGGTAAAAGTTGTAGTGTCTTTCAGAAGTATAAAGATGTCACTGAAGATCATTTGACTGTTTTCATGCATGATCTAATCTATAAATAATGTGCAAAAACTATGCACCCTGCCTTTTCCTCATAAACACACGTAGGAGTTTGTACCATGCTCTCCTATGTTTCTTGTATGTCATCTGTCAACTAGCAGCCAGAGGTAACACATGTTGTGACTTAGTGCTGTCACATTTATATGAAACCCTGCTAAGGAAACACGTCTCCCAGAATACTCCACACTTTATTAAGAAAAAGTTCAATCAGAATTAAACCTTAGCAATATGAAGTTGTTTATCTGAAAATCACTGCTACCTTAAGAGGAAGATTCACAATAAAGGTTAAGACAATGTTGCTTTGACAATACTAATTACACTTTCCTCAAAACCTTATGAACATTTTCATTGTTGTGCAACTTATTCAAATCAAGTGTGCTTCTGTAATGCCCTAGAACTTAAATGGTCTGCAAAAACAATGAAACAAAGGTGAAATGAGGCAGCCGTCCCTATGCAGTGCCTTTGAATGCTTGTGGGCTAACACAGGTACACACTGCAGTCTTTATCTACAGTACACAATCAAATCAAAGTAAACTCTGAGCACAGCGCACAGTACCTTTTATGAAATGACTTAAGACAATATCTTTGAGAAATACAGAAATTTATTGCAGCCAGGTGGTATTAGCGGTCGACTTAGCTGTTTTCTCATTTCTCAAATGCTGTAAAAGTTAGAAAATGTGAAGTCTTTCGTCTCACTGTGAACTAAGAATGTTTTACAACTATTTCAATCAAGCCCTGAACCTTCATGGTATAGAAGACTTTGTACCTTGAAATAAAATTTAAACTTCACTTAGAATATGAAATTGGTTAAAAAGCAAAACCTTAGCATATCTTTATAAACTTAGTGAATGAAGAAGAGAAATCTAATCTTATCATAATGCTAGACTGGAACATTTCTACTCATTTCTGCTAATGATTTACTAATTCTCAAGAGTGTCTGTTAATTAAGTCTTATCATTTGAACATTCTGAAACATATCCTTGGTAAAGCTATAATTAAGTGCACATTGTTTAGTTAATTGCATAGTAAAGACCTATCATTAAACAAATGTTCTAATTGCTCACTTTGAATAAACTGTGTGTGTGTTGCAGCCGGTCACTGTGGCATCCCAGAGACCATTGTGAATGGCCAGGTGATTGGAGAGAACTTCGGTTACCGTGACACTGTGGTGTACCAGTGCCTGCCCGGCTTTCGGCTAATAGGCTCCTCGGTGCGCATCTGTCTCCAGGACAACCAGTGGTCTGGACAGCTGCCCGTCTGCATACGTGAGTTACCCACAGCACAATGGAACGCTATGGACTCAAAAATGTACCCACTTTACTTGTGCTCTTTTGGTTTTTCAAAAAAAGAGCATTTGCAAACACTATCCAACTATCCAACACTATACAAATCACTTGCAAATATGTAAATAAAAAGACACACTTTTGATAAAAGTAAAACCATCATTTGATTAAGGTCAGATGGTTTAGAATTTTAAGAACAAAATTCCAAAGGCAACGGTGCCTTTTCTTGCTTTTCACTGCTACTGTGTTTTGTATTTAGTGAGCATGTGCAATCAATATTTCACATTTTTCATGCCCTGAAACAGGCAAATTGAGATGTTTTGTGAATCAATTCTCTATATTTGGAAATGCTGCTCTTCAAACTTTATAATGAACCAGTATAATTTGGAAAAGTAGAACTTTTAATAGAACTAAAAGAGGCTCACTCATAGAGGGTATTGTTGACATTCTGAAACACAGTTTCCTGCTGTTTGTGTATGAGGCAAATGAGTCCTTTGAACAGTGCTACATTTCTACCCCATTTGTCCCTGTACATTTCATTTAGCTTTTTTTAGTCCTCCAGATATTTTTTGATAATTTTCTAATGTTGGTACAACTGCAAATACTACTTATAATAGCAATATTCAAAATATTACCATGGTCACACATACTACCCTGTGTTCTTGTTCAGTGCATTTAACAACACCTTTGTTATTGTTAAAATGACCAAAACACAAATTTGACCATTTTTCCATCAGTATTCCTACTTTGTAGCTTTGGTAAAAGCATGTGTGCTCTGGGAGTCCAGATGACGTGACATTTATTGGTTTATTTTTTTCCTTAGCCTTGAATGTAGGAACATAATTTACATCACTAATTTGGGTTTTTAGTCAAAGAAGGCTTGCAGAGCATTGCTCAAAGTCAAGAAGAAAAAAAATCATGCTTGCTTTTTTGCCTAATATAATTTTAAATCCAATTTTCTTTTGTTTGGCTGCCATGTTTGGTCCAAAGATTTGTCTCTTCTTGACTGAAGGGAAGACAACATTCACAGCCAAATATTTTGTGTGTATAGCACAAAATACCACACACACTCACGTTTGTGTAGTGTCTGCCAAAGTATCCTGTGTCTTTTCTCAGCTCTGAGCAACACAACAACATTACGTTTATCTGTAGCTTTTAAGTAAATAAGCTGCACTCTGGCCAGCCCTGCACTGACTGTAGCACAGTGGTTAGGGCTATATGTCTGGAACTGCTGATAAACCAGACTTAATCTGTATTTAAACAAAACAAACATGGAACCTTTCATTTAAGAATGACCTTATTTAAGATTTGAGCTTTGAAAACTTTTGATCCCGTCTCTGTGGAGTGGAGAGTTTTTTGTAGATTCACACCAAATGTTCCGCTACATTTAAAGGTCTGGGCCGTGACTATGTTTTGCGTGAGATAAATGGCCAACCATAAGGATAAAACAGAAGGCCTTGTGTTTTTGGCCGACTTCGGAGAATCTAAAAATGTTCATTTGTTAAGAGCAGTTGGAACAGTTTGGGCAGCAACTGGCACTGTTATGTACTAATGAAAGAGACGGTGGCCAAGGTTTACTTTCTTTGAAAACACAGTAAACTACTTAACGTTAATGTTAAGATGTGTATATCCATGAGTCTTTCAAAGTCTTGAGTATATCTGAAAAAAATTGCGTAAATGAACATAAAATAATGAATGCTTGATGCTTTCATTATGATTGAACTTTTTTATACTATAACTCACTATTTTGATCAAATACTGTAAGTATACTAGTGCTACCATCAGTGGAATTATATTGGATGAATGAAAGGTTAATTATCAGAACACTAAGTCAATATTGTTATCAGGTATTGTTATATAGCTGATTTTTGATATATTTCAATAAATGAATACATAAATTTGTATCTGATTGAAATCTATTTGCCATTGAAATTTGCAAATTAAATGTTGGTAGGTGAAGTTACTTTAAAAGTCCTATACTGTGCAAAATTGCCTCTTGTGAGCTTTTAGTCATGATGTTCTTACCTCCTCAAAAGCATATCTAGAGTTGTGTTTTATTTACATTCACACATGTCTGAGTATTCTTGCATTATAAGTCTCTCTACAGGCCAATCCTATTTCTAATTTCTACCCCAACCCCTTGCCCTAGGGATTGAAAGTAAACCCGTACAAACTGGGACACCCCTTCAACAATCACATACGTCATCAGTAGTCTCCGCCAGATTTTACATAATTTGTGACCTTTTTTGGTCTCTGTGGTTGTGGTAGTAGCCATCGTCCGGTGATTTGCAAGGCATTCTGTGGAAATTGCTCTATTTGGACTGTGCCTCTGAAAAATCTTCATTTGGAGGGGTGTATAGCCCTAACACTTTCCTTTACCCCCTCTGCCATAAAGGTAACTGGGACAACCCTACACCTACACTTGTACACGTAAAACAGAGGGGTAGGGGAAAGTGCTATGGCCAAGGTGTGTAATGGGATTCAGCCTACATCTCCAAAGCTCAAATGCTTTGTTCCACTTTGTGATGTCATGCAATGGTAATTTTCAAGTTTACCCTTTTTAGTAGCAATTGGCAGTTCCAGGAGATTATCCAAATAATTTTAGTGAAGGCGTATGGAGTTTAAAAACACAGTGGAGCCCTACTGCATATTATGACAAGGTGGAACAGAGTGTTTTCCGTTTTGAGAGAAGAAGTCAGCCTTAATATGCAGGGTTTGTGTGTTAAACATGTGTGAATGAAACAAAACACGACTCCAAGTATGTTTGTGATGGGGAAACAGTGTAACATGGGCCCTTTCAACATTATTTTTGCTGCATTAAACAAAACATGAGCTATTGTTTCTTCGGCACAGACACCACGCCCCAGAAGTCATTTGGTAGTCATTTGCCAAAAACATCTCGTTGATTCATAATTTATATCGGGCTAATGCTAATATCGCCATTAAAATGTAAAGCAGTCTGTTCAGATTAATCCACCATTTTGCGCGTTGTTTACAAACACACACAAGATCTATAAAAAGTCACAAAATAAACCAATGAACCCCGCTGTTCTAAGCAGACATGGCTCATACATGTTTGGCTCAGCTCTACATTGACACTGCTCTGTTTGGGTCTCCAGCTGCGTGTCTTTTTTGTCTTCCTTTCCGACTGAGTTTTTATTGGGGTTATTCATGCTGGAGTTATTGAGGCAAATCATTTTACAGCCAAATTATACTGTAATTATGGAGATTAGAGTCTCTTTTTGCCGCACAAACATCCAATGATGATTAGACAACAGTGTGAGCCTGTGTGCACGTACAGCTGCAGGGAATGGTAAAGGTGTGGGGTGGGTTTGTGTCTAAGGAAAGCAACAAATTGAAGATTTTACTGAAACATCAACTCAAAACACCTTCTTTCAGTTTGCTCCTGTTTACAATGGCCATCTTGTTTTCTATAGTAGTGGACCAGATTTTAACTAGATTTTAATAAAATAAATAAATAAATAACATACACTTTGTTTAGTATATTTTATTTTTGACAACTTTAGTTACTTTTCTGGTGAAGGGTCCGTTACCTGCTTCTCTTCACGGAGACAGAGCCTGGAATGTTCCACAGTATCCCATTACACTTATTTATCTCACTACAGTGCCAAGTTACATGTCAGATCTGAGGAGAGGCGAGCCCACACACAATAACAACGCAAGTCCCATTTTAACCCATTTTATTGAGTAGAGGCAAGATGGATATTAGGGATGTAACAATAATCGAAACATTGTGATATTGTATCGTCAAAGTTCTCACACTAATATCGTGGACCATCACAATGTATCGAATTACAAGTCTCTTTGCTTAAATTAAGAGTTATGGTGCAGCAATAGCTAAAAAAAAGACAGAGGGACATCATCATCGAGAGACATCTACATCGACCATGATCCTTTGCTCCATTTCAGTGTAGACTACAAGAAGAAATAACAGTTCTAAGCACTTTGAAGTCTTCGTTCTTTGGATTAAGTCTTGTCAAGGCATTTGAAGAGGAAAAAATAGCATATTAACAGTTTTGTTTGCCTCCACAAAATATCGCAATAAATATCGTACCTTGAGATGTATATTGTGAAAATATTGCGTGAATATCGTAAGAGATTTGGATATTGTTACATGCCTAATTGTGAGCCACTTCACCATATCGTGAGCTTTCCTATGATAACACAATAAATAGCGTAGCATGAGGTTCATGTCGTGATGATATCGTATCGTGAGACTTGGATATTGTTACATCTCTAATGGTTTAATGCCATACTGGGACATTCCAGATAAAACAATAGCTTCTCCTTGGAGACAAGCAACTGGCAGACCTTCCACCAGAAAAGTTGCACAGTGCATCTTTATTTTATTTTTTTCATCTTTGTAGCCAGTCATAATGGGAACACTGTACATACTTTATTCAGATTCAAAATCGTGATAATGCCCCAATTTAACCGGATCATATGTATTGTATTAACAAAATATGCATGTTACATTTTTTAGGCTTTTGGTTTGATGGGACAATAATTAATATTTTTCATAATTTGAGAAACCATTCATTTATTCTTACAAATGAATAGAAAACCTAACTCCTTTGGTGGGTCCAAAGCTGGGTCCTTTTATATTGTAAACACATGACTAAAGAAAGGACATCTAACCTCCACTTTTGTCTTTTCAATTAAGTATTATTGTTCATTTTTCACCTTGTTCAAAGCCTTTTTGCACTGTACATTCACACAGTTTGCTCTCACAAAGTTAACAAGTGAACAATTATGCACAATGGGTTTCAGAGGACCCACTCACACAAAGAAATCCTTCAGCTAGTGCAGGTGAATATTTTACCAGAAGTGTGACCCCAAATTGTAATCCCAGCTTGATGGTCTGTGTCCGCTGCTGTTCTCATACATATGCATGGACCACTGTAGGCGCAGATATTTGGCCTGAATTTAGAGAACTATGCAGCATCTAATTTTCATCTCGAAGTAAAACCATGCAATTTGCTTGGTTCAGACTGAAAGGAGTCTGGGAAATAGGGTTTCTGTAATCAATTGAGCAAATGGAAGGCTGGGAGAAAGCATTTTATAACTCAGTTTAAATTACATTAGTACTTTTAAGAATGCGTAATCCTGCATTTTGTCTTAAATACTTTATGAGAAAACTGTAAAGACTTATGTATAGAAACGCTAGGGATGTAACGATATCCAAATCTCTTGGTATGACATTTTCACGATATTTTGTGGAGGCTAACAAAATTATGAATATGCTACTTTTTTCTCTTAAAATGCGTTGACAAGACATAATCCAAAGAACTAAGATTTAAAAGTGCTTATAACATTTATTTCTTTATGTAGTCTGCACTGAAATGGAGCAAAGGATTATGGTCTATGTAGTTCTCTCTGTTTTTTTAGCAATTGCTGAACCATAACTATTATTTTAAAAGAAGAGACTTGAAATTCGATATATTGTGATGGTCCACGATATTATTGTGAGACCTTTGACGATACGATACTATGATTTTTCAGTTATTGTTACATCCCTAACAAATGCAGCTGAATATTTTTTAGTTTGTATGCCCTCTCGTAATACTTATTAGTGGATAATATTAGTCAGTGAACAGTAGGAATGGGACACTAAACAATTTAAAGGGTTTGACAATATTAACTTCTGGTACATTTTGTGTAACTGCAATAGTCACCAACAAACATAGTCATTCTATTATACCACTAGAAAAAAAAAAAAGTTCTTATGCATGTTGTTTTCTTCTAGACAGGCCTGTCAACAGAAATTTGAGGGCCCAGGGCAAAAAGACTTTCATGGGCCCCCCTCTAATATAAATGACTAGGAAGGGGGTCCAATTTCAGGCTCCTAAAACCTTTAGCCCTAGGAAAACAGAACCTTTTGTCCCACCCTGTCTACTGCCCTGCTTCTAGATCATTGTTGTTTCCACTCAAAACAAAGTACAATTACCTAAAAGTTGTTTAAATGTGGAACTTATGATATTACATAACATCTTTAAACTGTCAGCTATAATAATAATTATTGTGATTTTATTGTTAATCACAGTTTTGGCCATGATCATTGTAACATTAAGTTTCAGTATTGTCCCATATGATTGGAAGTTTAAACATAACAATAATAATAATAATAATAAAGAAAAATAATAACAGTACTAATTTCTTTCTAATTTCTCGTAGCCATAAGCTGTGGTCATCCTGGAAGTCCCATTTATGGTCGCACTGTCGGAAACGGCTTCAACCTCAATGACGTGGTGAGCTTCGTGTGTAACCGCGGATACGAAATGGAGGGGCCTTCCCGAGCTCAGTGCCAAGCCAACCGGCAATGGAGCCACCCGCCCCCAACGTGTAAAGGTGGGGAAAAAAGTTAAGTGTATCAAACTAACCTTATTTATCTGTTTGCCTTCGTACCTGAACCACTGAAGAATTACAGGTGCTGTGAAGCTGTCTATGTGTATATATTTTTTTTTTTAAAGTTTAGATTTGGCATGTATCTAATATATTTCTTAAAGGTCCTATATTATTATACCAGAAAATAGTGTAATATTGGCCCTTTAATTAAATGAGTTATTTTTCTTCCTATGCTGGGTGAAAATATCTAGTTCTTGGTGATATTTTGCACAAATTTGCGGGTTTATTATTGTAACAATGAGTCTATACAGAAGTCAGGAGTTCATTCCGAAGCTTGTGCCAGTATTTTGAACTAGAGTTAATCAAAGGTTTGTTTATATAATGAATAGCTTAACATATTTCTGATAAGCTGCCATGTTGCTGCCATGCAACTAATTTCTTACAGTGCCAATAATTAATAAGACTGGCAGTTTATTATGTCAACTGCATATTTTCTTTTCTTTTTTTCTCAAGTATGAGGATGGATCCCAATGTCTCTTGGCTCTGCCCTGTTGAATGAACCGTTTATGATTGCTGTGTAATAAAATTAGAGGTTTTGATTGGTATCCAGCAATAGCTCCTCAGGCTTTCGGCACGCTGCCTGGTGTCCATAATGATGTGGCTATGAATGCAGTCATATAAGTGTCATAATGATAACAGGGCATCTCTGAGAGGGCTGTTTCAATCCACCAGTCAACAAAAATGAAATTCTCCATTCTGGAAAGATAGATGTTGTATTAGAACCAGGTTTAATGCTATTATAATTATTTTATGAGTGTTTAAAATGGTTTATTCTTGGTCTATTAAATGCAGTTTAGTACTTGTTTAGATCTGCAGTAATGTTAAAGGTGCACTGTGTAAGTTTTCAGGGCATTAAACAGCTCTACCTTACATTTAGGGTGGTTTTAGAGTTCAAAAATACCCAGAAAAACAGGAATTCTGTCTTCTGTGGTTTCCTCTCCACAGATCTGACCTGTAACTTCGTCTGGTTTGGGCTCCATGAATATAAAGAGGTTTAATATCATACTGTGAGACATTACAGACAAAGCAATAGCATTTCCATGTAGAAAAGCTTACACAATGCACCTTTAAATTTGGTATAGTTTATCTTTATAATGATCTTTTTCTGGATTAGTCCTCACTTATTGCTGGATCACAATTACATTACTATATATTTGGTTGTGGTTTCCTGGTTTTGTCCAGTCTTGTCTTTGTTTAGTCCATATATTTTCTAAGGTATTGTGATCAAATCTAGAATGAATTATAATATTTTTTCTATTTTCTTTGGGTATGTTAAAAGTAGCAGAGGGAAGAGAAATAACCCTCTTAGGTGCGTCCCAAATAACACATGCCTCTCCATATCTGTTGTGTATTGTTGTTTGTGTGTCTGTCTCCCTATAGTGGTCAACTGCTCCGATCCAGGAATTCCTGCCAACTCAATCCGACAAAGCAAAATCGAACATGGCAACTTTACTTTTGGGACTGTGGTTTTCTACGACTGTAACCCTGGATACTACCTGTTTGGATCACCTGTCCTCACCTGCCAGCCGACGGGCCAATGGGACAAGCCCCTGCCAGAATGCATAGGTCGGTGTGAATTTTGTGTTAAATCTATAAACTTTTTAGCTGTGTCATAGTTTCAAAATGATGAGACAGGAGAACAAATTGGCATGAAACTACTTTTCTAATGAAGTTTGAGTTTCTGAAAATGGAGGTGTCACGCATCACATAACAGTCGGCACCATATTTGTGACTTTGAAATAAAAACTCCACTTCTGAATCATTTTGCCAGTTGTTATAGTAATGACTAAAAACAAATAGGCATCCCTGCTGAACTAAAACCCATTTTATCACTGTAAAAATACTATTGATTTAGTATCATGCTCACTTTAACCTTAAGATTAAAATTTAAGATTAAACAACATCAGTCAGGATGTTAAAGGTGCACAACATTTTGGTTGGGGGTTTGCCAATTTTTTGTCTTCATGGAGATGTTATTGCCTTACCTGGAATGTTCATCTTTGCCTTGCCTGTTCCCTGTTTCGGATAGGGGTGCACCAGTATGATACTGTTATGGGGTATCCGCTGTTCAGTCAATATCAGTCCAGTCAATATCCTACTTTGGTCTATAAATTTGTGTAATAAGCAGGGGTGTAGTGGGCGTGGTATGCGGGGGTACGCCGTCCACCCACTTCTCCAGGACTAAACCACGTCTAAACCACGTCTAAACCACGTCTAAACCAGAACTAAACCAGAACTAAACCAGAACTGAACCAGGACTGAGTGTCGGGATGGATCTGGAGGTGCACCAGGTCGGGTGACTTCAGGCGAAAGGACCAGCGCAGAGCTTCACGCCTTACAGGACTAAGCACGGCCATCACCCGATCACACATCGTGGACACTCTGCTTCGTGGTCTTGGGGTTCTTCCTATCTCTCAAGTCCAAGATTAGTCCCGATTTAGACCTGGTTCAGTCCTGGTTTAGTCCTCCTGGTTCAGTCTTGGTTCATGTGTTGTAGCCTATGCTTTAAGTTCTGTAGGTGATTATGAACAGCATTAATGTTAATAACATGATTCTGCATCATTTTGAGTTAAAAAAGCATCAAATATTACAGATTTTTACTGGGTTGGTGCCTTTATGTTTGTTTGGGTTGGGGGGGTTCATCACATCAATTACGTCACGATTCGCGTACCCCTTTAAAAAAATCCCCACTACACCACTGGTAATAAGACAGTTTATTGGACACTGTTGGCCCGAACACCTCATAATATTTTTTCAAAGTTGTTCTATAGTTACTTAATGTTAAATACACAAATTACAAAAATTACAAAAATAAATTACAATAAATTACAAAACACAATTGGAATTTTTTTATGATGCAGTAAATTATAGTTTTACTTTATTCAGTCTCTGCCCTAGTACTGGCTGATATCGGCTATTGGCAGATTCTTAAAACCAAAGTATTTGCACTGGTATTGCAACAGAAAAAGTTGGTTCAGTGCATCCCTATTTTGAAGAGGTATCCATCGTCTACTGCCAGACAGCTTCCTCCACAGACTCCACTGCCTCCATTGCCAAAGCTGTGCACTTCCCAGGAGATGTTTTGCTCCAGTGTTGGATGTCATTGCTCCATTGTCTCCTTTGTCTACCCTCGTGCCATCAGTATACTCTTCCAGATTATGGGTGCAAAGATTTCAGACACTGACGATATGGCAAAACACTGTAGTTTCACTGTTGTTTGCCCCACAATACTCGCTCATTGGAATGCTGGGTGTCATTCAGAAGTTGCCGATACGATACATACCTCGATACATAGGCCATGATATAATACATATCTCAATACAGTGATCTTATGATTCAATACGATTCTATAAAAAATAAAGACTAAATCATGGCTGTGATACTGAAAGTCTTTGTTAAACTACTTCTTCTACAAAGTTAAAATGAAACACGCCCATTTTAATCATAAAAACAGTGAATATGTCATATGTGTTGCGTAAACAAGTTTCCTTCCTCTAAACACGCAACAAAACTGTACAGTAGCACTGTAACTAAATTATTTAGTAAAATATACCAAAAAGTAGCCCATGATATTGATACTGTATCATCACATTAAACAATACAATATATCGATATTTCAATATTTTTGCACATGTCTAGTGATGATGACATTTTTTCAATTGCAGGTGTTTTTTGGTACCTTGAAAAACAAGCATTCTTATTGTGAGGTTTGATCTGTAACTTGATCTGGTGGTGTCAACTTCTTGTCTCCAGGAAGAAAGATATGTTTAATGCCATGCTTTGGAAAATTTCAGCCAAGCAATAACATCTCCATGAAGACAAGCAGGTGGCAGACCCTAAATGTGCACTAACATTTAATCGGTGACCAAATTACTAGTGCCATAAAAAAAATAAAAAATAAAAAATACAACTTGTAGTACGAATTTAGATTGCAAAATTCTCAAAAGGGATTATTTTCCAATTCCCAAAATATGTGTATACCATTTAGTTTTTTTGTTCATTTCAAATCTAAGTGCCAGTTTCTTGCTTTGCTGTAATTTCTCAGCCCTGACAGTGCCCGTTCTGCTGCTGTTTGGCAAACGGGCCTTGACTTGAAGCTGTCTGCTCCTGCCTTCATCTCTCTGCCTCTCTGTCTCTCCAGTGGTAGACTGTGGTCATCCCGGCTCCCCCCCTAACGGTGTGCTGAGCGGAGATAAGTTTACATTTGGTTCAACGGTTCGATACTCCTGTCTTGGTGGGAGACAGCTGAAAGGGGAGTCATCCAGGACATGTCAGCTCAACGGGATGTGGAGCGCCCCCATGCCCTTCTGCTCTGGTAACTATTTTAACCTCTATTGAATATACAGCCGTGAAATGTGTCTTATCTGAAGAGGAGACGGACGAATACTAGTCTTAAATGAGGAGGAGTGTTGGATCGCTGAGTGGTAGGGATATAATGATATTCAAATCTGTCAATACGATAATTTCACCATATGCATCTCATGGTATGATATTTATTGTGAGGCTTACAAAACTGTGAATTTTCTACTTTTTCCTCATAAAATGTCTTGACATGCCTTTGACTTAGACTTAGATAAACTTTATTGATCCACAAGGGAAATTATTTGGACAGTAGCTCACACATCAGAATATATCATAATAACAAAGAGCGAAAATATAAATGGTAATAATAAAATCGAAATAAGTAGCAAACAAGATAGCAAGAGACAGGTGTCAAATAAGACATAATTATATAAATGTAAATGAGCAGTCAAAATAAGATAAAATAGAAAGATAAGTAATAAAATATAAAATCACAGCTTTATAGAAGAGCTCATAGGATGACTGACAGGACATAGGGTTATCCGTTACATAAGTGTGAGTTGTTGTCCAGTTGTAGGGAGTATTATCTGTTACATAAAGGTGAGTCGTTGTACAGTTGTAGGGAGTATTATCTGTTACATGAGGGTGAGTCGTTGTACAGTTGTAGGGAGTATTATCTGTTACATGAAGGTGAGTTGTTGTAGAATTGTTTGGAGTATGGTACTGTTATAATACAAAGAATTAAGATTTAAAAGTGCTGTTATTTCTTTATGTAATCTGCTTTGAAACGGCAAAGGATCATGGTCTATGTAGTTCTCACTGTTTATTTTTTATTTTTTTTAAAACTTTGCCGCACCAATTTGAATTTACTTGTAATTCGATAGATTGTGATGACCCATGATATTATTGTGAGACTTTTGACGATATGATATCACGATACTTCGATTATAGTTACATCCCTACTGATTCGTGACTGTTTATGTGCATTAGTTGCTCAAATATTTGTGTATTACTGAGTTTCAGATGACCTCACACTATAGTCCAATATTAATGAGAACAGATGGAGGACAGCTAAATATATTAAAATATATAAAATATTTGAAAATCTCAATTTAAACATTTGTGCATTTACCTCTTGGATATTTCATCACAAAGTACAATGTAATCAATAGGGAAATATGAGAGTATGACATTATCATATTCTACTTTGCCATGAAATGTGCAAAAAGTAAATGCACAAATGTTAAATTTGATCATTTCTAACACTGACTAGAGCTATGAACTCTCTATATTACAACAAAAATGGCATTGAAGCGAGTATTAAATAATATTGGCCTATACAATATTGTGATGTTGTTTGAAACCCAGAAATAGATGAATGAAGAGAGCATGTGCTATTCTGTGTGTACTATTACAGTGTGTACTGTTACTGGAGTTTAATGTCATGTAGCCCTGACACTAATGCATCTTACAAAACCGCACTAACTTAGAAGCACTTTAGAAAATAGGGATAGGTGGGGGTTGTTTTTAAAGACTGAACTTTTATGCTGCTTAGTACAGTCTTTCTTTTCTGTGTAATTTTTATTCTGAAATGACAAAATTCTGATTGTGATTTTGAGAGTACAGCTCAAGCGATAAAAACACATAAAAAAGAATAAAAATACCCACTTGAGTAACAGAGTTTGAGAACTATTGAAAACTCAAATGTAGTGATTTTTTGCTAATTCTGCAGATTTTTTGTAATCAGAATCAATTTGATGTTCTTGATCATTTTATTTTTACGTTATTGTTTGCTCAAAGCCAGGACTTTAACTCAATACTTTCAGGCAATATGATAACACCGATACATTTGTCTTAAACTGTAAGAAAATTTGTCTGTCCAGTTGAGATACAGAAAGTACAGATACCAGCGCTTAAAGTAAAAGTAAAAAGTACTTATACCAAATAAGTTTACATAGAGGTGCATTGTGTAACTTTTCTGATAGTAAACCTTTCTATCTTCAAAGACCAAACCAAACCAATTTACAGGTCAGATCTGTGGAGAGGCAACCTCACTCACAGTCAGAACGCCTGTTTTTCTAGGTCTTTTTGAGCTATAAAACCACCTGTAATTGAATAAATATAAAGTAGAGCTGTTTAATGTTACACAGGAACATTCCAGGCAAAGCAATAACATCTCCATGGAGAAAAAAATTGATGAAAAAAAAAAAAAGTGATCAGAAAAATTGCACAATGCACCTTCCTTCCTGTCAGACAGTAGCTTAGTGTAACATCATTCGGATATATTTCCTGTCAGGATGCATTCTAAGCTAGAAGCGCTCCTCAAGCTTTCAACATTCATTTTATTTATGTCTTCTTACTCATAACAGATTCCGGTAAAGACTCTTCCCTGTGGCCCAGTTGATTAAAAGTTAGTAAAGGCATCCATTACACAGACACGCACAGTTCTTAATACAAAATCGTACTGACTGAGATTAGAAAATGACTAACTTTTCTAAAACTAATATAGCACTAGTGTAATTGAGCATCGTGCAATTTTGTTTTCTTTTCAAGCATGAAAAATTGCTATCACAACAAACATTAGATTCTAAGAGTCAGCAAATGTAAGGCAGAGCACTTATTGTAATTAGCATACACACATACATCATGGGGCTTCTATTGTTTCGTGTGAACAGAAAAAAACAATATTAGCAAAAGGTCACTGTAGAAAACCCAATACATACTAGTACTGCATGCCCCAGGATACTCGCAGGTGGGCTTCTTTTAAAGGGAATCCTGCTGTAAATTTCTAAATCATAATGTGACTATTGGTGGAGTTGCATTATGAAATTTGATTATGTGTTCCTCCCTCTTTAAAATGTGATTTATTACATGGCGCTCCTCAGCTGTAGGCTCTTTAATCATCCATACATTATCTTCCATAGATATTGTTCTCTTCTGTATGAACATATGCTTTAGACATCTCATATGTGCAATAATATTAGGAAAATGTTGTTTGGACGCTACTCCCTTTTGTAATAACCGTATATTTTACCTCTTATTAAGCCCACCTCCCTCTCCACATCTCCCCTATTTTGCTTCATGTATAAACAAATAATCTAAGTTATATGGTTCATAGTTGGTCGGCTGGGGGCGAGATTACGGCTCTCCACTCCAAGAGGCTCCCAGCAGCCTCTTGTGTAGCAAAGTGAGTGAAAACACATTTGAGATGAGTAGACTAAGAAATCATTTTGTTATTTACAGTGAAGGCCTGGGGGATGAGCGAGGGTGAGAGAGGCTAATGGTTTGAGTAACAGTGATTCATAGTTCCTACCTGCCAGGTTTGTGCCGGAGCCCTGAAGTCATTATAGTTCATCTAATGCCAAGAGTGCATAGGAACACAGTGACAGCAAGACTTCACGCAGTGTTTTTAAATTATCTTATTATTATTCTCTAAGTAATAATGTTGAGGAAATTTAGGTATGTTAACCAAAAAGTCCAAAATATAAGTTAAGTGAAATTAAGATGAAAGTATCCATAGTTGTAGGGAAATTTGTCCCTTGCATTTGACCCGCCTTTCAGTGCTGCTGGGCAAACCTGTCAGGAGCAGATGAGTACTCAAATTATTACTTATTATTAAGTAAGAGTAGAGATATAGGGGCAAACAGTTACTCAAGTAAAAATATCACATGTGAAAATCTGCTTAAGTAAAAGCACTTAAATAAAAAGCACCTGTTTAAAAATGTACTTAAAGAGTAAAAAGCATTTTGCAGAGATTCAAAACATTTAAAGGATGAAATGTAGAGTTTTTCATAAATAATTCAGCTGATTGTAAGTGATTCAATAGATTTCTTAATTTTTCTAGACGTTTTTGTGTTTTTCTGTAGGCTGTTTTCTCAAAGTTGGGACAGAAAGTCAAATTACATGTGCTAAAAATAAAAATCTCAGCCATTTCAGTGAGTCTCAAATCATAAAGAAAAGTACTTTTCACTTTTCGGTCCAATAAAAAATTTACTGGAGGAGAAAGTACAGATATCCACTCTAAAATTTACTACTTAATACCAAAATTACTTAAGTATACTTTTACTCTTGTACTTTGTTACACATCTTGATCTAGGCTTGGTCAGGGCTACTTTACTGTAGGATATTTGGATTTTTTTGTGTTTATATTTTGGGTTGAATTACTATTACCACCATAATTTTACTACTTCTGCCATAACTACAAACTCCAATTCAATCCTTTTTTCACACAAGCAATATAGAGTTTGGGATACTGCATGACAGCTGCCACACAAATATCAGGCTCTGTGTTGGCTAACCCTTACTCAATTTACTGAATGTCTCTTCCTGCTCTTTACCCTCTTAGATCCCTAAACCTATTCTAAAGTTATTTTATGTTTTCATTTAACAACATATACCAATGAAATTCTGGCACTAAAGTCTATGAATTTTGTCTACAAGTTTATTTTTATTCTTTTTATTGTACAGTATTTTTAGTATTTATCATGGTTTGCTTTCAAAAGTATAAGACTTCCAATGCTTTGGGTAGAAGATGACCTATTTATACAACAAAATGTATCATATAACTACTCTACCAGAACAGAACCTAAGTCACTGAATCTGAACTTTTTAGACTTAGACATAAACAAAGACAAACTTTAGTGATCCACAAGGGAAATTACTTGGACACAGTAGCTCACACATCACCATATATTATAATAACAAAGAGTGAAAAATATAAGTGGTAATAAAAATTCTAAATAAGTAGAAACAAAGATCGGTGTCAACTAAGGCATAATTATGTAAATTTGTGTGTTTTTTTGTTTGCATGTTGAATTGTATGTTTGAAATGAACTCTTTGAAAGCACAGGGAATACTACATTTACAGTGTTCGAAAAGTTGCAACAGTGAGGAAAGGCTTGTGTTAGCATGAGGGTGTAAAACTTGACAATTTGCCTTTGGCTTGAGTGAGAACAACTGTGTGGACCATATGCTGCATATATATTCCCTTCAATAACAGGTTTCCAGTTGCCA